TAAAGGCGAGCGAGCACATCGAGGCACGTTAGACAGGAGCGCCATCTGGCAGTTATCTTCAAAAACGATGGAAGGCGTTCGCGCCCACGGAGAAAGATGTACACCTGTCTCGGAGGCGATAAAGCGTAAAATGCAAAGCGACGCGCAGATGCCGCCACCGTGGAGTCTTATCAAAGCTTTGGAAACACGTGCCTTTTTGAGCATCGCGTTGCACTGTCAGCTCAGCGTGATAAACGCTACGGATCTATCTGCATTATGTCCCGTGATGTAGTAATATGCGAGTGGTTATCTTGTGTTAATTATGGGCGAGTGGCATTTGTTTTCCACAATACATTGTTGATAATCAGCGTGGTGCGCGTTCTCTTTCCAAGTCATGTGGTTGTTTTCGCTTTGTTTTGTGGTCATGTACAACCAACGGCCGCCGCCGCTCTTCGCACTTTTCACACTCACGTAAAAGAAATAGGAAGAAGAAATTCAGATGTAGACGGGTCATTCATACGCGCGTACAATTCATTTGCCTAATTTAGAGCTAAGAGATAAAATATCTACAAGATACAATGATCATGAACAAAAGTGTTAACAATGTGAAGGCGAGTTCTTGTTCTCTACTTGTCTGTAATTCATTTCTATGCGCCCGAGCGATTTCTAAACGGCAGTAGTGCTCGCGTCGTCTACCTTACCACGTTGCATTGCTTGTTTCGCATAAATTGGCCAATCGGGTATATCGAGACATTGCGCGAAGAAAAATAGGCACGCCAATGAAGTGGAAATGAAGGCTTTGCAAATTTTGATATTGATCAAAGGCTTTGAAAATTTTGATATTTTGATATTGATAAAATCCACCCACTCGAATTTTAAGCACAGGATAAGAGGTGTACTAGACTGTCACTCAGACAACGTCATATACCTCCTGGAATGTGGGGTATATAACAAGCAATACGTGGGCCAGACAGACGCTCTGTTTAGAATTAAATTCAACAACCATCGGGCACATGTACGATCTCTGCCAGGCCTTGCACTTTCAAAACACTGCACATTAAAGACCACAGCTTTGATGACATCAGGGTTACACTACTTGAAAACAACTTTCGAACAATCAGAGAACGGGAACAACGGGAATATTATTTTATCTACAAATTTAACACAATAAAATACGGAATAAATGAATACCCAGGCACTCTGCCAGCGTTACGACCGCTAAAAGACGCAAACACTTCTCTCTAATCAGTCCGGTTTCATTACGACAATAATATTACCCGCTAACAAAGCTTTTGGCCTATGCATCTGACAACATAAAAATGATTTGCCTCATCAAGCACAGCTGGAACGCACAGATAAGTGGTCCCGGATGTCGTACGGTCCACCCCCCCCTTTTTTTTTCTTTTTTTTCTTCTTTAAGTTTTAACGCACATTCTGTTCCTTCACTGACAAGGAGCTGGCAGCTAGGTGGTTTCGTTAACTTCTTCATACATGCGCGCATGTCTTCCCAGTGAGCCGCAACATTGTGGTGATTGTCCCGGATGTCATACAGTCCCCCCCCCCCCCCACTTGTTCTTTTTTCTTCTTTAGTTTTTAACGCACATTCTTTTCCTTCACTGACAAGAAGGTATTGCATATAATGAATATTTATGGCGGCGCCTCAATCACCGGCTTTTTCATTCCTCCCGACGCCACCAGCACGCACTCGAAGCGCTTTAGCTCTCCCCATTAACTTGTCTTAAACTTCAAAGAGGAACGAGCCGCCAGCGGACTACACGGAAAGGTGAACTACAAGAACGGTGGCACACTGCCCACTTGGGTAAGAGTGGGTGCGGGGGAGGTATTGTTGACAACGATGACATTGCTCATCTACCTCTGCCCTACTCTGTCGAGATGCTGCCCCTTTCTAATTACGCCGTGTTGGTCTGGCTTCTTCTTCTAGATTTTCTATATTTCATTTATTGTTTCTCCTCCCGTTTGACTGTTTTTTCTTCTTTTTTCTCTCTCTCTTTTCTTTTTTTTCTTTTTTTACTTTTCTTTTGACCACTTCCCTCCTGTCTCGACAGGCTATAAGAAGACACGGAACATGTGTAAATATTATTATGCCTTGAAAAAGACGGGGTTCCCGTCGAAACGTCGGCCCAATAAACAGTCGTTATTTAAAAGCGCATCTACTTTCATATATATATATATCACTATGGTTGCAACGGCCACAATTCATCCGGCAAGATTATCCATACAATTGCTTTCGCTACAAAAGGCACCATACTGTCTTCTGATGGGTACTCTAGGTTATTGGGCCGACTTCCTTTTAAATATTGAGTCGGTACGGTTGAAGCCTGCCATGTTCATCTCTCACAATAGTTATAGAGAACCACAGGTTTGAATGAAAGTCATCATCATCATCATCATCATCATCATCATCATCATCATCATCAGCCTGACTACGTCCACTGCAGGACAAAGGCCTCTCCCATGTTCCGCCAGTTAACCCGGTCCTGTGCTTGCTGCTGCCAATTTATACCCGCAAACTTCTTAATCTCATCTGCCCACCTAACCTTCTGTCTCCCCCTAACCTGCTTGCCTTCTCTGGGAATCTAGTTAGTTACCCTTAACGACCAGCGGTTATCCTGTCTACGCGCTACATGCCCGGCCTATGTCCATTTCTTCTTCTTGATTTCAGCTATGATATCCTTAACCCCCGTTTGTTTCCTAATCCACTCTGCTCTCTTCTTGTCTCTTAAGGTTACACTTACCGTTTTTCTTTCCATTTTTCGCTGCGTCGTCCTCAACTTAAGCTGAACCCTCTTTGTAAGTCTCTAGGTTTCTGCTCCGTAGCTAAGTACCGGCAAGATACAGCTGTCATATACCTTCCTCTTGAGGAATAGTGGCAATCTACCTGTCATAATTTGAGAGTGCTTGCCGAATGTGCTCTACCCCATTCTTATTCTTCTAGTTACTTCAATCTCGTGGTTCGATAGAGAAGTCTAATTTTCAGAGAATGTTTGAACGTAAATGATTCGAGCTTTGGCTTCTGTTTAATTTGCATTCTATTCGTTGTAACCTTGTAGTCTAGTCACATAGCTTTTATTGCCTTGCACCAGCAAGCTGATGCTTCATATAAAAGAGCCGTCAAGTTGATCGAGATTTTTTCGTCTTCCGCTTTTCGTCTTCCGCTTCCGCAGTGTTACTTCAAACAACTATTTTCGACAAGTGGTACATGCATACGCGTTTGCACAATATTGTAGTTCAGATAGACGCTATTATAAGAAAAGACATACAGTCGCATCTGTAGTAGTTGGTTTATGATAATACAGCAAATAGCAAAAGTTACTTAAATTTGTTCATTAAAATATTTTGTGATTGCGTCTTATCATGTCTGCACAGTTTGAGCCCTTTGTACGCCGCTGATTTGCTCCTTCGAAAACCTTGGCTAACTGTCTAACACATCAGTACACGTTAAAAAATAAAAATTTTAATGAACAAAACTTCTTTAGTGGTACGCACATTTCACCAATTGCCATCATCAACCTATGGTCAAATGCATCCGCTCGTCGACCTGAGCTCATATCTTGCTTGCGAAAGTATATATACCTTTTGTAATTATTTATTCAATTTTGTATTAGCTCGTATCGTATTCAGCGGTAGATATTAGAGCGAACGCTGTTCACGCGCGGCACCGTAGGTGTCCTCCGCCGACGGTGTCCGTAACTGGTATAGAAAAAAAAACTCGGTAAATAAAAAACACTAATGACACGATGAAATTCCAACCCTTAACCTGCTGCGTACCTACCCAGTATTCTACCACTGAGCTATGCTAGTGCTATGAACTTAGTTAATGAAAACACTGGGATCTGAATACCGGTCCGCGGCGTGCCAGCCCAGTATTCTACCACTGAGCAACGCGAGTGCTTGTAACTGGTTTCTAAACTGGCCATCTTCAGGCTTGATTTGGGGATATTCATCGCATTATTATGAGTAATAAACCATTTTAGAACATTCAAGGAACAGCCAGGCGTCTCACAATGCGAATAGCGTGACGACTTGGTCGTCCTATGCTCCAAGCCAATAGAAATCTTGTTCTTGGTCACCTATCAAGTATGCCGCATACCTACTTCAGGCATAATTCCTCATCATCATCAATCACTGCATGAACAATTGGAATTAGCACGAAATTTCTGTGCAAGTGTTTAGTGGATACCACGCTTCCCAGAAGAATGACGAAGAATAGCATAGCGAATGCTGGTACACTGCACAAAATTTATCGGTATTTATGGCGCAGTGGGCGCCCAGCAGTGTGCTTGTAGCATCCCAAAGAGGATTCAGAAAAGGCTTTGAAAGGCCGCTCATCTAGCTTTCGCTGTGACTGTGCTGCGCGTTCCGTGCAGGCGTTGCGTTTTTTTTTTTTAATCAATCTCTTCTATTTCAATTAGGGGGCCCAGTCACCAACACAGTGAGGCAGTCTGGCAACCTTAAAAGGTGTGAATATGCAAGTCAGTAAGTAACAGTAAAGTGCAGAGTGGTGGGATATTTGCATGTGGGAAGACTTATGTGACCAGACCTAGTTACATCCAAAGCAGAAAGAAAGCCTTTTTAAATGATTTTCAGTACATCCCACCCTGACCAAAAATGTTACATGTCAGCTTTGGTCATTTCTTTCTTATATAGCTTCTCCTAAGCCGTTGTATTCCACGGCCATGGCCCACAAATACTCGTATTTCATTCTGTCGCTCTCGACTACTGCTTAATTTTCCATCTCATGACCTCGTGTGAACAGGTTCATATTTTTTTCCAGTTACTCTCTCAGTTACAAACAACTCTGACTCATTCTGTTGTGTTCTTAACTCTGATAATTTCGCCCGCAGTTTTCGTTTGATTGCATACGTTTTCACTTAACCTTCTCGATTTTTTTCTCTAAGTATTCATGTTACAAAATCGCATAATGGTAGCAACTATGTGAAGTGACTGCACATTTTGCGCCTTAGTGAAGGTAATATAATACGCTTTTTAATATTTCCAATTTTATATTTTTATTAATCAGTAAGTTTACTTCACATGGCAAGATTCTTATCAGAAATTCTAAGCTACTGCATTACACATTATTTGATATACAAAATAGTTCGGAAAAACGTTCTGACACATTGAAGAAACAAGAGTTGCACCCGACTCGTTTTCAATCATGTTAGAAGTATGCAGACAGTACAAGCGCCAAACTAAATGGCAGGTTGAAAAAAAAAACACCTGCTGCTGAGCCCCTAAATATACAACATTTATGGAATACACAATCATTCGGGCAGCTATACACGTTGAAGCCAGCTGTTCGTGATAAAAATATATCACCAAAGCTTTCACAAACGAGTAGCGTAGTATGCAAGAGGTTATCACAATGTCACCATTTTGAAGAATGTTTTGTCGGAAAAGCATAGCTAAAGAGCAAACAAAGCACATCTATTTTATTGCCTTTGAACAACGCATGACTAACGTAACCGCTGTTAATTGCGTGGTTCCATTGCTTACATCTATATAGGCAAGCACTGCTTTGTAGCATCCAGGATAAACATTGTATCTTCATTCTTTCGTCCGTCCCTCTGCTCCCCGATGACATCATTGTCAACAAATAGTGATACATTAAAAAACATATAATAATTTTTTCGACGTTGAGTGTGTTAACCACAGAGATGCGTGCATGCTAAACCAACTGAGTTTCTGCAAGTCGTTATGCTGCTCGGCTGCTAGCGGAAAGGTCATGGTTTCCATCATAACCCTGGTGGAGACACTTCAGTAGCAGCCTGGTGGCAGAGGTCTTTGTACTGTGGGAACCACAGATGGCCAAAATTTTCAGAACCCTTCTCTACGGTGTGCCACATTAGCACATGGTTTCGTATCGTAAAAGGACAAATAATATTGTAATTTGTGCATACTTCTAATACCTACCATTCACTCTACTACTTTTGATTACATAATTAGTAAATTGTCAATAGTCATTTTGGCCAGCGGAGATGTCAGTACTCATGACATATTCTTGCGGAAAACATCTCTGGGATACTTTATCTGCACCATAACCTCGTGACGGTCGCTTTCCTTCGAGGAGTTTCAATAGGGGGCACAGAGAGAGTGGTAATGCATTTCTCCTTCATCTGCAAAAAGAGTGAAGAAATACTTAGCAACGAGAACATTAGCAATTTTCATTGTAGCCAAAAAAATTTGGACAAAAAAACAGCAAATAACTTGTGCTGGAAAGTGTCTAACTCGAAAAGTATGACGCCGAACACCCTGAGAGCAGTAAACTTTGCGTTTACTTGAATGTTGTACACCAAGAGATTGTTAGGAAGCGGAGAGCTACATACTGCTCAATTGTGATGCCTTACGACGGAGATGACAGGTTGCTGTTGTTAAACAAAAGACGCAATTCATGCAGATGCAGAATCGCAGATGTGTAACAGAGCTTCACAGCGTGTCCATGTGGCGACAGACTCTGCTCAAGCAGTGCTCCGTATTGAGGTCACATTAGAAAAAGTAGAAAGTGGCGTAAGTACAGCGCATCAGAACCGCTAATGCTAACGCTGTTTACTCGCATAACGTAGCAAGAAATAGCTGGTAACATAGTGTCGATTGTGGCGTTATGTCTGCTGGCATTCTAAAAAATCGAGATTGACTTGAGAAACGCCGAACGTTACTCGTAAATCTAAAGGACATATTAACGAAAGTGAAGTTCTCTTGTGTTGTGTGTGCTCTCCCATGCGAGGATCGTGACGATGTGTATATCTTTGAAAGTGGTGACTTTGAACGACGTCTCAAGCCGTACATTTATGACGCGAAGAAAAGAAATGTTAGGTTCAGTGCCTTGACTGACCACGCGGCAGATAGTCACACAATCGACTGGGTGAAGACACGTGTTCTCTCTAGAGAAAAAGGTCTGCTAGAGAAAAGGGCGTCTTGGTCTTGAGTCGCTTCTGATTCAAACCCCTTCGCGCACTCGAAACAGAAAGGGTGGTAATCTGTCATCAGTATATGCGCGCTGCCTGCGTGATATATTGAAACGTACTTAAGGTGAACTGCTTGACACATGTTTTCATTTCACTCGTGAACAAGGCTCCCATGTGAGAGTCAAATCGTCTTTCTTCCTGTGTGTTTTGAAAACTTTTACATCGGTCAGTGCAGTGTCTCTAAGTTTTTTGCCTTCTAACAAGACTAGTACGTATAATGCAAATAAAATACACAATCAAAAAATGAGTGACTTTTACACAATAATACAGAAAAACGACAAGCACTATAAGAAATATTATTCCGCCTACGTGAAATATCACTTATGAGTAAGTTCCTACCTTGATATCTACGCAGACGCTAAACCAGGCTCCGGAAACTCATCGTTAGTTTCGGTTTCAAGAAACATGCGCGCTTGTAGTGGTTTCCGAGCATTCTAAGGTCCGGTTGAACGGAATGAAGTTGATGTGAATGTTCAGATTTATTGGCTTTTACAATTTTTTACGAAAAAAATGTATGTCTTTCTAAGGAACCTCACTTTTGCTTATATGTATTTTCTTAGTTCTGTGTTAATTTTAATGAGGCGAAGCGTGGGAAATAATTGAATTGCGTTCGTAGCGCTCGCCTCTGCTCCGTCTAACCCCTAGCTTAGTGTTATTAATCGTTCTCAGTTATCTCGCTCGGTGTGCGTGTCATCCACTGGAAAGATAAAAACAGCAAGTTAAGGTGGGCAGAGAACGGAAGCCACAGTGAGCTACGCCGAAGAAGTCAACCATGCATTTGTCAAAGACGACTTTATCGGGCAAAACATGTTTTCCGCGGCTCTGCGGTGTGCTGGCTCGAAGATTTCTAGTTTCGCAGAGGTTTTTCAGCATTTCCTAAAAGCAACGGGAGAGCGCAAGAATTTGGACCCAATATTTGAGTAGGTATTGCTTCTTCATGAGTGCATATCAGTAAGCTCAGTTCTCTGCAAGCCTGACTTAATTGAGAGAAGGGCAGTGTCACTTGAATTATTCGTGAAGATGGCAGCCAAGCTCCTGCCAAGAAGATACGTTTATTGAAAGGCGTGAATTCAAGTTGACTCGGCTACATAGTTTTAATTTTTTTACTTTCGGCCTGTAGTTCAAATAATGTCAAGTAATTATAGGCTGCTGCCTGTTATCTTTATTTATAGTAAAGTACACATAATCAAGTAAATATTTTTAAGTAATATTACAGAGGTTGTTGATGAAGTGAACGTTTTGACAAGCGAACTTCAATTCGTCAAGGCAACGCTGTTGCCTTGATGAAGACAAGTGAACTTGCCGAAGCGCGGTTTCCATCGATGGTTTTTCTCAAAAAACCTCTGATCGCTTCAAGCCTTTCCATGCCTCTGAGCTTCAGCCTCGTTTGGTACTCAAGATCTCTAAAAAAACTATGCGCGCCATCACAAGAAACATGATTGAGTTAAATACGACGCATCCTACTCGCCATTGTTGATATTGTTTGAATATTCAGAGTTAAATGATTGCTCAATATGTCCGCATGTCAGTCGTAAATTAAGGTCGCTTTTACAGATTGACACTCTCACGCCATGCGTACGTCTTTTTTGTGTACAAAACGTGCAAGAAAAAAATTCAAGCTGCCGAAACTTTGCAAATGAATTAGGAACAGTTTCTCTGCGTGCTATAGATAGTGTGTGTGCGTGCGTGTGTAAATAAATAAAGAATCAATGAAACATACCACATTTATTTTGTCAATTTGTTGATTCACAAATTTTATTCCTACTGATCGACCATGGGTTAGATACCGTCAATCTTTGGCTTTTTTATGAAAAAAAAATGGCTCACAGGTGTGTCTTCAAATGCTTTAAAGCGCAAGGCATTTCTTAAACCAGTGCCGTTTTGGCCCCAAACGCAGAATAAAGCTATTAAGTATGTAGAACTTGCCGCGAACGGTTTATATTTTAACAGGAGACGATTGTGGCATTGGATTCAAAGACTTCCGTACGCGCACCCGCTGGGGCAAAAAGAGTGACGTCACGTCGGCAGTGAGCAGGCCTTATAATCTTGTAGGTGACATTAGAGGTTTTTAGTTTGACGTTTTTGTGGTCCGCTCCGCTCCGGGAGCACCCGAAGCCGCTGCGGAGCGGCGGCCGATTTTCCTCTTTTAGTTATTCGTTGCCGGCAGGGAAGCGGACCTTTCGCATTTGCAACGCCCTCTGGTCGTTTTCATCGTCGGTAAACAAATTAAAAAAAAAAACATTTTTTTCACGTATACAAAGCAAAACGATAACGTATAAATGATCTTTTCATGAAGTAATTAGATACGCACTTTCAATGTATTAACCGCCTATTTTTTTGACAAAGAAGCAAGCTCTGACTGTATAGTAGCCGCTCAAAAGCCAGCAAGGTTCCGTTCCAGATCCATTGCAAGCATTCACTGTGTGTTGTTTGCGCATTTTACGCGTGTGTGGTGGCGTCGTTTTTATTTTTCGCCGTTGAAACTGTGTTTTCGCGGCTTGCGCCGGGCAGGTGACGGCGAAGCTGCAGCACTCGCGGAAAGCGTGCCGTCTCCGGAGGAAGCCATCTTGAAATGAGCAAAGTTGCTGCACGCACGAGAGAGGGCGCGCGGGTTGTCGCCCTTCCGCTTGCAAAAACGGCCGCGACGCACCACGCTCCGCTCAGGCTGCTCGTAAGCGGACCGTATTCCCCGCTCCGGTAACCCGCTTAAGGCCTTAGCGGTGGGCGCATGTGCACTCGCGTTCCCGCTCCGCTTAGCTGCTAAGCGGAGCGTAAAAACGTCAAACTAAAAACCTCTACTGCACGGGTGCGTTCCGCTTGCACGCGAAGTGGGAAAAAAGGGCTTTCGAACTAACCCTGCTCCTCTCCCTTTTGCATCCTTTCACTTTATTTTGGGACGTTACTAAAGACGCCTGGAGAGCAATCCCCTGTTCGTGGTTTATTTATAGTACAATGCCCGGCAACCGGCAGTAGTAAAAGTGGAGCTGCGACTGCGGAGACCCAATACGTAAGAGGTGTAGGGAGTTTCCGCCCTCTGGCTAAATCGTTTTGTATTTGTCTTACGGCTGTCTTCTTGTACTACTTTTACATTGCTTTTCAGACGGCGCCAGCGCAGGTAACAGTTTGTATCCGAGAAGCGCGAAATCTTGATGGGCTCACCACTAAGTGCTGACATTGCACACGTGCATTAAAAAAATAAGTCGCGAAGATGAGATATCCCCTGCAAAAATACAAGCAAAGGCCCAAAAAAACTCTTTTTTTTAGAAAGCGTGGTTGTCAGGTCAGAGGCCTTTTAACGGGTTGTCGCCATGTGTGTACAAATACTTCACAATATTTTATGATAATAAAGCTTTATTGAAGTCTTAAAAATGAAATACTAAGCGCTACTGGGTTAAACGCGAATGCTGGTTATAGTACGTTATGGCCAATTACTGAATAAAAAAGGGAAAAAATGTATTTCGTGTTGAATAATGCAACAATAACTACATATATATATATATATATATATATTAGGTGTACGACAATCATGCTTCTAACCACATCACTCTTATTTCTGTAGTATGTCGAGACACATCTCAAGTTGAGACAAAGTTAGAAAAAGAAATAGGAGTGCGTATTTCGCACACCATGTCAGAACATACCACTCCATTTATGAAGACAATGAATCCAAATTGGTACTGTGTCCCCGCCATGGCCTAGAGGGGATAGACAGAGACATTCAAATGGACCACATGAATGTGCATTCTGGAGTTGCTCTACAACATGCGTGCTGAACCATCACTACTGAAGATACGCTCCTATCTAATGTGCAATGTAATGTGAAGTAAGCACCAGGCTCACTCTGCTAATAACGGCTTATGTGCCTTTTTTAGCTTACGTTAAGGCGTTTTAAATAGGAGCTGAATTTATAAAACATAAGGATAACGTTCTTTTAAGATTTAGCTAGCCTGTCGTCATAGCATTGGGCTGAGACGCTATTTTTACGGCTGCCGTACAACAACGTGTTCACTGTTGTAATAAATACAGTCTGTTAAGCCACGATTTCAGGAGCTTCTATGCATGCCGATTCCCACAAGACTGCGCAGTTGCTGTCAAGATTTTGATGATCACTTAGGTGTAAGGCTTAGATGCTTTATAAGTGTAAAATTCAACATTTCATTTGGGACTGCTGTATTTGCGGCATAATCATGGATGAAGCGGAGTAGTTCAGCAGACCCCACGCACTGTGGGAATCAATTTCATGCGAAGTGCGCAAAAGCGACTGTCATCATTTTTTTTTGTCTCTACTGAGCGATGCGATACAAAATGCTGCTAATAAAGGTCAAAATGCTATGCTAACACACAAATGTTGAAGAGTGGCATAAATGTTGATTGAATGATACGTGGGGTTTAACGTTCCAAAACCAGCATAGGATTATGAGAGATGCCGTAGTGGAGGTCTCCGGAAATTTCGACCACCTGGGGTTGTTTAACGTGCGCCCAAATCAGAGCAAATAGGCCTACAGCAGTTCCGCCTGCATCGAAAGTGCAGCCGCCACTGCCAGGATTCGATCCCGTGACCTGCGGGTCAGTTATAGAAAAACTAGTTTATTTATTTATTTATTTATTTATTTATTTATTTATTTATTTATTTGTTTATTTATCTATTTATTTATTAGAAAACCCTCATGGCCCATAGGGCATTACAGAGGGGGTGGGTACAACATATATAACACACAAGAAAAAAAGACAAAATAAAGAAACAAGTATCAGATGCGCAAATCAGGAAGGCAACAGAAGTCAACTAAAAATGTATAAGAATTGAAGCACATACAAGACAAAGATAGATAATGGAAACTGCGTATAGTTACAAGCATTGCTGAGAAATTGCAGTCTTGAATAACAAAGGGTCTGTTATTGATACAACGGAAGAGGGAAGGTGGTTCCAATCGGCGGCTGTTTTCGGTAGTTGTGTAGAGTTGCGTAACCATGCCGAGAGCAACATCGTTATTACGAAGACCGTAAGCTCTAAGTAGTGCTTTCGTAGAAAGATTTCCGCACGCACACAATAGACGAAAAACCGAAAGGCGAAAAACAAACGGCAGCGATTGTCCTCAAACCAGCTCACCGACCTTTCCATGCTACTATAAGTAGTGCTTGTACTTGGCCGCTATCATGAAGAACGCACGCACGTTTCCCGAACCTGTATGCGTGCACGATAAATAAATAGATAGATAGATAGATAGATAGAGAGATAAATGGATAGATTAATCTATCTATCTATCTATCTATCTATCTATCTATCCATATATCTATCTATCTAAGTAATCGTCTATGATATTTATCGCTCCTGGCCGTTTCGATAATGGGATCTTTACCGAAGTTGGTATCCGAAAGCAACACTGTATGAAGAGCATGAATTAGTAATCATAATAGAAAAAAATCAATATTTGTATGTAACGAATTTCATGATTTACATGTTATAATCTTGCTGCTCTTGGGGTGGTTTCGTTCATATGATATTGGAAAACTGGTATGGTATGACATGACTGAATGGTGGACATACGTGCCAGGTCCTAACGTGGAAACCACGACAAGGATGTCATGCAAGTCATGGCAACATGCCACGGTCATGATGCGCTCGTGGTCGTTTCGTTGACTTCACTTACATATGCCGAATTGGGTATTACGTAACTTGGATGGATCACGAAAGCTTACGACTGGTGCAAACATAATAATCATGACATGCTTGTGGTGTAAGAACATGTCAACATGCTGTGCTCATAGCGTGCTCGCAACTGTTTTGCTAGCTCCACATATATTTAATTTCCTATTATGGGACGTGAATAAACGACGAAGGTAAATGATACGTCGAAACATGATAGTAATGACATGAAAGTCATGTACAGCATTATTTACTCCCGCCTCGCGACGTTGTGTTAATTTTAAAGTAACGTATGAACCTTTCTTATCCATGCTTCTCAAATCATCGACTCTCGCTGTATCTGGGACCTGACAATTTTTATTTTTTTCAAATTTACATAGTAATTACGTATGTCATTCGCTACACTTTACTTTACCTGCCAATATTGTATGTTGACTTTTAATAATATTGTGTATAACAAACAAATTGTAGTTGCCCTCCGCACAGTCACACACACACACATATATATACACACATATATATATATATATATATATATATATATATATATATATATATATATATATATATATATATATATAGAGAGAGAGAGAGAGAGAGAGAGAGAGAGAGAGAGAGAGACAAACGGAGTTTGCAAATTTGGACAACATACCCTGTGTCTGGCTTGCGTTATGAAAACTACGATGCTTCCTCCTATATGGCGATTTTTACTCCGGTATGCGTATTCCGCCATTGCGCGGCCCCAGTGTGTATCCGGTTGTCTGATCTCTGTCCATCCACCGGCTTGGAAGCTCTTCTCACAAGTGGTCACCAACAATCCAATCAGCAGCATCACAGCGTGAACGCCAGCCATATTTTCCTCCACAAGAACTGCAATTTACATCTCAAATATATTTTGGCATTGGGATCACTGGTTTTCTGTGAAAGCGAGGCGTTAACCACTGAGCCACCCCGGAGCACGTCTGGTTTTCTGTAGCTAAAAATATTTCCTGAATGACATCACCCTGTAGTAGTATTGAAAATTTGGCAAGTTAGTAAATATTTATAGCTGATCGAGGAAAACGGTGCAAAAAACGAAGACATGATAAAGGAAGGACACAAGATGAGCGCTGACTTTCAACTTTGAAATTTAATGAACAAACATAAACACATTCATTAATTCGCGCGTCCTCTCTCAAGGCAAAAAAACTAAAAAGGAGGCCCGTTGTTGAAGAATGCAGACTCCATTATGTACAAAACTGTGTTTTAGAGTGAGCCATTTGAGTTGCATATATCATAGCCTTCCCGTGCGGATACGCTTATATAGGCCACACGGCACGTTGTGTAAACCTGAGGCTGAGAGAGCACCAAAATTCCCTCCGGGGTATTGTACACTTGGCACACTTGGCCGAGCACTGCCGGTACTTCGGGTGCACTCCAGCTTTTTGAGAACGACGGTTCTTTTCAGCGCCTGCGACCATCTGACAAGGGAAATATTTGAAGCCCACAAAAGCTTAAAGGCAGGGCTAAAGTGAGTCAGTGAACCATTCATTGTTTTCCTTGATAAGGATATAATACTTTAAGATTATTACCACAAACTTCGTTAGGGCAAGATGGCTCGTGTCCAAACAGAAGTGTTTTTGAAATTTTTGATTTATTTTTTTCTTGTGATAGAATTCGCGAACAAATGTATATGTTTGATGCTTCTTAATTAGACTTCTCTGTTGAAAGGCAATGCCCATCTTGTCTCCTTCCTTTATCATGACTTCGCTTTATGGACTGTTTACTTCAACCATCTCTGACATCACTATTTTCAGGTAGTTGACTGTGATTCCTAATAGTTAGTGTTTATTACTGTGTACGAATAATTGTTGTTGATAATTTCACATTATATTTTGAGCCAGTATCTAAAGGATCACAAAAGAGTCGTGTGAAATTGCCAGTATGTGTTATAATCCTATTTACAGCAAGAAATATTGAAGAAAAGAAGCCAGGCCTCTGCTGAACGCACAGCACTGTCGAGTGAAAGCTAGAGGAGCGGTGTTCAGGAGCATTTTTAACACTGTTTGGATGTTAAACACTTGCAGGGTAAACACGAACACTTGCAGGGTATTTACTGAGCCATTAACCATTGAGTAGTAGGCAGACATTCACTATGTCACCCTTAGTCATTTTTCGAGAAAGCGTGGTACCTGCTGCACTCTTGCAAGGAACTTAGTGCAATTTTTGTGTGCTGTGGCTGACGACGATGAGGAATTATGCCGGAAGCTCTTGCAACTCTCAATTTCCCCCACAGTGGGTATGCGCCACAATTTTCGGTGACTTGGATCGAGCTTCTGTAAGGCGTTGGAGCATTCGGCGACCCACTCGTTGCGCAGTTCGCATTATCTGACACCCGGTTGTTTCTTTGCTCTTCAATAACGCTTTATTACTAAAGATAACCCGATTCATTTCCCGACTTTAAGCCTGCCTAGCGCCAGTTTGCGAATAAGTTCCAACACCTGCCATGGCTCAGTGGTAGAACCTTGGGATGCCGCGCATGGTACCTGGGTTTAAGTCCCATTGCGTCCTTGGTGTCGTTTACTGACTTTTTCTTATTTTGTGTGATAGAGGTTACTGACACCAGTGGCAGTGGCAGACAACTACAGCGCGCACGTGGCCCGTGTTGGGATCTCATAACAGCTTTCGCTGTAAACGAACAAAAGTATGTGTTTGTCATTTTAATATGCCTTCCAAATAGACCAGCAACAAAAGCTTTAGGACCTTTTGCAGTTTATCAACAGCAGCTATCCACCACATATCCACCACAGCTCTTCATTGCGTGCCCTAGTTTGTATATCTTTTTAAAGATAAAGCAGTGGTAGCACATACGTCAGCTTTTTGACGCATGTGTGTTGGCCTCTTTTTTAATAAACCAATCAACAGGTCACGTTGTTGCTACCCACAGTTTCACTGTGCGTTCTGCAATCACAACAACTGGTACATGAACAGGTAGAATAACTTTTATTCGTGCTAGTCTGTCTATCTATCTATCTATCTATCTATCTATCTATCTATCTATCTATCTATCTATCTATCTATCTATCTATCTATCTATCTATCTATCTATCTATTTGTCTATCTATCTATCTATCTATCTATCTATCTATCTATCTATCTATCTATCTATCTATCTGTTTGCTTTATTAGTCAGCCAAATTGACAAACTCTGCAAATTGAACGTTGCCATTAAAATCGATGTCATGCGAAGCATGCACAGAGAAGTTGGCTGTGATGTAATTTTTTGGTGAGCAAAACGATACGAAATGACGCTGACCATTTCTACATATGGTATTCGCACATGAATGTATCAGGAACAGTCGCATAGGTTTATTCAACAACTTGTTTACATTTGCGTAAGATTGCATAACATTACATATGTATTACAACCTTGTAAGTGACAGTGTGAAAATTATTAATGCGTTTGTGATTTCGAAGATGATGGCCCTGAATAGCTAGCTCCACGTAGGCAAACACCAGTAGATGGAGCCTAACTATAGTTGTTGAAAACCCAATGCGATTACTGTATCATTGAAGTAGATATGTAAATCCTATAAAATTACATCATCAGCTTGCAACCACGATTGATGTTTTACCAACGTTATGCCTGCTTAAGGTCCTTTTCCAAGTCAGTTGCGAGACTTCGCGTGGCTGTTTGGAAGAATAGTTGCTTATCACGCATAATGCAGTGGTTTCATAGCTTGTGGGATCATACCATATATTTTATTGCATTTTTCAAATCAGCGTTGATGATAGTTTTTTTATTATCTTGGTTTCAAATTACCGTTTTGTGTTACTGAAATTCCGTCATAGGTGTAAAGTATCAAACACCTGTGGTGCACACTTGCGAACCAGGGCTGTGGCATACGGGTATGTGCCCCACGTGTCTGGAATAATGGGTTTCATGTCATTCGCAAGTCTATTTTCGCATTGCTTATGTCATCAACATACATTCACGATCGACAAGTTCTCTAAACACTCTATAGTAATTTCGGTCTTACATTTTTTTTCTGGCGGTGGTTGCAAAAATAACCAGTCATAATTTGATAGACAGATAGATAGATAGATAGATAGATAGATAGATAGATAGATAGATAGATAGATAGATAGATAGATAGATAGATAGATAGATAGATAGATAGATAGATAGATAGATAGATAGATAGATAGATATTAACGTTGTAAAAACTGTCTAATTTTCTGCGTTACGAAAAGAAATCAATCGCGTTTATAATTCTGTGTTCTGCACAAGAGGTGTAGACTTTCCTATTCAAGTTCCTAGCAACAAGTGGATAACTTTGTTGTATATAGCAATTATCCGCGAAAATATAACGTTAACTTTAAGGTGATAAGAGCCTACTTACCGATTTCGAAGCATTTCCTTGACTGCTGCGAGAGAGCAGATTGCCGAGTGCACACCCATGGCTTGGACGTTGTGCTGTCGTGTGCGTCACACAAGGACGCTTTATTGTGAATCGCAAAGTGAGCGAACGATTCATTGTGTCTTTCTTGCAATTTTACTTAGTCGCCCAGCATATGTGCTGAATTTGTTTTTTTAACCAGCCGATTGCTCAAATGAATAATTACAGAATTTAAATACAGCCATATTACGTCTACACTTTTCGAGGCTTCATTTCCTGCTTTTGCGCACATAGTTATTTTGGTAAATGTCACCATGATGTTACAAGTAAGTGATGTCTGAAAACAGATGCGTTCATCAAGGCAGAAGGCTGACACGTCATGTGTAGTTCTTGTATTCAAACTATTGGTGTAATGGCTGCCAAGGCATATAAGAGTGCTATGTTGAATTAGTACGGTTGGAGCTTACCCAGGTCATATCGTTATAGTGAAACTAAATTAACAGCAAAATGAACAACGCAAAATGAGTGCTTCCGGGAAACCTTTAAGGTGACATTTAAGTACATCTGTTCATATATGGTGTGAAGAAGGAACTTCTTTTTTATTTTGTTTCTCATTGCGGTATCTTGCCTCCCAGTTATTCCTTTCATAAATGCCCGTGTCTTATCCTCCCGTTTGTCTACCATCCCATGATCGACATAGCATCAGCTATCGCAAAAAGACGCATAGGAATACACGTGCTACTGGTGCATCCTAGAGGAAGACGTTGTTGTACGTTGGCCGGCAGGTACCCATAACCTTATATGTTTTAGGGGCGAAGCTTCTTATAGCGGCACTCGTTCGTCCCTCGTAGTGTGTAACCAGTTTTACATTTTGACCTCCAAGGTGGTACCGGTGAGAGATTTCTTCTGTGCGTTGTTGAAGAATAAAAAAATTTGCAGCATGCGCGTTAACTAAAAGCCGAATTCTCCTGTCTCTCATTCCCCCATAGCAACCATTGGCATGTACATGGAACAGTATCTGAGAAGAAAGGGTTGCTACGTTATACTCGCTGGACATAACCTCCTTCGTTTTAGAAAGGTTTAGCGAGCGTTGGGCCGCAGTGCCATGAATACAGTGAACTAGTGGTGGTTACCTCGAGGTGGTTAAACTCGGGGTGCTTAAAGGTGGGAAGTAGAGATGAAGCGCAAGCCGTAAGAAAGTGTGCGTGTGCCACCTCTCGTTTAGTCCTTGGAATGTCCGCTGTATGGCGGTGCTTCTATATGGGGAATATATGATGAAAAGATGCGAGATGGTGGTGCTTGGAGTGTTCAATAGATAAACGAACGGACACACAGACAGATGCATGGACGGGCTCACGAATGGCTGCACTGACGGATGGACGCAAGGACGGACGCAGGGGCGGATGCATGGACGAACGCAGGGACAGATGCACAGATGGACGTGCGGACGCACGAACAGACACACGCACGGACGGGCGAATGGACGCACGGACGGCCACACAGACGGACGTATGGACGGACGGATGCTTCGCCCCACTCTCTATCATTCACTCTGTGGATATGCTGCCATTTTTTATCGCCCTCAAATAACGAATCTAGCTCGGCATGAAGCCCAGCTAGACTCGTGTGTGTGTGTGTGTGTGTGTATGAGTGTGTGTGTGTGTGTGTGTGTGTGTGTGTGTGTGTGTGTGTGTGTGTGTGTGTGCGCCATAAAAGTATCATAGCACAACAAAAGTACAGGATAACTTGACCGTGGAAGAAATTTTACATCCACTCGCTCTGCACCACGCTGCGTTAGACATCTCCAGCACGCGAAATATCTCCTCCCCTATACTATCAGCTAGGTGTTGCTGTATACGATTCTCCTCTGGTAGTACGCAAAGCTCGGGGCTGTATTGCTATCTGTTTTTGTGGGTGTGATTCAGCACTCGGGTGTTGAGACGGGGCTGGATCTAACAGAAAGATTTTTAGGTTATGTATGTACTCCATATACTGGCAGGCAGACATGTGCCTAATTGTTAACTTTTCTCGACAAAAAAAAAGATTTGCTTTTTGCAAGGGAGCATGCGAAGCTTGAGATGACAGAATGAAGACGCTATAATCAACCTAAATGCTTTTTTGTAATCACTTGATGTATATGTCACGAACCGGGAACAAATCTTTCAAGTGAAGTCTAGCAATCGCCATGAGTGTATCTTTTACCATCCATGTATTGCTTCGCTACACTACGAGTACAACCCAAAACAACGTACTTCAAATTCATATTGAACTTTATCTTGCACTACACTTGAACAAGATTATGATGGCGATGAAATATGGTAGTTGTTTATCAATTACTTTCGTCAAAATTCTGAATCGAAATACGCTCGAGCCGATTGGCATACCATGCATATTTACACGTATATTGCAAGATTTTACCTTCGCAATGGTACAGATCGTGCAGTGTTTTTGTAGTACCAGCGGCTTTCTGTTCAAACGCAAAGATACCAATGAACTTGTGAATTCCAGTAAATAAACGTACCTTCCTTCTTGATAGCACCCGACTTTTGTTTGTTTTCCGTAAAAGGCCACTGCGCCTTGAAAACTATGGGTTTAGTTTCCTAATGAATGTGAGTCACGAAAAGGTCTTTACTAGAGAAATGCAATAGATAAACAATGTTGGCCTTCTTATACCTTCTCTTTTTAAGGGCGAAGCTCCTTATGGCGTGGCTTGTGCGTCCCTCGTAGTACATAACCACCAGTGGCACATACCCGAAATGGCGGTCCTTACAATGTCTGCTGGATGGGGGCACTTGTATATGATGAATACATGATGAAAAGATGTGAGATGGCTGTGCTTGGAGTTTTCACTAGACATATGGACGGACGAACAGACTGGCACACGCACGGACAGACAGACAGAGAGATGGCCGCAAAAAGAGATGGACGGACAGACAGACGAATGAACAAACGGACGGATGCACCAAGGATCACACAGATAGGTGGACGCAAGAACAAATGGACAGACAGACTGACGAACGCTGCGCCCCACCAATCATCATTCACTCCGTGGATATGCTGTGATTTTTTTGCCTTACTATACCCTGTATTTTTGGTGCTTGTCGCTGAGATTAAAGAAAAATCACATGTCAACTTCTTGATGTTTTCAACCAACCCGCCACAGGGGTCTAGAGGTACGATGCCTGGATGCTGTCTCGAAGGTAGCGTGACCACAGCATCTAAATTCCCTTGTCGATAAAATCAAAGGCACGTGTAGTTTTTTTTAAGTATACGTTAAGAAACTCCAGGTGCTCGCTATTAAGGGAATCCTCCCCTACGGCGTCCTTCATATTGCATTTATTGAACATAATACACAAACAATGATATAAATCTTCGAGAGTCAACAGATGGCACAATATACATGTCTAATGTCTCGTATACCAAAGATGTGGCAACGTCCATATAACAGTAAAAAACAAAAGGGACGGCAATATTGATTTTACTCTTTATTGAAAACTCCAGCCTACTTCGATGCAAGGTGTCGCAAGCAGATAACGGTGCCATTTGCAGAAACATTAGAGAGAAAATGATGAGGCATTATTAGTTCAAGTCGACTTGAAAAGGCCTGTCACTCATCTCCAGTCATCATTGAAAGTGGTAACTTGTGCAAAGAACAAGCACAGGAAAATATTTTTAAAGTACACGCATAACATAAAATTTTCCTATTTTCAATGACTACTTTCAATAAACGTACATTGTAAGCAAAATCACAGGCAAATGTAAACTTGACTTCATGATGCCTAAGGAGGTTGACGTTAAAAAAAAATCTTACATGGCTTTTATAGGAAGCAGCTCGAACAATCTATCAGAGTTGCAGTTAAAGCCAGTCGCACAGCATATTTCTCATTGCAAGTCGTAGCAAATAAACCAGCTTTCACATGCTCACGTCATACAAGATATACCATGGCAGCTCTTTGTGAAAGAGAAAAATAAAGCAAAGGGAAAGCCCATCTCTGTATGTACACTGCCCTCTCCCTATGCAAGTATCGCTGTCGCGATATTCAATTACAGTCTAAGGACATGAACAATGTCGGCAGCTATTGCTGTGGAATTATAATTAAATCTGGGCCACTACATAGAATATAGAATACAAACAAGACATCATTATAGCTGCTCAAGATTGACAGCATCGGTATACAACTATTTCCTTGCTACCACCTACGCATACTTACTACATTCTCCTCTAGTTAGCGAAAGAGAAACAAGTTATTAACACACATAAGGGCATGAAACAGTGCCTTTCCATAGGTGAAACAAAGTTCATTTTAATGAGCAACGTATCTGTCAGTACATCTGCACACACTCGACGCCACCACTTTAATTCCTCTTGTCGACACAGTCAGAGTAGAATTTTCCAACAATATCAACAAAGAAATGTCGGCAACACCAAAACATCATCAGAATGATGAATAGTCAGGATGCATAGTGAAAACATACGCGCTCATATCACAATTTCTACACACACAACCAACACTGCAGCTCATAAGTACGCACTTGATGAACTAGGCACTGTAGAACATAGGACGAAACAGAAAAAAGAAAACGCTTTGAATTTCTTCCTGAGAAGATGCCGTTGATTTGCACTTTGAGAAAGAAAATAAAATGCAGAAAAGGATACCTAAAGATGCTGACCTCGAAGGTCCTTTTGCATACATGGCACTTCTAGAACCACCGACCACATGCCAATCCTATAGCTGTGTTATTGCTACTATGCGGCTGATGGAGCGCTCCGCAGAAAAACACGCCGTATCTTTCTAGCGCACGGATGCCGAATCACATGGAAGACACATCCTTATTTTTGATGTAGTAAATCGGCACAATGATTGGCATTTCATACTAAGTGTTAACAATCAAGTAAATACACTTGTCAAGACCAGCGCTTAAATGCTACCAGCATTTACACATTCGACACGTGCGATTGGTTTTGTTTATAAAAACTTCAGCAATTCAGACGTGCAATGTGAACAGATTCACATGCGAAGTGAAGCATCGTGGCATTAATCCCCGATTGAGGTGTGGCTAGCCCCTATGTTACAAAACTCAAGTACTGCTACGAGTTTACTAAAGATCAAAGCAGATTTTGTAGAATAGGCTTTGCGCTTATAATGCTTATGCAAAAGTTTATTGTCCGTAATTCACGAATATTAGAGGTCTCGGTGACATTTATTTATCCAGAAGTATGGAAAAAAATACTTTTTAACATATTACTAATTTCAACATGCTCCACAAATTTTATTCGCAGATAATTTACTACAAGAAAGTAGTAGAGTTCGTTGCAGTTTTACATGGGAAAGAATCTTGAAATGTGAGATATGCGCAGTGTTGTTGACGAGACGAACAATTTACTTTTCGACATCTGTGAAATTCGACTTCTCAAAATAAAATTAAAACCGCTAGATTAATCAAAGACACCATTTATAGGGCTGTAAACATTGAAGAAGCCCATTTTCCCCGTTAATGATCATGAATTCAAGAAGTAAGCTCTAAGGCATATACTTCAAACCTTTCCTGGAAATTGTATTAAATGATGACAAATGCTCGAGTTGATAGAGAGCACCTGTTATCCGGCGCCCATCAGTTCGTCCTCATACTGTTTCCTGAAGCAGTCACCGACAGGGAAGAAGTCCCAGCAGCGTTTTTGATATAACTCCCACACGAACGTTTCCTGTGAACAGATAGGAAACAGTCATCGTAACAATCGAAGTTTTCGCTTGCCGAAATGCTCTTCATCAAGATGCTTGAATTTAGATACAAGATTTTTTAGATCTATTGCGAAAAATAAAAACGTAGACTATAGATAGATGCCAATAATAATATTTGTAGCAATAGGTATGTACCCTATTGGTGTTGAAGCATTGGCGCAAATGTACTAATATGAGTTGACGACAAAAGCGTAGAAGTAAGATGAACCGCAAGATAACTATATCGTGTGTTTTGCAAGATGTTCGTAATATTTATATGCTACGAGGTTATAGAGAAGGTACATTGCAGGTTCGAAACTTGAACACTTCTTTGGCGATCAGAAAGCACTTACCTGGCCCGTGTACTCTGTGTCTGGTTTGTTGATGAGATGCATCAAGAAGAACCTAAATAAAATATTGCAACAAAGGCTTCAATATGCTTTGAAGCAGCAACACAGCAGTCAAAGTCAAAAGCGGTTGACAATGAAGAATCTTCATTAAAATTGTTATTTTAATTACAAGGCGTAGTTCTATGTTTCACAAAACAATAGTGCTTCTTTGGATGTCTTTCTTTAAGTAATTTGTCGTCGCGATTGGATAAACGAGAATATACGAAAGAGAATGCTGGACAGAGTTTCGAACCAAGAATTAGTGAAATCATGGGCTCAGTATCAAAGTTCTGGCGACCTCTTAGACAGGTACGTTACAGTGAACAGTGCTTTGTAAGAAAGAGTTGATGTGAAAATCCTTGAAGCTGTAGTCACACAGCATTCTTTCAGAGAAGAAATAGCAGAAATATGGGATGTTATTTCTATGAAATTAGAAAGTTTTATTTGACGGTTATATATCTTAAGAACACGGCGTCCTCATTTAGAGACCAATCTTTGTTTCGCCATTTTTAAACTTTTCTGAACACACAGCAAAATTCTAGGCTAATCGGAAGCGGGTTAATTTGGTGCCTACAGACTTTTTATAGTTCATCTTGCTGGTTTATTAATTACGGCACTCCTCCGTTGCTGACCTGAAAGTTGTGGGTGTGATCTCTGACGCGGTGGTCGTATTTCGATGGAAGTGAAAAGCTAGAGGGCCATGTCATGTGCGAGATCAGCGCATAATAACTAAAATAAGATGGCAAAATGTTCCAGAGTCATACACTGTGACATCTCACATATTTAAGTCAAGGTTTTGGCCATGAAACACCAAGAAATATCAAAGTCCATTCGCATAGTTTTCTGTTGAATTATTTTCCTGCACACCACCGCTCTAGTGAAGGAAATACCGCATTGAACAAAACATTCGACGTGGGGTGCGTGGGCAGTAACCTAAGCGGGTATACTTCTAGCCCCTCTTTAGGACGCGTACTTCCAGGGAATAACTGTGACATTCCATTTCATTTGTCGTATAAGCTTAAGAGGAAATATCGCTTTGCACGTTATAAAAAAAAAAGAGTGATTTGATCTGAAACTTGCACACGTTATAAATTCATTGTCTAGGTCATCGACATTAAAGGATATGTAAATTTGAGACATTTGTAGAGAGTCATAATGCCTGTTGCAAAAAGAAAAGAATGTGTCTCTAAACCTTACCAAATATCACGTATATAGGTTTTTGGGATATATTGATGGAGCAGCTGTTCGGCTCTTTTTCCTACCAACCTTGGCTGCATGCGCTTGATTTTAAGCTAAATCTGAGTAAACAAATCGTGCCATCTCTTCGGCAAGCAAAGGTAAGCAACGTTTTGCTTGAAAAACTTGGAAAAAGTGCATTAAGCCATGACGATTTTTTTTTGCGTGCTACAGACGCCGAAATTTCAGTGAATTTTCACAGGAAAACCTCTCTCCAAACAACACTTTGAGAGTCCTGTATTCAAAAGTAAAAAAGAGGCAAATAAAGAAGCATCCATTAGGATGTATTTTAATGTACTTACATGTAATTGGCCAAGTTATGCTCTTTCTGAACGTGTGTGTCAAAGCCGTGAGGCACCCGATCAAAATAGTCCTTGCCGATTCCACAGATGAAGCAGTTGGACTAAGGATGAAAAAAATGAGACACCAGCTGAACCAAAGCAAAATACCACAAAAAAAATGTTGCTCCCATGCCTTTCCATAAAACAAAAACGCTAAGGTATTGAAGGGTGGTGAATGTGCGCAGTACTGGTTAATTACACTGTAAATTTGAACGTCTTGTCGCGTTTTATTAAAATTGGCAAAACACCGGAATAATTCGGCAGCTGCAAACTACAAGTCAGAAGGTGCCAGATAAATTTGTACTGAACATGCATTCTAACCACATAAGTGGCGTACGGAATATTTAAAAGCAACAACATAACTTCGATACTACAATATCCAAGCGCAATTTCTTTGGAATGCTTGAATAAGCAATATAGATAAATTATTAGCCTCGTCAGCAATGGGCGTGCGTTATGCACTGCGGAAGCTTGAACACTTTGGCTAAAGCGGGTTATAGCAGAGCAATGAAATGTAAGCTTAATCAATGTGCTTCCCGATTATTCGCCCTTAGCGCATACAAGGCACTTGGATGCACATCCTTTTAACGAAATATTTGATTGGCCTTCCTAATGACTGGTGAAGCTTAATGTTGAATCATGCCACCATGTATGTGTTGCTAAATTTACATAGCAAGTTGATTTCGTGTGTGCGATTACAATACGTACAAATTTTCACAAATGTATGTATGCCACTATATGTATACCACTATGCAACTGTCAAGTACGTACAAATTTTTACAAACAGACATTGAATTTCCTGCGTACTGATCGATTACCAAAAATGTATGCCAGTATGCTACCGCCAAGTATGCCTATATACGAGTATGCTTGAGCATGCGCTCTTTATTTTTTCACAACATTGCAATTTCGGAGTACTATTACAATCTGCTCGAAGTGTTACTAGGTGTGGTAGCAATTATGCTTATGATGACCAGCAGACGGACTATTACCATTATTGTCATATTCATTACAAGAGCTTTCAGTATGGCGTAACTTATGAGCAAAAGACAAATTACTCACCTCCATATCATCGACCACACTCTGCAGCTGGTCTCTCAGTTCTCCAAAGGCATCAATAATAAGACCTGAAAAAGTAGCTCTAGTCCTATAGATACTACTACACGTAGTAAGCACGCTCCTGGAGAGTAGAAATCGCAACTGAATCATCCCAAATCGAATTAATTCAGTGTCATAATTGAGAGATGTGTCAAAAATGCGTGGAAGAAAATTGATGAACTTCACAAGTTTCAGCAAATAAACAGACATGTAATTTATAAGTAGTATGTGACAGTTTAGCACATAATACACGCATAGACACACACATTGAAAACCATGCTGCCTCACACAACAAGTTGTGCCAATCGGACTGCTGTCACTTGAGAAACGAAAAGAATGACACTCCAAGAAAACTAAGTGTTTCAGGTAAAATTACAAAAATAAAAATTCTTACCTCATAATGCAACAGCAATGGCGTCTTAATAGTGAGGGGCGTTGTTTTTTGACAAAAAGTCTCTAATTTAAAAAAAATCAACGTGTAGTGCCTAAACATATAGCTATATTGGGTTAATTAATACACAAAATTAGAACTATGGCTACGTAAAGCCATTGTAGCTTTCGAGTTCGTAAAATCTCGGCCAATTTCGAGAAAGTGAAAGTGATATGAGTGCATGTGGTATAAAAAACTTGAATGTAAAATGTGCGCGTAGCCCCTCCCCTTTCTTGAGGCGAACGTACTGCTCACACAGCTTACTTCCTAATTGGGAATTGAAACTTCAGCAAGATGTTATACACCATCTACGGCAACTACGACAGTTGTAAATTAACTGATAGCACATTCGTTGACACCTCTTCAATACCAGTAGTGACAAAAATCTATCCAAATAAACTGCCGGCGTTTTACTTTCAAAGGTCTTTAGATTACTTTAAAAGCAGTAACTTGGGTGGTATGTATTGAGTTGTTTTGGTTGATTGTGTAATGCCGTTGCGATAAGTTCTTTTTTACCTTAACTGCCCTAAATATTGCGGCAGAGCAAGAAGCGTAGAATATTTGTGGAAATGAGATTAACCTATATTAAAATATTTTGAAATACAAACCATTATCTTTACTTGTAGCGTTTTGATAAGTTTGGCAGAGCAGTGAATGTTCATTATCTTAGCAAGGCTCAACTACTTTATTTAAATAAAAATGCAGGTAGGATGTGGTAAGCATGCTTATTCTCGCTTGTTTATAGAAATAGGCAAATAAACTGCACGTTGAGCTTACCCTGAATGATGGCCAGCAGAATGACGATGACAAAGAAGAAGAAAGTGATGTCAAAAATTATGCGGTACACTTCGTATTCGTCGCCGTCCGGAGGTTCGATTTCATCCCCTGTAAGTAGTAAGGGTGGTTTCCATGCGTGTGAAAATGTCATTGCAGATTTTATTTAGCCAAAATCAGTTCATGTGTTTTTGAATTTCCCAGGAATTACACTGTAAAGAACTCTGCACCTTTATTAAAGCTTCAAACAAGCAAAACACCTTTGTTCTCGAACAAATTTTACGAAATAAGAATACAAGGGTGTTTTTCATCGCCAAACAACCTTTAAGGGGTATTGCCTAAACGTCCTTTAGAAGTCACAGATTTTTTCTCTGATCAATGCACCTATCGCCGATACGACAGTGAACAAATTGATACATGGAACTCGCTTATTAAACTCCGTTGGATCCTAGGCGAGCTTATAATAAAAGATATGTCCTTTTCAGAGCCATCTACAACCCTACCCTAAATTTAGGTATATTGTCTTGATGTTTAGGGTCTATTTATACGCAACAGAATAATTCCCTCTGGCACTGAACAACTTAAGATACTAACGTGCTATACAAACGAGTGGTTGTCTTTGTTTTTCTGTCCATACTATGACTATTTGCGCTCCGTCCACGGTGTACATCACAAAAGGCTTGGTTTTGCGTACGGTTTGGCGTGTGCGTGCATCTTTTTTTGACGTAAATGCATGTCCCCTGACCAACACATTTCAATTTTTTGATGTTCTTAACGCATAGCGTCAGTGCCGCCGAAAACCCGCCACCAGTGTCGGCCCCTTTGGTTGTGAGCAAAAAAATGTCAGTGTGTCTGTGACTGAAAAATCAAGTTACCGAGATAGCCGCGGGAGGCCGCTACTTGTTCACGCGTGCGTGCGCGATCACACTGATAAAGCCGCGCTTTCGAAGAACAAAAAAAGTGCTCAAGGTCACGGGCGCGGTAGCTTTTTTGCCTTGCCACCCCTCCCTGCTCAGCTTCGAGCGCTGTCGTCGGGAAGAAAAAAGAGATAATGCAATTGATGCATACGGCACACCTTTGTAACTGCACTTGCACTGGACAGATTCTTGAAATTATTGCGGCGTTGAATTTGTGAGTCAATAAGCTCTTCCAGTGAATTTATTCCATGATTACTTGAAAAAGTGTTTCAAGGCCCCTTTAACGCATTTCGTTCTACAGCTGTCACGACGAAAATGAGCCTATTCAGTTGTATTAGTGCGTGCTGGTCCATTCTACTGTGTGCATAATATTAAGTATGCACTTAGCGGTTGAAGGGTGCACTAGAGGCCAAATTTTGCTATCGCGTTCAAATCTTTAAGGCGAAGCCTAAAGGTCCCGCAATTTTTTTTTCGGTCATAAGAGTGTTTCGGCCCTGGAAAACACACAATAGCATGGGTGTTTCGATACGTCAAGACAAATTTTGCCTATGGTGTTTCCACGTGGCAAAACCCCTGTAAGGGAGCAAACTGGTTTACCGTGCAGGCATGGCAAAGCCGATTCAGACGAAAGTGGTGATTGCATGACGTTGCAAATATTTATTTATTATTTTGTTATTATTTATTTATTTCGATTTATTGAAAATGCCTTACTGGTCCATTAAAAGGCACTGAGTAATTAGGACGTCAGTATATACACTGCAAAAAATACAGACAAAACGTAAAACAGGAACAAGGAAACAAACAAAAAACAAAGAAGTGATAAAAAGCAAAGTGCAACATAGGTTTACAATGATAAAATGCAAAAAAATCAAGGTGTAATGAAAATATTCACGAATAGAGATGGATACGATGTGATACAGAAGGCCGCTTCGATGTGCTGTTTATGTAATAAATAGTGTTCTCGCAATTTAGCGCAGTACGCTAGCGCGACGGTACATCACTGCTTGTACTACTGCTTGACTGGTTCCACGAAAAACAAATAGAGAGGCATTGTTGCAAAACATCGCTAATACATTAAAAACAATATCTATGCGATAATTAAAAAAACGGATCGTGAAAGCATAGTTTTTTGTAAGGGTTGCCGCTGCGGTATATCCGGTACCTCCCTAGCAATCGAGCCTTGAACATCTATATCGGCCATAGGTTACCCTTTAAACATGCATACTTTGGCAGGTCTGCATTGAAAGTATTAAAACATTAATACTCCAGAAACTGCGAAACGCTGCTATTAAAGTGTTTTCTTTTTGTTTGTGGAAGTGTGCCTAATAAACGAGTGGTACTTCTGGTTCTTAACGTAGATGTGCTCCTATAGGCTACTTGACGGAAGGGTCTCAGTGCCACTGTGCTGCCTGTTAACCATTGTGTTTTGCATTTTAACAACTAAACAAACAGTGTTACGGTTGACGCACACACATGAAAATGATTGAGTTGGTGCATACGATATTTGGTGGCCTTATTAATTCACATCACGATGTATTAAAAAAACATCAACTTAGCAGCCCAAGTTGGTGACACCCACATGTCTGAGGTAAAATAGTCTATACTTACCGATTCCGCCACCAGCTCGCACACCTTTGTAGAGGTGGAAAACAAAGCACTGAAAGAATAAGATTATATTAGATATTACATCATCTAGCATCACAGTTCAAGCTGATTGGCATAACTATAGGAAAAGCTGTTTGTGTATACTTGTATAATGTTGTAGAGTTGAAATAGGTATTTTAATCACTGTGTTTCTGAGTTCAATCCTGTTACGCACCACTTCATTTTCTCGTAATACCATAGATACAAATTATTGTGAAGGTTCGTAGTATTTGATGACGACTGCAAACGGCAGAATGTGCGTTCGGCTATAAGGTGTTCTTTATCATAATATTAATTCGACATCTTTGCAGCTGTCTTTCTGGCCAAAGTCTGGCTGTTAAATCACCATGAACAGCATAATTTCCAGCTTTTAGGTTTATATGAATGCATATGCACAAGACACTCTGTGTTTGTGAATCTAAATCATTGAGATGAATCAATATAAAAGAATCAATATAAAATAAGCCCTAAATAAATAAATAAATAAATAAATAAATAAATAAATAAATAAATAAATGTTCGTCCGCAAGCACGTTTTTGCATACTGGCGTTTTTAGACCTCGAACCTTTCTACGACTACGGCTGCCCCTTGCACTTTCCCGGGAGAAAGGTACAGTGTTGTTCAGTCTCGTCTGGGCATAGGTTTCCCCAACGCCTACTTATTTAATATAGAGATGGCCATCAACCCGACGCGCACTACTGTGCCGTCGATGAGATTAGTGAACGCATTTGCTGTCGCTGCAATACACTTGCTGGGACAACAAGAGGCTTCACCTCCGCGCTGTTCTACATCACCCGGAAGGGAGTGATATTAATGTCAAGATTGTTACGGGGAAATGACGCTGCCTATCCCAGTTTCGAAAATCAACAAAAGTGCTGTTCTGTTTTATCAAAGACGCCTGTTGGATTCGTCGTTTCTGATGGCAAACGTGACAGTGTTAGCGTCGGCTCAGACAGTGACTTTTATGTCCTCCACTACACATTTCCTTTCCTCCTCTGCCTTCGAACATTACAGGGTAGCATACCAGATGCAGGCCTGGTTGACCTCTCTGACTTTATTTTGACTCCTCTCTCTATCTCTCTCTCAGTCACTGCGCCATTCACTGATCCACGTCAGAGTCTGGAATGAGCAGCTACATACCGTAAGCATACTGTGGCATTTCTGGTCAACTTGGTCGTCCTCCTCTTGAACGTAGAACTTGCGGAAAAAGCTAAATGCTATCACCGTGTAGATGTACACTATGATGGTCAGCAGCATCACTGTCAGCACCAACTGCAATATAACGTGCAGCAATGAATATAAGAACTCAAATCAACACAACTCGATTTTGTTACAGTACCTTTGTGCTCTAGTTTAACGTATTTTACATACTTTTAGATCCAGCCGGCTCTAACTCCGGGGTGTCCCAAATTAATGAGACTAGAAAAAATACTATCACGAGAGCTAAGAGGTTAATTGTAAAGCCCAAATCATGCGGCATCGCAACTGTTACTAGCAGTGTCATGCGGCTACGATGAGTAGCAATTGTGACTTCAAATATTGCAGATCCCAGACTTAGTGTCGAAAAGTAGGCTTATCTCAGGAATGCTGAACTCGTTCCTGAAAATGCTAGAAGCCTGTTTTGAAAAGCGCACATAGCAAGAATCTGATTACGCCCATACTTACAATAATAACTATTGTAAAAAGTAAAAAAAAAACCTTGGCTAGCTTTCACGAAGGGCACTCCAGAGGAATCCTAATTAAGAAAAATCTTGATGAAAATCTCACTTCTTTGCATATATATAAACCTTGAAAACGCTTCTTAAAAGCCATCGTTTTTACAACTGTCCTTTTTTTTAACACGGTTTCCTAATTACAGCATGCAGCCAAGCTACAAGGCTGATGTTGTTCTATTAAATGCATTACTTATAACTGAATGCATTACCAAAAAGACATATGTGCTTGTGTTTAAAATCCAACGGTTCCCATTACAATTCTTATGGTATAAATGCGTTTGCGTTCCTTTTTCTCAATATTTATCATAGACGCCATCATGGCTCTATTCTGCATTTGCACCCTTGTGCGTTTACAGGTAGTTTTTTTAGGTGATTCAAGAATAAATAAATCGTTCTTTAATTTCTATTGTTTGGCTTAATATTATAGTTCTCTTGCTGTTCAGGTGTTTATTAACTTTTCATTTCTGAATGGAATTTATCATTGCTTCCATAGAGTCAGTTGCTCCCCTGATAGCTAGATCTCTTTGAGTTGGTTACTTACTAAGCAGCAGGACTGTTTTAGGATCTTCATGCACGTTGCATTATCGAAGATATATAAACACGCTCCGCACCTGTTTGCCGTTGTGTGTAACCGACTGTAAGATGGTACGCAGTGTCTTGAAGCCGACAGCAACATCCAGTAGATGGGCCGCAAAGAAGAAGTAGTTCAGGTTTCCCATCACCGAGAACGTGAAGTACCACAAGTTGTACAGGAACGACTGCGCATAAAAGAAACGCAGGTTTGATGTGTCAGATGTTGTCCGAATATGAAATTACAAGCATTGATGTTCTAGAATACGATGATTAATTAAAAGAAATTGGGACGATTCACTGCTTGGCTGCTGGAACTTTCCACCCCAACAATCGATGGTCTAGCAGAACAAAATAGTGGCCACATCTCATGGGGTCTCTGACTAGGGCTCCACCTGGTAAGGTAAGGAAGCTGACAGCTAGGGGCTGGTTTTACTGACAACCTCTATTTATATAAGACCTTAATAAATACATACAACCACCAACACCAACTCCACAAAAGGTGGTAAGTTACGTTTTTAAAACCCCTAGTTTTTGTTTACTAAGGCTTGGCCAATCGGTAGAGCTCGTATAGACTCCACTTTAAGCAATAACGAAGCTCGCGGGTTCGCAAAAACTAGGTTCGGGTCACTCTACCATGTACAAGGTATGAGGTATCTAAACAGATATGTCAAAAAACAAACTCACTTGCAGAAAGTAGTTGGCGTGAAATATTCCAAGCTCAAAATGTCATAACTTATTGTGTAGTGCCTAATATCCAATTATTACGTATTATTGAGCGGTATGAGCCGCGATCGCTATGTGGTACTTTGTAAAGTGCAGTCGTGAGTGGAGGGGCCTGGAAACATTTGAGCTCTAGTGTGGGTACAGCGCATAAGAAAGGTGTTACTTGTGTATCTTGTTCTGAAACTCAGAAGACGTTTCCAAATCTAGGATGAATTGTTCTGAAGTGGTGGTACCGACAGTTCGCAAAGTCAAACGTAAACACTTTGGCATCGCTTAAAAGGTAAAGAGACAAAGTGCACTTCAGTAGGAACGTATAACTGTTGACATTGATTTCATGTTCATACAGTAACAATTGCATAAAAAAAGCTGCGACAACATGTTTTCTGAAGCAGTTAGCTTGTTGTGCCAACTAAAACTAATAATATAGCGCGCAGCAGGATTTTGCGGTTGGCAACTGCAAGCGGCTTTAAATTGCGTTTTTCAAATAACACATCTCGAAAAGTATGAAGTTGTGTTGTGAAACTTACATTATCAGTGATTGTGACTCCAGATTTCCAAATTTGGTATTTCCAGTCGACGTTCGTAATGCTAGAATTAGCAAAGAAAAAGATAACATCATTCAGAAAATCAATAACCATAAGATATGGACAACGGTATACAGCACCCATGTAAAGTGTAAATATGAGACCACTTTATACAATTATAGCAACAGATGAGTAGGCTAATCAACAGCTCCATCATACCAGGCATAAGCTATGGTATACGTTATTGGACGTAGTGGTAGTCATGTTTAGGTTAGAGGCTACAAAAAGAACACAAAATCAATTTACTTCCTCTATTGCTAACTGTAATAACAGGTAAGCTTTACGTCCCAAAACCACATTGTGGTCATGAGGAACGCATAGCATAGAGTTCCACAAATTTTTAGCACATGCGGTTTTCTAACGTGCACATAACTTTAAATACACGGGTCTCAAGCATTTTCCGACTTCATAGAGATTATAGCTTCGCGCGCAGCTGGGATTGCATACCGAAACTTTCCGGTTAGCAATCTGGCACCGTAACCACTAGGCAGCAGATTCAGATTCAGTCAGAAAACTAACTCATCCACTTTATGTTCAACTGTAGCCAAATAGTGGATGCACAAGAAGTCCACAGGAACTTCTGCATGAGCAGGAATAATACAATAACTTGGTCGTTGTTATTAGTGTGCGAATGAACACGTCTCACAAGTATTACGTACTACAATGATACTGAAAACTATTCAATAAGAGAGTCGCTCCATGGATATCTTGCCAGATGGTTTTTTTGCCTGCGTTGTCCTCTCTTGGCCGACTACTCGACGGTGATGACCCGGTCAACGGATTTCTCTAACCAGCTGCCAATATTTTACTTTTATCTCAATCTATTTTAATCATTGCTTATCTTATTCCCTCTTGAGCTACTGTTGATCTGTTGAGGTGTCGCACTCTTATGCAGACAGTTGCGCGGCTCACTTGTCTTTTAATTTTCTTTTATTTAGAAACCAGTACCCTCCCTCCTCCCCCACCTTGTTCGATACAGGACAAAGCTTTCTACTCCATGAAAAAGAACCTTTCTCCTCGTAGTTGCCAGAATCAGTATGTCAGTCACGAACACATATTATAAAGCATTTCATTCCTGAAAGTAACTTCAGAAAAGTTAACTCATGACCTAACATTTTACGTATGAATCCAACTTTCGTATCATAGATATGCTCAAAAAGGTCCACCTATACTGTGTTACTCGGGGGAGACTTACAGGGGGAACAGGCCACTGGCTTCCTCCTGTTCCTGAGAGATGGAACCGCTCTTGTCCATGCCAAGAACATTGCTCAATGCTTCGGGGTCATAGGTCTCGGAGTACTTCTGCCGCACCTGTAGAGAAATCAATAAATGGTGATTGAAAGTTAGTCATTCGCAAGCATAGACTTTTCTACTAAATGGGGTAGATTGTGCTGAACCCTCCCATTTTTTTTTCAAATGAGCGCTGAGGTGACCAGCAAGATAGCGGAAAGGTTAAAAAAAGAAAAGTAGACGACCCCACGTTTCTGGCACGAAACCACTAGGAACTTTATGTAGATTTCTCAGACTGAAAGGCTTCTTGATTTCCGAAAAATTCGCTCTTTATTCAGAAGTGTCTTAGACAGTATCTTAGGATGTGGCACGATCCACTTATTTACAAACGCTACCTTTTTAGGAATTTCCACTGCATTATTATAATTGAAGATTGAGATGCATGAGCGCTTTATTCAGCTTTTTTTGTTACCACTTGCTGGTACAAAGAATAGTTCATTGGAAATGCACATTGTATTAGCACCTTTTAGCATTAGCCGTGTTCATCTAGAATACTGTGCTGCAGAAAACATTCATTTTTAAAACATGACAACATTCGATTCGGGAATTCTTATACGGCAAATCATGACATCTGCATGAGACACGTTGTAGTACAGTACTCTATAAGTTTTCAAGACCGGAGGTTTTTAACTTGCACCTATATATATGTACCCCAGTTCCTAGCCATTTTGACTATAGCGAGAATGTGACGTTTCCTGTAGGAACTAAGCCATTGCCATTTACGTCATCAACCGAGCACTGCAAACCAGTAACTCCACAGTTGCTGACTGACAAATATGTTCGATGGGCCGAACATGCAAAGAAAGCCCTTCTGCAAGCATAACTTTTGTGCTGGTTGGAAAACTATTTCTGTTCCTACTGAAGCGTAAGAGTTTAGTCTTATATAACTATCTTCTCGTGAGTTCGCCATAAATTTTCTGGATGTGCAGACTTTGTGAATCCGGGTGCTGATGCCTAAACATTCCACTCACCCTTTTCTTGACGAACTTGTCCCAGTAGTTCACAGGAAAAGATCTGCAATAAACATTGAAGAAAAGAATGAAGATTGTGTGTCTTCTGAAATACTGCTTTCGAAGCACAATCATAACTTTAGTTTACCTTACTCTGTAGTAAACTAATGCAAATAAGAGATAAGTGTAAATGAAAGTACTTTTTTGGATAGACAGTGAAACTTACAGGGGGAACGAAAAACTAACTTGAGTTGTTGCAGATAACGAAAATCAGACAACGATCAGACATTGCAGACAACGAAAATCCGGGGACTTTTCTTCATACCACTCTCCACAATCATCCCAACTGTGCATGAAGCGGCGCTATAGATTCAGTTTTCTAATGTCTTCTAGCAGTCGTGCTTAATATCACGTCATATTCAATTCTGTTCAATATTCATATGTATTTTAAATAAATAGAGGAGCTGTCACAAAACGGTAACAATGCTGATATTGTCTAATTTTAACCTTTACTGGATACCGCACTGAAATGAATTCGCAGTGTTCTTTTACTTATGAATGTGAGCAGGCGATTTCGTTAGAAGATACTCCTATTTCACATATTACCTAAATATAGAAGATTCAGGCTTGCTCGACAGAACCAAATTGTTCTGGCATAGACTGACGCATTAGCCGTTTCATACATGTAATAAATATTGGAAAGCTCAACATGTGCGAGCATTGCCAGCGCTATTGTGCAGTTGAACTTGCGCGTGCTTGGCTTGAGAGCAGAGGATGAGCTGGCTCTTATAAAAATGTTTGATAGTAAAAACTACCAAAAGAGTTTGATGTTCTCCTAAACAAACCTCAATCGCTTCGGTGAGAGAAAAACATAATTTCTTTTTTGGTATTGCTATGATCATTGTATGCGCGCTCTCTGTCAGAACAATGGAGTTCTTACACAGATGTTTTGTGCAGAAATTTTTGTGGTCACTAACTGGGAAACTAACACACTGTATTGTTTTGGGGGCACTGAGGGGCGTTGACATTACTTTTTTTTTGAAAGTTTCATCAGATGAGACGTATATATAGAAGTGACACCTATATGTCACTGACAATGCTATTCATTAAACCAGCATTAGGCTTGTGGTAGTAGCCGAGATGAAGTTCCTGCTTGTTACCAAGTCTTCCCTCTTAAGCTACAGAGAGTCCGTGTTTCAGCCATGTGTGAAACAAGAAAAATGCGGAGGTAGAACCTAAGGTGAACATTGATATGCTATTAATTTCACCCTTTGAGTTTAGCACAAAAACGTTTTGTTATAACATGACAGTGATTGCCTGCGCTAGATAAACACTTCATTTCACAAGATTAAAGCTTCAAAAGAATACAATGCAGTGCATTGTCTCTCACTTGGTGCTTATCACAAGCTTGTCCCAACGTGCGCGTACATCATCTTCCGCAGGTTCTTCCGTGATATACAGACCGTCAAACTCCATGGCACGGGCAACTTCCTTCTCCCGTTTGAAAATGGCTAATGGAACCTGCACAGAAAAAAAGGTTGCTTGTTTTTAATACGCTCGATATATATTGGCTAAAATGTACCCATCAAGCTGATATAGAGCACGTGCGATTTTTATCGGAAAGAAAGAATGACGTAGTAACACGTAGTAACAATGGTGCTATGGTGCAGGATGATCTGATCAAATGATATTTTTACCGAACAGTAGCATGGTATAAGGCTTATATTGTCACACAGTCCTTGCATGAACGCAGACAGCAGTCAGGTTGCCTAAGATAAAACTCATTATTTGGCCGAATTCTCGGCTGTGAAACGCGCAGCATAACACACTGCGCACCACCGACAGCGGCGAACAGAGCGTCGGCATCGCTCGTCTGCTCATCGTTGGGACGTGCTGGCTTTCATACTACATGCATCGGACTTTCTAGCCTTATCACAGATGTGTGGCAGCTTGGGCTAGTTTGTATGACATGACGATAGCTATAGCACGAGAACAGAACTTTGACAAAGAGACTCTATAGCGCTCGTGTCCTTCTTGTCTCTTTGTCGTCGTTCTGTTCTAGCGCTATAACTATCGTCTTACCACAGGTGTTTCCGCAAGCTCTGAAATAGGTTAGAATGTTTGCGCCCTGCGCACAATCTTAAATCTATCCCCTACATTCGTGAGGATTCTCAAAGACTCAGACATGGTCGGGGCCAAGTATTGCTGACAGTCTGTTTGGGTGTACACCAAATGCAGCAATATTGAACCAAGAAACTCACGCTGAGAAATATAAGAAGAAGAGAATCAATAGTTCCTGAGTCACGCTTACTTAGGAACCCATGAGATAGTGACCTGGGAGCTGTCGACCATCCCCCTCTACCTCTGTACCCTATTGCAGAAGCGTCGTGCTCAATTTGAATTTATTTTAGATTTTCCTGAAGACTGCACGCACAACGCGAACGGTATAGAGTATATTCAGGAACTTGCGCGGCCAGTAGTCAGAACGCTGGAACATGTATTAAACTCGGAAGCCGACACTGTACTCGCCGCTACCAGTGCACAGCTTATACTTTGTTCAGTTCACTTTGCGGGCACTGGTTCACCCTAATAAAGCGTTTCATCTGGAACACGCGGATTGCTGCTTTCGGCAACGTCCCGACAACGGGGCTTATATCAATGACTACAAGACACAAAAGCGGTGCGTATTATTACTTCGGGCCTTAAAATACGCACCTTTAGATGGTAGTATGCGATGAGCATGCAGAAGGAGACGAGTGAGTGAAACAGGGCCATGAACCGGATTATTGGCTCCAGATAAAAGAGCTTCTCTTCTATGATCACCCACTCCTCCAACTCCTCTTCGCTTGCCTCCGAGTCGGACAATGCTTCGGTCGCGTTCGCTAACATCTCAGCCAGACCACCGCCGGCATCGCTATCGCCTTCGACGTCGCTAAGCGCGTCGGCGGCAGCCGCCACCACCCCCGCTACATCATCGTCATCACCACCACTCTCCCCGGTTGAAACCTGCAAGGCAAGTAAATGCTTGTGTTAGAGCCTCACATCGAGATATGGTAGGGTAAGGTATACGCAAAACTTTAATAATGTCCTACAGAGCGTGTTCCAACACGCAGGGGGTCACCCCCACAAAGTAACCAGAAGGTCAAGGATCGGAGGTCTGCAGGAGAGCCCAGAGTTAGTCGGCAAAAAAGGCTCTGAAGTGGAAGAAAATGGGCTGCACGCAATTTTCATGTATATATACCGGGTGTTAAAACAAATGTCCCCAAGAGTTCTGGAAGTCAGGGAAATGCGGTAATAATTTGGTGCCTTCACAACTACTTCATCTGTTGCCGCAGGCCTAATATCATTTGGGACTGTAAAGAAAAAGTGATATTAGCGAACTATTTAGACAGGCTGATATAATTAGACAGGAACGTCAAATCGGAGGACTGAAAGCCATTACGTAAAGAACTCATTGCAGCTTTGAGATTTCGAAAAACCAGACGCTAGATAGAAGTTCTAGGTAATGAAATTCTCTACATTTACCCTTTGAAGTGGCCGTTTCCTCCGAAGTTGATGTAATTGTTTTGTATGAAAAGGCACACTAATGGATCAATAATTAGACCCGATATATTCAGCACTGGTAATGTGCTCTAGAGAAAGCACACATTGATTGACAAGTAGCTAGACATAGCTGCTTTCTTAGATACATGGCTTAGACAGAAGAATAGTAAAAAAAAGAGGGTCTCCGTGTTTGTAATGTCAATACCAAGCCTAATAAAGTACATCCTATTTCGTTGGAAATGGTCGATATGCATACAATACAGACGACTTTGTACTAGAAAAATATGAAAGTCTGAATAATGTGTCTCTTTGTATATTTATTATCTGAAAAGCCACGAAGCAACCTACGGAAAATATACCTGAAGTTGTGACGCCACACATAAACAAATGTAGCTGATACCAAGAAAACGTGCAAATATATCAGCAGTATGTTTTTATGCAAAATGTATTTTCAACGCTGCTCGAGCATTGAGTGTCACATCAAAGAATTTGCCGATGAGTAGTATGCAACTTATGTTCTCCGCATGAGCGAAGAACTTCAGCAGAATACACGATGAATGCTGAAGCGGCGTAACACGGACTTCCTTCCAGCTGGAAAGCTGGAACATTCTGATTATATTCATGAAGTTTTATTGTTGGAAAAATTACCTTGTAAAAGAGAAGAATACAGTTGATGAAGAAAGCCAGCACAAGTGCGATATACTTCATGTTGTAGAAGTTTCTAGCCAGGAAGCTCTGCAAGACACAAACCAGGCAAGGAAGTTGTGAAGGTTTCGAACAATTTTACAAAGAAGAAGCTCCACCCAAATATGTGTGCACGCTATTCAGCTGAATTATGTTTGAGTACACATGTCATATTTAGTAGAGCACATCATATGCTACTTGCGATTCCGAAGCAGGCGACATTTCTTCTATAACATATGCGGGTCTTGCATTTTTACATTTAGTCCCTCCACACAATCATTACCAAGGATTCCTGGTGTAAGCATGTAATTACAGGGGATGGACATGTTGACGAATCAAGTGAGTGGCTTGACAATGTTTCACATTTCACAGATCCTTTGAAAAATCAGATACACATTGTTTGGCACTTACAAAATAATAACGAATGCATTGAATTGCTCAATAAGACTGAAGTATGAAGTAACTCTGGTGTGCTTTTTTTTCATTTTCCGGAAAATAAGTAACGTTTGCGCGTACGGAATAACAGGATATATGTAAGTATGGTGAGTCGGTTAAATTGACCTTTCATAGTCATCTATGTAAACTGTGTGTGTTTTACAAAGTCTTGCCCCTTGCGACGGGAGTGTGGTAAGAACAAGAATTAGTGCAACTAATATGGTACAGGCCTCAGTGTGGCGTGGTAAAGCTGAAGTATTAAAACTTTTGTTATAAGCCTGCTCATGGCACCCTCTTTGCAGTCGAACCAATCTCGACCCGTGTGGTCACGTTCTACAATTTTCTATAAGTGCTTCGAAACGTACAATAGATCAACCTTTTGGCAGCTTCCAATAACGATGTGAATTTTTTTCTGAAATTCAGAAGTGGCTTACGATTCCATAGTCTAAACAAAACACAGAATGAGTTTAATTTACGTGCTATAAGGTGAAACAGGCATTTACACTATAGAGGGTTTTAATGAACTAGGTACCTAATAAATAAAAGTGCGGTAAATGTTAGAACACAATTACGTTGCTTTCATTGGGCTTGATGACTAAACACATGAAAATGACAAAATTCACATGCCATATTTGGCTGACCTTTTGCGTTTCCATGAGGAATGATTCCTCAACTTTACCGAGCCGAAAATCTACTTGCTGTTATTAGATACACCGTAAGCTGTGGAGGCTGTTAATGTTAGTAATTAAGCACCTTGAAATATACTGGCCGTTTGTGAGACATCTAAAGGCAAATAATTTGTAAACTCACGGGTAGTAGCCTTGTTCATGCCTGTTTTACCTCTGTGAAATGGCAAATATTTTTCATAATAGGCAGCAACTCAAACAAGTCGCAGATTCGCTGCAAGGGCGAAGCAGTGACTTCATTAGCAACTGAATATATTCTTAAGAAGAAAGCTTCATTCATTTAGGTTGGTCACTGAAGCGAGCGAATTGACATTTAGGATTTCTATTACTTGAATGCAAGCCTAAACCTGAGAGCTGAACGCTAAGAAATGCATCAACCCTGTGCTCTTCTGCTTCAAAGAAAGTCGCGTGACCGTGAGTGCTCCCACCCGGTGTGTGAGAGTAACCATTTCACGCCGAACGTACAATATGCCAGTATACAGTGCCTTTTAAGATAGAGAGACAGCCACCTCATTTCAACTCTGCTTGACGCTTGACCCGTGTTCGCGGGCAGCGATTGTGCTTTCACTCACCCACAAAGCGCAAAGCACGAGGGGTTATGTAAAAAAATGAACCTATTACTGAACATGACGGCAACGATGAGGTCAAAATGTGGCAGCAGAGTGTTCTTGTAATTCCCACTGCAACAATTCTAGTCCAAGCACTTACCACAATCTTCTGTCCGTACTCGCTAAAATCGATGGCTGCGACAGGTGGCGCCTCGGTTGGCTTGGGTGGTTCCGCCGCTGCCATCTGGGGTGCCATCATCATGGCCGCCATCTCCGGTGTCGGCATTTTCACGCGTTTGATGTCCCTGAACGCAGTGTCAAGAAACAAAAAACACACAAGCAGCCTTCAATCGCAGCCTGCTTAAGCTCTACTGTATAATTGTAGAAGATGTGCAATTCCAAAAACAATTATCCCTAGGTATTCTTGTACTTGTAATATGTTAACCACTCACTAAATTCACAGATATATAAAAATTTAATGCTTGTTTGTAAGGAATTTGTTAGAATCATTACGAAATATATTTCACCAAGGAAAAGAGACTACTTTTGAACGTAATAACATGTGGTTACAGCATCATAAATAATGCAAAATTGTCTCAATGGGTACAATATGGGTGCTTTATGATAGTCCTTTAGAGATAAACTATGCAATATGTAGACACAAACAGTCACAAACAGATTCGTCATCTGTACCAATAAACTAGTTATTCTGTCCTGAGTTAGTTGATAATTATGAGATGTAGTCACGGCTTAATAATGACGAAGTATGAATGTAGGCCTGCGAAGGCCAAAGCTAATGGCAGGAAGAAACAGTACGAAATCTTGAATTTTGTCTACTTATATGGGGCGAAAATAAAAAAACATGACAAGGCCAACGTGGGCCACATTATGCTGCCACATGAAATGCCCTGCAGCATGGCAATAATTATAGTAATAATAAAGTGCTAATTGAAATGCACACAAGCATTGCACGTTTACTTACCCCTCTATTGTTGCCTGTGTGGCCTCCTTTGTCTTCACATCTCCATCCAAAACAGTTGTCTGAAAGTAAGTGATGATGTTTGTGAGTTCGTACGCAACACTAAACGCCTTCGTTTTTACCCAGTTGCGCATTGTTTAAAAGACGAACACATGAGTTGAAGAACATGACGGACGCCTGTTTCACGCTGAAGGAAATGTTCACGACTATCGGTTTCATCCGAAGAAACTCAACCAGCATGAAAACACAATACTCACCGTCTGCCCCAATCTACTTCTCCCCCCTCCCCTTCATCTCTCCATTGTTATAGTGCTCATGGGAAGTAGAAAGAAATACACTACAACAGTTTGTTCATTTTCGCGCCAGTCAGTAAGTCGCTTGCACTTGTACACCCTTCGTTTTCTATAAACACTGGTTGCCTTCTTGTTATATTATTGTGATTTTGCGAGAGCAATGCACGTTTTATTGCATCTTTAGTTGTTTTGAGTTTTTGCATTTATGCTTATTTATATTTTTTAGATATTTTTTTTGTTGAACAACCATACGACATCAAAGACAGCAATGCCCCGTTAGAAAAAAAAACATTTTAAGAAAGGATCCAGCAAACGTGGTCTGCTTAAACGTTGCACTCCGGCAACTTTTTTTTTTTTTCAGATGTACCACCTTCAAAGCCTATGTTGTGCATAATATGTCTTCTCTGCACTTTTGATGTGACTGTGCTCTTGAAAACAAATCACTACGAGCACTTGCACCTCGCCTTTTTTCTACAAACAAGCTTTTTTATTTCACTGCACAATATATGAGCAATATGGTTAAAATACGAACGAGAAGAAGAAATTGACGAATTTAACGCAGCGCTGAATCCACAGATAAACTTATTTGAAAAAATAAAGGAGCACACATATATCACAGTCTTAGCAGAAAAGTTCATACATAGTTCAAGAAACAAACGCAAGTCTTGTCAATGAAATATTCGTTTCTTTGCAACACACCCGCACCGTTTTTAAGACTCTTAATCACTTACTGAATTGATTTATGATGCTTTAAAACACACGCGCAGAATAATGACGGTTCAATCTTAAGTAAATGAGTTTTTTTCTTTCAAAACTAGATCTAGTTGAGAGTTGATCGTTATATACATTTATTCCTTTCCTCCTTATTTCAACGTGCTGTTACTTATTCTGCGATAAACATCCGCGAACCAGCCAAACTCGCGATTCTGCTTCAGCGTGTTTCTATTTCATTACCTGCGCATCCGGCGAAAGCCCATCCGGCAGCTCTCCATCGGGCGAGCCCTTCTCATGCGGCGATCCCTTGCTGGCGTCCTCGTCGGTGGTTTGGTCGGCGTCATCCATGCTCGACTGGGGGCTCAGCGTTGACTTCGGAGGTTGCACGTGGTACCTGGTCAAGCAGAAGTGAATTTCAGTTGAGAGCGCTTTCTCAGCCTGGAGAACATGGCAACACAGTTTTCACTGCAGTGGCTCTGGTTGTGCGCAAAATTATCACAATCAGACATATATATATATATATATATATATATATATATATATATATATATATATATATATATATATATATACATATACATATATATATATATATAATGCGAGAAAGCATGAGGTACATGCAGCACGCCGCGGGTTATTAGTCAATACACGTTGACGTTGAACTAAATTTCATTCAACATATGAGAAATTTATCTTGCTCTTCGTGCGCCACAAGTTCAAAGAACCAGTATAAATGAGTCGCGTACGCATATATAAATGTTTCGAGCACCTCAAGCGGATATGCTCTGTAATGCATACCAATATATTCCTGAAGCCAAAGAGGCGAAAGCTTTCAGTTTTTGTGCCATCTCGTCGCTTTAAAAAAATGTTAGCTATGTTGTTAAACAAGGTTCAGCTATGTTGCTGAACAAGGTTCCTAGACCTATGAGCAACGTGTATTTCTTCTAGCACTCGCAGAGATGAAATGTGTATTTAATGGTGGCAACATGATTTCGCCGCCTATAAGTAAGTGGAAGGGCCTTCTTTCTAGTGCAGCATTTCTTCAGTAATGAACAGTGCAGAAAAACAAAACGCGTTCATCAACTCACTTTACTTCGCCGTCTTCCTCAGTTTTCGTGATATCCAGGCCAAAAGCGCGCATGTGCGGGGCCATGTCCGCTTCGGCCGGAAGTCCCCCACCAGCTGCCATACCAGCCGCCATGGCCACAGCCGCGGGCCCAGCCTCTAACGCGAGCGGAGGCCCCATGGCGCCGCCATACTTCAGTCCCCTGGCGTCTTCCTCGGGCACCGCGCTGCCCACCAGGGGCTGGCCACCCATCAGTCGCAGTGTCACGCGTACCACACTCCTGCGACCGGAAGTACAAATATTTACGATAGCCCCTTACCTCTAAAGCCAAGGACAGCACAGGCACACCAATGAAACAAAAACAAGTTGGCACATATTGCAAAAAGGATGCTTGCAATACGAACGAGCACAGGTTGGCACTTTGAGGGGGAACTGGGCAGGAGATAGACCACCACCCCCCTAGTCAACTAAATAGGGGGGTACGCAAAGTCCATCGCCCATCTCTGAATGTAAAGCCCGTGCACGCCTACGCTTGAATAGTTTTTTCCATCTATGAACAAGCACGCGGAAAAATACCTAGTGCGTAACAGATCTATATATACCAGTGAACCGGATGACCACGAAGTTAAGAAGACCCGTAAGAGTTGGCGACAGAGGTGGGTGACGCGACAGGCGAAAAGTTGGTATACGTATTATTTAGCGTTTCTCGTGACTTTAGTGATGCGGCAAAAGAGTCATTTTACGCAAAGTTTGTTGACATCATACGGGCTCCAGCAAATCTAAGGTGCTGCTCTGGGACACGCTCTGCTGTGCTCTGTGAAAAGTTTTATTCTCTAGCCATTCTCGCTGCGTTTTCACGCACAATATCCTTGTAACGCGTCAAAACTGACGTAAGCTTTCTGCAGGCAATTACAATATTTCAGAAATAAAGGTATTACCGGTTATTTATTGTTTTTTTGTTTATTTATGGCTTTACCCGAACAATCAGAACCATTTCTAAAGCTTCGGGAGTCATGAGGAAGATCGGGTGAGTTGGAAAGCATGTGTATGAAGCACAGACGCACACCTCACCTACTTGTTATGCCCCATGGATTAGCAAGATGATTAACTCGTAATTAGCACGGTCATTGACCAATGGCGTATTGGTTTTCAGCATTATTTCGAGACATTCCAAGTTACTGAGCCAAATATCACCAAATGCCGCAATGTTTTCCCCACATTGGTTTAAGTGTGAAACACCAGGGAAAGAAACACTGACCTTGTAAACGCGAACATGAGCCAGATGACGTAGAAGAACCCGAAGAAAGACATCTTGAAAGACCCCAGCAAAAGCTCGCCGATGGTCATGGAGCGCAGCTTCTGGTACTGACGCCGCAGATTTGACGGCCGCAGAACAGACAACAATGCCCCGATTCCGTCTCGCAGAAGCCCCAGGCCCTGCTTCAGAGGCTCAAGGGGGCCCCTGCAATTGGCCACATTGAGGCAGGGATGCTTACCCACACACATATTTGTTGGAGGAATAAAGTCTTCTGTTGAAAAAGCACCTTCAAAGTTTACAATGATATTAGTTGAGCTGTCGCGAGTACATTGTAGGTATCGAACCTACACAGTAAGTTTGATGCATTGGTAGCTAAACTTCACTTCACTTTATTTTCCTTAAAGACCTCGCAGGGAGGTATTACATAAGGGGTGGGGTTAACATAATAGTGGCTACATACAAAACAGTGGTTACATACATTCACAAGATAGTGACTACAATGCACGTACAGTATAGTGGCTACAATACATTTATTGAGACATACCAAGTTTTATTTTTTCGGAAAATGAGGATCAGCAGACAGTTTCGACGATATCGCGGGGCAGGCTGTTCCAGTCAGCTGATGATCGACAAAAGAAAGATTCAGAAGAAGTCGTAGTGTGGCTGCGGGGACGAGTAACTTGTAAATGGTGCCCTGTGCGCAGAAATGTGCGCGGTGGCGGGGCCAGAATATATGGGGCATAGTGAAGTGAGCTGTAAAAAACTTGTGAAAAAGGATTATTGAATCGATGCGGCGCCGGGACGATAGCGTGTTCAAGCCAGACTGAAACACAAGACGAAAAAAACACATTTTTTTTTGTTTCGCACCACCAAATCATCAAAATATTGACGTACGGAGTCTGGACGAATGCCTAGGTTCTTACGCACTTCTTTTTTTTTATACACGCTCAGTCAGCTACTGAATAACGAACGGCATGCAGGTGGTGCTTCAAACGCTTTGAAAGATACCCCGGGGAGCCCAGCGTAAAAAAAAAAAAAAAACATACGAGTGGTGATCTGAAACCAACGCGTCAAGCGGCATAATCCAGCCACATGCATGTAAAAGTGGCTCCACGCTATGTTACGACGCATGCGCACCAAGCGCAAGGGCAGAAAAAGAAAAAGAAATGAAAAGAGTCATGGCGCCGGCCTGGCCTGGCGTGCGCTGGCGCCAGCGTAGAGGAACCGGCAGCACTGCCACGATTAGCGCGACGTTTGATACCTGCGGCGGCGCGCTCCCGCATTCTGCGTTGCCTGCATAGCCGTCATTTGGTTCTATTGTCGTGTGATGACCGTTTCTGAATTACTCAGTGGTGTCAGACATGTGCACACGTTTTGCCCTGGCAGCTTGACTGGTTTTCAATACGCTGGACATGAACGGTCCTCTGAGACGGCCATTGAACTATCTGTATACACTGCAAAAGCGTTCGTTTCGGGACGGTTTCGGGTCTGCAGCGAACCTTCGGCCGCGACTACCCAGGAAGAAGACGTGCATGCTGCGTGCTCGGCATAGTTCTAAACTCGAACGGTAAGTTATGCTTCTGTTTTTTCTACTCATCCTTATCGTTGCTCGGGCGCTTGCAGGAGTTGTTCAGCACTGTTTGTCGCGAGAAAGGTACAGTATTAAAAAGAAAAAAGAAAGAGCAAGACAAATATGCGCGTTTGAAGACTACTGCGAGGGCAGCACCTAAACGCTTCATACGGCCAGTTAATCGACACGTGTGCGCACTTTGCTAAGGATATTGTGCGCGATATGATTGTTTGCGATAAAGTACAAGTGCGGAGACGTGCTTTCAGGGAATACTAAAGCGAAAGGTCTCGCTTATCGTGCCGTCGTTTTGTCACGTGGGCACTAATACGAAGTTTCTTTTCACTTTTCATTTTACTCTGTTCCCTCACTTTGTTATTTGTGCTTATCTTCAGCGTGAACTTGTGCTCAACACTAGCGTGTGGCATAACCGCGTACCCCTCTTTTTGAGTGCGTACAGATGATGCTGATGTGAGCTACTCTGGACGTCCTTGTTCCGCCACTGAAATATTTGCATCAATGAATTATTCTTCTTATAAAAGCACCTTTACGAAAGTGAAGATCAACAGTGCACCCTAGCGTCATACCTCGTTGTTTTGTCTTACGTGCAGACGTGGCTAAAAACATGAACTAGATAGCATGCACTGTTTTGCTGTTTTTTCTGTGCCTTTCGTCGTTGATTTTATTTTAGATTTTGAAAAAAAAGCTTACAGTAAAAGCAGTCGAGCAATAGTTTTCAGTATGACATTCTGTCTGGTGAGTGTTAATAGCTGGGGCTTAACGCCCCGAAACCACCACATGATTGTGAGAGACACTGTCGGACAGGGCTCGAAATATTTCGACCACCCAGTGTTCTCTAACGTGCGCTGACGTCACACAGCACATGGGCCTCTACCATTCCGCTGCCGTCCGAATCCGGCCGGGATCGAATCCGTGACCTTCAGGTCAGCAGCCGAGTACCTTAACCACTTATTCACTGTCGTGGACCAATCGCATGAATGTACTGGGTGGCCACCAAAAGGACCCATTTTCAAAACCTGGTCCATCCTAGGCTTTTTATTCTTATTGCGCCCGACAGTGGTTACTTACGTTGGCTGTGGTGGTGGACAACTACAGCACCACTGTTGTGATCTCATAACATTTTCAATAAAAAAAAAGCCACCCGCATTTTCCCACGTGGGGAACTCGAATAAATGCGTCACAAAAAAAGGTGGGGTTGTCACGTGAATGTTGCATAATCATGTATGGTTTACAAGCCTAACTGTTATTGCGTTTTTATTATTTCTATTGATTAAATGAAAGAAAAGCGTTATCTTCAACGTGAAGCGAAAGCCAAGTAAAGACGCCCTTGACTGAATTCCTAACGCGCGATCCAGTACCTCCATATACGGGGTGGCCAGTGAACGGTTGATCAGCACGAACAGTGTTTTAGGGGCGAAGCTCCTTAGGGCGTGGGCTGTGCGTCCCCTGTAGCCTGCATGTAGCCACCTCTAGTTTAGTTCTTGCAGTGTTCACTAGATGGCGGTACCGTCTCCTGTATGTAGCCACCTCTCGTTTAGTTCTTGTAGTGTTTACTAGATGGTGGTACTTGTAGCTGATGATGAAAAGATGCAAGATGTTATAAACTAGAAAGCGGTACTTGTAGTTGATGAAAGACGCGAGATCTTATAAAATAGGAATAATGTCACATATGGCGCGTGTCATTGGTTGAAGGCAATCGTTCGATTTAGTGCGGCGACGTACGCTAGGGGGAGCGATGTAATAAAATCGAGTGGGCAAAATGTACAGAGGATTCATGGTTTACCAGGTTTACCTCCGGAGCTTCGCCCACTCATCATCATTCACTTCGTGGATATGGTGGCACTTTTTTTGTTTCTTTTTTTACTAGAATACGCTGCCTGCGTCGGCCTCGCGAATCGAGGGGGAAGGGAGCGACAGTTTTGCAGTTGTCTTCCGGGGCTGGCACAATAAGGGAGCATGCGCTTCTCTGCACGAGACTCGATAAGGGTGTGGACGGCACCACAATTGACGCCGAAGCGCGACAACGTGCGACTAAGAAATGCTCCGAATTTAAAAGCTGAAGGCAATATGGCAGTGAAAGGCACTTACGGTGGCCTCTCCTCTTCCGCTCCCAAGAATGTGTAGGGCTCTGCTTTGGCTGGAGGCTCCTCGGTGTCTTCATTTGATATACTGCTCGCATGTTGCATCTGCACAGGCCGAAGTATGTCTCAAATTTATGTTTATTTACCCAGCGTCAATACATGTACTTATTTACATGTCTTTATGAAATTGACTTGTGATTGTGCTTCAGATTTGTCGTCTTTTCTATAATTTAAAGGACGTATCGTTAAAAACAGCTGTAGAATCACCGCATTCTATTCACAAGCACTAAACGAAACATTAATAATGCGCTTCTGAAGTACTTTCAGAAGTACTAGGGCGAATATTACTGACAACGCATCTATAGTTTATCAAGAAGGTATAGGTATAGCCAATGATTTTGTTGAATGATCAAAATGAATAACCTTACTTTCTAGAGAAATCATCGGATTACATTCACGGGGTTACACAATAAATCATCACGCACTCTTGCTTGTGTTCTTTTACTGTAATGAATGTGAACAAATATTGAACCGTTGTATCAGTATGAAGGCAACCTTTCACTTAAAGTCAGGTTGTGAAGTTGCCACAGGTGGGTTTCTATCTTACTGACGAGATGAATGAGAGATTCACGATTTCAGCAGTACAATTGTAAATGCGAAGTATTTGAACCAAGAATAGCTACTATACCTCAAATATGGCGTCTTCGCAGAAATTAACGAATGCCTCCAATTTCTCTTTGTCACCACCCTCGGTTACGATGCTATAGAAGAAGGCTCTCTTCGACTCCTGCATTATGGCAGGAAAACAACAACAAGACCATTTCAACACATAACAAGATTTAACAAACGTGTCTTTAAAATCAAGTATCATGCATTTTATGGCTCTAGACCTTTTGTTTCTTCATGCTAAGTAATTTATACAAGTTACACAATGTTTCGCCATACTGTTAGTGCATGTAAGCCATTAAAACTAATACCTGCCTTCTAGAAAGTATCTTTTAGGAGATAACACATATGTTACCAGTAGAACTCACTTTTCACTCACGAATATGAAACAAATGATTACTAATCACCCCGCGAAAAATTCACATTGCCAGCGAATTGTTACGAGAATGAGCTACGCGATTCAACATTTAGAAACCAAGCAAGCACAGTATGCATTGGTCATGCACTACTTGCCTTAATTTGAGGTTTCTCCCACTGATCAATTGTTGACTCCTTGATTTCGAAATATACCCTCTCAATTCTCTTGCTGCCACCTGCACGTGAAATGAACAAATAAGAGAATTACGAAATTAGTAGGTGCATGCTTACAATGCCAAACCAAATATTTCAGAAAGGTCTAACAATTTTCGTGTTGCAAAAAGTGTGATGAGAAGAGAAGCATTGCTGCAGATACCACTAGATGATGGTGAACTTCAACTGCATTCCTTGAACTTACCCATGATTTCAATGCGACCGAGGAACTGTTCAAAGTAGTTGAGCACACTGCTAGCAGTTTCGAGGAAACGTTGTAACCTGAAACACAACGTACGTTGGTCAATGTCATTGAAAATGTCTTCCAATTTTTTGTATATGTAAGGCATGTATGCACAGCATGTATTGAATTTAAGTGTTGTATTGTAAGAAGAGCATAATCTCAAGATAGACAGCATAGGGCATATGCAACTTGTGATAACCTAGAACCTGTGAATCGGAAGTTACTTTGTAAGCCTAGCATGGGGCTTAAGTATCTGCGCCTCCTTAACACCTAGTCTGCCTTCTGTGCTCTACCAAAATTACTGCTTGCAACTTGTCACAAATGAATGTCCTTGTACTCCTTACCGTGGATCATTCGGCATGTGTTCCGATAGATTTGTAAGCAGCACAGCCAAGTTGAAGCCTGAAACAGATTGCCTATATAAGCACTTTATATACTTATCAGCTAATTAACCATTCTATGAAACAGGCAAACTTCGAGTGTTTTTCTGTTACCTTAATTCAAGACATCTTCATGTTATATGTTTTTATTTTGTCATTCATCAAAAAAGTCATGCATTCGAGATGTAGTCATCTTTTTTTCTGAGCTAATGTAACCTAGGCTTGGAAGATTTTGTTATATATGCCCCGCCGCGGTGGTCTAGTGGCTAAGGTACTCGGCTGCTGACCCGCAGGGCGCGGGTTCAAATCCCGGCTGCGGCGGCTGCATTTTCGATGGAGGCGGAAATGTTGTAGGCCCGTGTGCTCAGATTTGGGTGCACGTTAAAGAACCCCAGGTGGTCTAAATTTCCGGAGCCCTCCACTACGGCGTCTCTCATAATCATATAGTGGTTTTGGGACGTTAAACCCCACATATCAAGATTTTGTTATATACATCATGCAAAGTGAAGCGTCTTTATTTATTTCTCTCTGTAATAGTATTATCTGTAGAAGTTAATTTTTAATACTGTTACATTTGAAAGAAACTAGTAGACGTTGAAAGGGGCCGTTTATTTGGTCGTGAGGGGCAGCTCAGAAGCGGCCGACTGGTTCAAGATCCTCCTGATCCTCTTCTTCCTTTCTCGCTCTGGGCGACAAGTGCGTTCACCATGTACGCTTATCTGTCTTTGTGCATGTGCGCAACAATATAAACTAATTTTAAAGCGTATAACAAAATATCGTCTTCATCAAAATCACATATAGGTATACCTTAGCATAGGGTAAAGAAGCATCATTAAACCCTTCCAGCAGTTATACCATTATCAGAGACAAGCAATATAAGATGACTCAATTTATTGTAATAACTGCTCGCAGTATACACACGAGAATACTCCAGCACTTCATATAGGTGTGAAATATAATCTTACCGATGTCCTTGGCTGGATTATGAAATCTTTCCGTGAATTCCCGGTAATCAATCAGGTCGTCCATGTTGGGTTCACAGCAGCTCATTAGGAAAGCAATTTCATCCCTAGAAAAAATGTTGCAACTTGTCAACGTGACATCTACCATACCACAATTGCACCATTTTTCTAAAATCTTTCGGCTGAACACTTCATTACACTCGTTACTAACACGCAAGTGAAACAGAGGGCCAAGTAGGCACTGTGTTTTGAAAAAGATATTGAGAATGCGCAATGTCATTACCGCATCAGCTCCGAGTTTCTGAAATTTTTGGCGACACACAAGAAACCTCGGCAACTGCACCTGCTCATAAACAGCATATCACTCACGTTTCCTTGTACTTCCGAAATACTAACAGTGCCTATGCCACAACCTGAAGCATTGGATTTCATCCTCTTGTTTCAAAATATACATACGGGTTGTAAATTTTCTGTTGCTCCATAGCTCTGCGGAAGTCCTTCGGTGTGATCCAGCCTGTATTCTTGGAGTCAATCTCCTGCAACCAGGAGTCATGGATCCATAAATACCCTCATATATCATATACTTCCTTATATACCTACAACATTTTTGGCTACATATCATACCTGGAATGAGCTTGACGACGTGAGCTCCTTGAGCTTGAGGAACATGTCGAAGAACCTCAATATTAGCTGCAGGAAAGGTACAGAAAGCTTAGGCGTCAGTGACAGTATCGTTTGAGAAATTTAATTGATCAGTTAAAAATATTGAAGGGAGCACTGAAAAGGAAGAGGTTTATTGGGAGACAGAATCACAACAACTAATTCAAATGAGCGCTAAGGCAATCAGGAGAATAAATATGACCGGCGAAATGAGAAAAACAAAAAATACTGTTTGGAAGCCTGCGAATACGATGAATGAAAGCAAAAAAAGTGTTTGAAACAATGTTCGGTTGTTAAAAATTGTATTAACGATCAATATGTCAATATACATTCCGTCTGTTCCCAGCTAGAACAGCAAATGGAAGTTTGGTGCACTCGTTCACACATGCACAAAATCGTATACCCAAACAAACTGTTTCTTTGTAAGCCAACTGTATTCATCACTTTATTGAGCATTCATGCAGAATACAGCAGCTCTGTAGCAATGAATACGCAATATAATCATTAGTTTCTGTCCAGGGAATGTATACAGGTGGTCGCTTTAGAAAAAGTGTTAGGCTGCCATCTTAGAAAAACTACAAGATTTCAACTGTGCTGCAATATTCGAGACTATTTGTTTTATTTTGGCATTGAAGCTGCTAGAATATTATCTGCTAAACTGTAACTTTGTATTAAATCCTCACATCTTATCATAGATTGTTGCCGTGCAGAAACAAGAAATATGGATAACAGCTCACCTCTACATTTGAGGCTGATTCGACCAGTGTGTCCACCATTTGTTTTCCAATTGTACCATTCATAACGTTGCCTGTGTGTACAGCAGAAACGATTGATTTTTGTATCAACGTCCATACACGTTATACGAATAGGCACACATATTCATACGCGTATGTTCACACACATACACATCGAATCGAAAATTAGGGCTGCACAACACAAGTTTTGTGGTCACCCAATGAAATTAGCTGAAACACCAGTCAGTCATACTTACAAGGCCCATTGTCTATGCTATTTTGCTCATTGGCTCACATAAAAATGGTACGATGGATGCTACATGCACACAAGCACATCGAACTATACTATGCCACACGTTCTGTCAACACCCTTTTAGACAACCTTGCCCGAGGCAATGAAAAAATATGAAAAATCTAAACAACTGAAGACATTCAAATTTTTGCAAGGCGCTACTTAAAAAGAAAGATCTCATGCTTCTTTTACGCCTGAAAAACTAGGGTCAAATACTTACAACCAATTACCTTGCAATTATTCACGAGGGCATTCGTAAAACACAGCATCGGGTTCACCGTAGGCGGGATTGGATAATAAAAGATCAACATAACATCCTCAAAACAAAATGTTTACGTTTCTGCATAACGCCGACTTGAGCTGAACATTCCTTTTTGTTCAGAACAAACATGTGTTTCAACTTAAAAACTGAAAGTCGAGCCACTGCTTTCACAAAAAATAAAATCTAGGACCAAAATTGATTTCACATACGATATATTCTTTACGAAGTTCTATCAAACTTTCGTTAAGTGATTCTCCATAGTTTATTGCTGTAAGTTCTACATACCTTCAAGCATACTGAGCATCATTATAACCATCTCCTGTTGCAGCTGCAGCAGCTCATTGAGGAGGTCCAATTGACTTGAGTTCTGAAACGGAAAGGAAAACGTTGCATACAGTGTTTGCTTCTACTGTCTATGTCTATGAAACCATGCTGTATCATCTGAAGGCCATACACTAAAACATTACATCCTCTTGGCTGTGCAACCTACACAGCAGAACAAACAATTGAAAGTGAATGGGCTGATTGTTTGAATAGAATGTGCGTTGTTACCAATGGGAAACACGTGTACATTAACCTAAACCTCCTTACGACCAAATTACGCGATGAACAATTTTATTAGCGTGATTATCAATGGAGTCAAAAATAACCATTTTTGTCGCATCCCACTTACGGCAGGCCGCTTATAGGTTTGCTAAAACTCGCAGCGCATGTCGAAGCGACCGAGAACATGATAACTATGCCACGTAACCATCAAACGGCATGGTGTCCTAGCTACCAGTCGCAGACTGTGCGATGAATTCCAGCGACAATCTGATGATAAATCTAAATGCGGAGGCTGTGGCAGCAGAACGCCTCAACACAATGTAGTGTGAGACGCAGCTACACAGTTTTCTGTCACTTCACGACGGGCTCTAAGTACCTGTAGCTTTTTCGGTCGAGAGTACATCATCCGCAATTTCTCTGGCACTAGAGTACAGCACCAGTTTTACCCTACATACTGTATTCACCCACGACGGCTTAGAAAACCCTGGATTGACGGGCCACTGATATACAAGAGTTCTTGCTAGCATGCGGAAGACAGTAAGATTCAACATAACGAGTCTAGCCTGCAAGATTGAGTGCGTTACCTTGGACAACTTGTCTTGCATGTGAGCGAAGAGGAAAAGGAAGCCGCCCACGGCATCCCAGAGACGACTGTGAGCTAGCGCCTGCTGGTTCAACGAACATGGACCCTGTGCCAAGAGAGGCAGTAAATTTTTACTATCACCACAACGATAATATTGATTGATATCATCACCGAGATATTTTTTTACATTGATGGAAGATACTGTTTATCTACTGATGTTGTTCTTACTCTCTATGACTAAATCTTTCTAACATTATTGTACCAGCAGCAATCTGCGAAGCGTGTGGCTCATTTTTATTATAATGTACGCATCTTCAGCATACAATGAATATATGAGATGTACTTATCAGTATCATCATACGTGGCTTATTCTGAACCACTACAAGTTGTCCTAAAAACCACATAAACTTACACAACGCAATAAATAAGGAAGTAACAAATTAACAAAATATTTTCACTCAGTTCAAAAAGTCCTGCTGCTGACATGCTGTAAGCACAGGAACTCAACTATACACTCTAAAAAAAGATCGAGTAAAAAAGGCATCTTTTTGAACCCCAGCAATAATCGTCATCGATATTGCGCTACTTGCTTGCGCTATAACGACGCGCCCCCGCTACATTCTGGTCACGAACGACATGCACGTTATCAATGTTACATAGCATTCTCAATAGTAAACTGACCAGCACCGAGGTTTCAAGAAAGGAAGTGCACAAGCCTGATGACGATTATTGTTGTGGGACAAAAAGACACCCTTTTTACTCTATATTTTGTTAGAGTGTAGCAGTGCTACATGCGTTTTTGATTAAGACCACTAAGATAACAAACTTCACAAATCACTGTTTGCCTTATACGGTAATTTACAAAACTTGCCTTGTACTTTGACGGAAATTGAATATTTTTTGGGTTTCCTTGTCGGTAGTAGCCCCAATATTTGATCATGCATTTCAAAGGCTATGCACTTTTTTCAATACAATATCCTCCGAGAATATGTGTCCATAAAACACGTGGTGGACTTGTGCTGGAATGCCGACCAGGTGAACACAATAGAAAATGGCCTCGTCTCCGCCCGAACTACATACTACTTAAGAGGAATGTGACTTTATTACTATACTTAGAATTTTCAAAAATCTACATTTAATTCTTTAAGGCATCCTTGTGTCATGCTTCTTTCTTAAAAAACATTTTAGTCTTTTCTTCAGCCTGTTTATAATTTCCTCATAAACTATTGCGTTCAGGTGCAGTCCGTACAGTGAAGAAGGCTCTGTCCATTTAAGGATTTGTCAAAATACCACGCAAAAAGACCATGCTAGATATAAGCTAAGAAAATTTAAGCAATACAACACCTATACAAATTTCAAACAAGGCTCGTCACCAAGGAGAACTGTAAATTTTATATACCTCCATTCCCTAGACAATTTCGCAAAAAAAAATATCGCTGGCATATTTTCAGTTATACACAATGTCCTAGACTCCTAGTAGACGTATTATTGTTCTCACCTGGATAAACTCAGTAAGAGTGTTGAAAACTTGTTTGGCAACCGTGATGGCACGACAGAAGTTGTCCTTGCCCTGTTGTTGACAAAATATGGCTCAAATTTTTCATTGTTGTGAGGTTTAATGCGACTTAAAAACATATGCCCAGACAGTATGATTTCCACTTACCGGTTGATCAATAATTTCTTTGCTTGAATAATGCCAATAGAAATCCATGATTGATTCCTGGCAGAGTCAAAAATGAAATATTACTTCTTCCCGAAAGTACAGCATACGGAAGCAGAAATATTTCTCACCAGAGGGAGAGGGGTGAATTTGTATTTGTACATTGGGTGTACATCAGGTTAAGCCGATGTAAAAATATGGATTTTTTTGCCATGGTGAAAAACTTCGATGAATTAGAAAGGCATTTAGTTGTAGCAATAAATAAAGGAAATACAGTTCCCTAAATGGCTATGTATTAAAAATATAAAATTCTGCATGTACACTTGAAGGAATTGAAGGCGTACCTGCAGCCGGAGCAAGTAATCCACCGTGCTGATAACGACGTTAACAGTTGTCGTGTTTCCAGCTTGAGTCCTTAAGTAGTTCTGAAATTCTGCAAAATATAAATAATATTCAAAATGGCGTGTGTGCGTTTAATAGTTATTGAGACGGGAGAAGCAATGTTTTATTACAGCTGAAATCTCTTGATCTTTTGCTAAAGCCATTATCATAAGTAATTAAAAGAACTCAAAGTTAAGGTAGTGGGTGAAATTTCGCTAAGGCACATTGGCGAACTAGATGATTGGGGTTCATTATTTATACGGGTATAGCGCACCACCACAAGGACACAAAATACACACACACACACACACACACACACACACAAACACACACACACACAAACACACACGCACACAAACACACACACACACACGCACGAACAAGCACACTCACGCACACACACACACACACACACACACACACACACACAAACACACACACACACACACGGACGCACGCACGCACAAGCACACACAAACACACACACGGATGCACGCACGCACAAGCACACTCACACACACACACACACGCACGAACGCACGCACAAGCACACTCACACACACACGGACTCACGCACGCACAAGCACACTCACACAGCGCTATACCCATATGGGTGGTATGCGCTGTGTGTGTGTGAGCGCTGTGTGTGTGTCTCTCATATGTGTCTTCGTCGTGGTACACGATACCGCAATAATTTTTAAAAATTCACCATGAAAAAAATGTGTGCCACCGCAAGAGAAGAGAAGAGTGGCGTTTACTTCGTCCCTTCCGTAATTTTATGTTTGCACGCCTTATCCTCCTTTTTGATGTATGAGTTATTGTAAAGTGACAATGGTCATGCAACTATCTAAGTGTTAAAGGCTATGCAAATGATCTCTTCTATTTAAACTTCTTTCCTTTATTTATAGCGAGCGCCTCGTTGTGACAGATTTCACGTGTTCACGTAGTACGCGAGCGAATATTGGTAAGCTGCCTGCTTGCCACAAAATCACGTGCTAAGTAAGGTTAAAAAGCCATGAAAGTGTTCAACACTCGCCGTAACGGCTACAGGTGGTGCTGACTGACAATCGCATGTTTAAATGCGTATATACGCCCTATATAATAACCAAGAGATTACTGCCACCGTGGCTCAATCGGTTCACCATCGTACGCGTTATTCTAAGGAAGCAGGTTCGCAACCTGCCGGTGGAAGTTTATCTTTTCGTCCACTTTTTTTTTCTTCACAAATATTTTACAATTACTACTAAGGACATCTCGTATTCTTTCCATGAAATCTATAACTGTTAATTATGAATATTTACATTATGAGTATTCTCACTGCTTAGAACTGTTGAGAACGTCAGCCAATGCAGTCCCTGTTCTCTAGTTATATTTTGTGGGGGCAAAAGTAGGACCTCTAACACACGGGCAACTCCTAAAAGTGTTTATGTATAGCATACAATCAATGAGAGCCAATATTTTCGTCATGCATTGATGTCTTTCATAGAGGTATCTGCGGCTTTGTCTAAACCGTTCATAAATTCTGCTTTCACAATGCTGCCTTGAAGTTGCATTGCATATGGCTCATGAGGCCCGAGTAGGATAAAAAACTTTTGCGTTTCTGACTTCTGCATTTCATTATATTCCCTCTATACTAAACTTTGAGATTTTCTGCAACTTTATTATTGCGATAGCAATTATATATACACCTTCAGCTGGCTTTTGCCGCCGGTGTCGATGTTGGCATCGCCGCCACTCACTGTGTGCTGTTGTATCTATATATATGAAAACACAAGAAAGTAATATAATCCAGAAGAACACTCCGGCACGCAGAATCGAACGTAGGGCCTCTGAATTGTGAGGCGTTCATCACTTAGCCACGAAGGAGCACCTCCTTCAACGTTCGAATGGCAAGATACTTATATCGATTGCTTACCGCTGGTGACGGGCATCTTGGGGAAAACTGTGGTGTTTTCAGCATTATCAGCAAGATGGCACAATTATCGCACATCGCCACATCGTCACGACGCACCGGCGCGAGATCTAATCTCCCACGCGTACTTTGCCCCATGGAGAAGGAGCAGGGCTGACCGCACCCGTGCGCTTATCTCGCGGTGGGAACACACGTACGTCTTGGCTGGCCTCGGCCTTTCACTGGAACGATTCTGTTGTAGTTACTTAAAGGTTACTTAAATCCTGGCTTGGTCTCCATTTGCGTCTGAGCACTTTTCAGACACAGTATAGTATCAACTGAGACGCTTATCCGCGTTAATCTGTACCTGTAGGTACGTCTCGTGCGTCATTTGTGCGTGACAAATGAGAGGCAAGTTTTCATCTGCTTCCCAATCTCCACGTGACCTTTCAATTCATTGCTTCGCCTTTGCGACAAAGCTTTGACTTTTTATTATTTCCAGGACGCTTCACAGTAGACAACACTACGCTCTAGAATCGCTATGTCGTGTATTTGTTAACAAAATAAGCAGTGACAGTTCCTCGTGTATTGAAATAAATAGCGAACCGTGAAGAAATGGGAGAACCACAGTTCCTTCTTACCCAAGTTGTGGCCTTCACAGAGAAGTTGCAGGAAGCGGAACAGGGCACAAGTGAAATCCGCATCGTGCATGTTCTTCTCGCCTGCTGTACCCTCTGCACCAACACCCAAGCCCTCCGCCTTCTGCGTGCGTTCGAAGGCGTCCAGGTCCAGCACGCTGAAACACGTAATTGTAAACAAAAAGACGGAAATACTTCCTCCAAACAAACGAATGGCAGTCTAAATATACGTGTAAGTCAATTTATAAAATACGCAGGGTGTCGCTCCTATGGAAACTCATATGATTATTGCCCTACATGTTGAGAAATACCATTGTTTACCCAGAAGGAGTTTAAGAAAGGTGAAAACACTGACGCACGTGATTCTATGCACAGAAGTAGAAGTTTGTTTCTGTATCTACCCGTTGTATCGACATAGCGTTGAAAATAGGTGATCTGAATGAAGAGGTGAATTGAAGCCTCTTGCAAGTTTAACATGGTTATATAAACTTTCCTAAAATGAAAAAATTCAGGCTGACTAATATCATCTTTCGTGAAGCTTATTGAGAGGAAAAAAAAACTTCAAGCAGCTTTGCAATGAGGTGTCAAGACTGTAGGGAGTTTGGAGTTGGGTGACCGTCCTTCTTTGTTTTCAGGTTTTTTTCTTTCTTCCTCGGCTTTTCTTTTTTCGGTTTTTTTATTGGTTTCTCCAATTTTTCATTCAGATGTATGTATTTTCTGTTTTGCTTATTTGCATCTTACCTGCTCTTTTCGACATTCTTCGCGCTTCCCCCCTTTTGCTCTCTTTATATTTCACGTTTTCTTCCTCTTTTTTCTATTTTTATTTCCCTCTGTGTTTCTCATTTTTATTACTTTTTTTTAGTTTTCTCAATTTTATACAATGTTTTCTTGCTGTCTGTTTGCTTCTTTCTCTGTGTTGTTCATTCGGTGTTTGCTAACCTTTATTCTTTCCTGCTCTCCATTTTTCTCACGATCACTTTATATTTCTCTCTCTTTTTGAAATTCTTTGTTCACTCGCCTATTCACTTGCTTCCTCAGTAACTCTATATATCACCCACTCCATTTTTAACGAGTAATATACATTTCTCTCTTTGTGTTACTTTTTATCTCTATATTTTACATTCTTTCCCTGGTATGTTTTACTCTGTTCTCTCCTCATCACCCTCGCCTCTCCCCTCCTCACCCTCCCTGGCATTTCAAACCTTCTTGCTATACTGTAACTTGCTACGCTAGACTCTGCTAGCGTGCCTCGATCGTGAAGTGGATAAGATGTTCGCATTAACCTATGAAAACAAGTGCTTCTATTGAGCGTGGTGAGGTATATTGTTTGCGAAAATTTCTCTGATCTTTTTATCCTGCCTTTTTGATTGTTTTTCTAGGTCTCTCTCTCTCTCTTTATCTCTTTCGCTCTGTGTTTGTTCTGTCCGCTCTCTGATTTCCTTTCTTTATCCCACACAAGAGAAATTGCCATGCGTGTTCTGAAACAGAACATTGTAAAGACAACGGTGCTTTAGAAGTAGACAGAGAAACAGCGTGCTGGTTCATGAAGACCACCAGTAAACCTCGTAAAAGTGTGTAATCTTTTTACTATTTTGACCATGTATACATAGGTCGACCGAATCTAAGAGCGGATGCTTTATGAAAAATGAAATAAAAATGACGTTTTTTTATGATTTTTGTCGTGGTGGCACGAATCACCGCTAAATCTGGGTGAGCGATTAAAGAAGCTTTATTCTAAGATTTGAAATTTACCATACCTTTTGTATAAGGCGACTGAGTAACACGTGGTAGTTATATAACCAGTCATACACTTTTATGTAGTTTCAATTACCCATAGTTTTAGGTGTCGGTTTCTCACCTGCACAGGTTCATAAGCCCAGCAATGGAAGTGAAGAACCCTACGTCCTTCTTCTCCTTCAGGTGTTTCAGCATGCGCTGCAAGGAAATATCGGAATCTCGAGCATGTCTGTAAATCACTGTGACAAAGTGGATCCAATCGTTTATAGTAATCAAGGATTTTTTTCTGGTACGTTTCCCACTACAAAGTATTTCTCGTGTTCGTCACCATGCTAGGACATGCGATGCGCTGGCTTCAGTGAATGCCCTGTGCACTCATCTTCTCGGTCCTGTCCAGTATTGCACTGTTTCAGCAAGAAGCACTGCTGCAAGCAACTTTGTTAAATACAGTGATATTTACTCGAGTTCGTGCCCTAAATATATCTTTTAGTACAAAGACAGCCTTTTGATGCATTTATTGTGGTATCTGATAAGGCACAATAGAGCTACGCCCAAAACTTGTAAGTTGCCCCTTCAGGGCCACAGTGAAACGTCTCAGCGACTCCAATAATTCAGCATAACTATATCACACTAGCATTCAACTTCATACAGTGTTATTTGCTGTCGACAGCTAGGTGAATGTATCAGCAAATATTGCTACGGGCAATAATCTCTATAAACTGCAATATGATAGGTTAATAATAGAGAATTACAGAACAACCCTCTTAAGTGATACAGGTGTGTGCCTTACCATTTGAACTTCCTGGTTGCCTCCTTTCAAAAGGGAAATGCCAAGCTTGAGTGTTTCTATCACCATCGGGCCATGGGAACCTGAGGAAAACACAATGTTTGCATTAGGCAACTATATTATAACTTCGTAAAAGCGAATTTATTGTTTAACGTTAGCACTGTTTTTGAACAGTGCATTGGCGACGGTGTCAATTATAAAACAGGCGTGCCATTTTTAGGGCTCAATTTTAACATTTTACGGTTACAATTTCAACCACTGCACGTCTGTGGACATGAGGACTATCACCCGATGGTCACATGCGCTTCACGGAACCGTCCTTCATCAACAAGCTTCGAGCCTTTCTGCACAGTTATGTGACCATGGTAACCATTCATGATGCGACCATTCATGATGTGACCATTCATGATGCATTCTTACATTACTGCTTCTAAGGCTGAAGCTGCCGCCATCACTATCAGAACAATGAAGCAAATGAATAATTGCTCCCCTCCTCTCTCCCCACTACACGCCATTTAGCACGGCATGTGTGCTGGAAGCTGCAGCTTTGTTCAACGCTGTTGGAAAGGTTCAGAATCACAAGCATTTAAGTTTTCACGTCAAACAGAGGAGAGAATACATGATCAGTATATACAGAAGGAGGTCCCATAGTTACAAACTGAATTGGGACTTCCTGTAAATGATAACATAGTGAATAACACAAGTAAATTGGCAATTCTTGGACCTAATAATAATAATAATAATAATAATAATAATAATAATAATAATAATAAGAAGAAGAAGAAGAAGAAGAAGAAGAAGAAGAAGAAGAAGAAGAAGAAGAAGAGGAAGAAGAAGAAGAAGAAGAAGAAAATGATAAGATTATAAAGACTAATGCCAGTTAGGTAAGGAAATAACTTTAAAAAGCGTTAAAATAATGCATTGAACAAGAAATGTGCCATAGTCGAAGAGAGTAAGGACAGTGTTAGAGGGTAAAGGACAAACGACCTCCACTACTTTCGCTCGCCATCAAAAATATTTAGGTTTACAAGGAAGCTTCGCTTGAAGAAATGGTGGACCACCCACCTTTGCTTGCTGAAATATATAGAAGTGCCATTTCAGCGACACCTCGACTGGCGAGACGTGCTTGTTGAAAGAGCAATCGCTGTTTCTCCAACTCTTGTTCCTGGAGCAGGTAATGCATTCGAAAGCGCAGTTATTTCGCCAACTATCAGCGATACCAAATAAAAGACTAAATCTAAACACTTGAATCTGCTCTAGTTGGGACTCTAAACGTTTTGAAAAGTGTCTAAACTGCAAAAATGCAAGACATGTGATCAACAACCTGCAGCTAAAAGCTGGAGCTGCTGACAAAGCATTGTTATGCAACCATAACGCCATTTCTTGTCCTTCGATATTAAAAGTATAACTGCAAAAGCCTTTAACAAGCAGAAAAGAAACAACACGAAGCCTGTAGGGTAGAGCTTTCTTTTACATATAACATTTGTAGCTATAACATTTGTAGCTACAACAAATTATAACAACAACTCTAACACAACGATGATACTTGTTGCTGTTTCTTGTCAAGTCTCATATTATACATAAATATACCATCTAAGTATCACGACTGAGATGTTGAGATACCTCGCAGTATTGGCTTGCTTACCTTGAGTCTTCGAAACTTTTGCTATGAAGCCAGCATTGGCAGCATGCAAGAGATAAGTGTTAGATGGCAGGTTAGTCAAAAAAGTGCAATTAATGTTCGATTAGTTGTAAACAAAGCTTCACGCAACACGAAGATTCCTAAACACCGCTACCTAAACGCCTTTATTATCCGCGTTTTCGCCTGTGTGGCACAAATATCAGGCATTCTTCTATTACTCCAAGACAAATCGTAAATCGCTAGATAATAGTAAGACCACATAAAAATTTTAGCGGAATCAGTTTGCTGATTATTTATGTTTTAACAAATATTTTAACGAATACGCGTCATTTTGAACTCTCTGTAGACTGTGAGCAGATTGAAGAACTAGTTAACACCTATGTTTTTTTTAAAAAGATCATTCTACTGAGCCTACGTGCGAGTCAACCTTTGTTGTATTTCTATTTCTGTAACTGTGAAGACACACGTACTGGCTTTGACAAGATCTTTTTTTGTCTCACTCCTTATTTTGTTGAAGAGTTTACTCATTATTGCCAATAAAACGGCACAAAGTATTACTACAAATACTTTTGAATATACTAATTTTAATAGTGTCCCATATATCTACGCTCTAGACCGTTAAAAAATTTGATTTTGGTATCAAATATACCATACGAAAACACAACACAGGCAGCAAACATACACATGCATCACAAGACACAGCAAACACAACACAAAAAATTTCAGAAACTTACTAGAAGAACCTGACATGCATCCAGAAGCCAAGGGGGAGAGAAAAATGTTAATGAAAATAGGCAAGTCATAACAATACATAAAAAAAGCAATAGAGAGATGCCAGAAACACAACTTCAATACCAAATAAATAGGATTTAAATATTAAGGATTGTAGCGTAAGCCGAAACATGGTAATTAATGCGTATTCATGCAAGGTAATAGTTGCGGGACAGAATATATTATAATTTTACTTAGAAGGAAACGGTAACAACCCCAACTGAATAACTTAATATGCTTTTCATGCGAACCGCAGAAAAATATTACTCCTTGTGTGAACACACCAAGCAACTTGAAATAAATTACTGAATTAAATTATCAAGAAGACTGTTACTCTGTCACATGCATCGTAAGCAGATAATACGTTTCCCGTTATCTGGAAACGTACACTCTGTTAGGAGGCTGTTGCACCACAGCAAACAGTGTTTCGAGTATGTTCACGTGAATCAGAATGTTGCTAGATCTTTTAAAATATTTATACGGCTTATAGTTGTCCCAGCACCAAAACAAAGTATGTGAAAAGAGACGAGTAAGTACAAGACCTCTTTTACGTTTGTGAAAAACATTTGCACTCATTTTCGCGCTAATGTTTCGACTAAGGCGCACGTAAGCATTTAACTGTAATATGTTTCTGGTGAACTCTCACTGCGATGTCGTGAGAATTATTCATAGGACATGCAATATTGTACGTATATATTAAACAAATATCTCTTTTATGTTCCTAATTGAAACTATCTTAATCTTACTAGAGTGTGCTTCTTTGTTATTTACAAGCTCTTACCTGCTAACACTACCTATAAAACTGTCAATACTCAAGAAACTAAAAGTTCATAAGTGATTTACGTATCAATATCCTGCGCGAAAGCATCACTATACTGCCCTCTCTTGTTTATTGACAGTGGAAATATATCTACTTGCGACGCTCCGACATACGGTGAGTGACTATTATTGCCTTATGTTTGCACGAACTAACGCTGGCTCTAAGAAAACACCTAGAATTTTTTTTGCTTCTACGGCCCACGATGAAAATACATGCTCATGTATTTCGAAGCTGTTAGTCAAATTCGACACTTTACTTCAGTCCCTGTGCAATTTTGTCGCCGTGTGAAAGCGGAAGCGTGCCTAACAACACTTTTATTTGGGTGCTCCCCTCCCTTCATGTTTTGCAGTTACACCTATGACCAGTTATATTCTTCTTCCTTTGGACAATGATGATATAACCCCGACGTACGGTTTCGGATACGAACGGTTAATGGATTTAATATAAAGTAAGAATAGATATCATATGAGTCTCCCTTAGGATGGAATAGTAACGTTTGTTGATAAGGAGAAAGCTTCGGGTGTAAATAAATGCAACATTCTCACATGAATTGAAGGCCCTGACTCCTCATCGCCTTCTTCTTCCTCCTCTTCCTCTTCGGCGCCGCCACAACTCTATGACAAGCAGTCAGCACGAAATAAAGTACAACTTGTTTTGCATCTTCTCGCGTTATCTCTAGTAAAAGTGTTTTCGCTGCAACAAACGGTATTCAAACGCTAACGTGCGTCACATAACAAGAACAATTTATAAAAGCAACTATTCACCAAAAATCTAGCGATATAAAATTTTCATCAAGTAGAAATTCTAGCTAAATCATCAGACAACTAAATTGGAGTGCCCTTCGTAACTTAGTATAGGAGTGAATTCGAAGCTGTTAGGGAATATGAGCATTCCTTTGACGGCTTACGAATATTACCGAATTTCAAGTGCAACCACAAGCTCAAATTCTAGTTCTGGATATTTGAAAAAAAAAGACGTAAAACAATTTTCCACTCTGACGTTATTGTATATGCTGAAAACAAGACAGTGCATGTGATGAAAAAGGTACAATGCTTGGAGACCAGGAATGCAAAATGACCATGGCCAAGCAACTCCAATGAAGCTACGTGCATGCTAATAAATCTGCTCATCTAATCAATATGCATAAATTCTAGAATTATTAGAAATAAGAAATGCGTAATTGGTGCATGATTTTTCATTCTTTACTACGATTTTCTCGATAAAATAAAAAAAACTCTATAATATATGAAGTTCTTTGTTCCGCAGTTCTTACCGTACAATAGGTGCACAATTTTTTTGCGTAAGTATAATTAATTCTACACACACTTGTTTACACTGCAAGGCGCTGACTGACAGCGTGAAAAACTGACTTAGCATGTAAACTCTAGGAATACTTGCTCATTGCTTCATGTTACAGTAAGCACACATTCACGTTCTTTAGCCTTGAAATCGGTGAATTCGTCAACATCAAAAGCTAATATAAATAAATTACAATAAATCAATAAATAAGCTTCCTTAAAACAGAATACGTACCTGGCTAAATATGTAGGCATACTGCATGTACAAGGGATCCTCAGGGTTGACACCACTGGAAATGGTGAACACAAAATAATGTTATAGATGGGTTAGTGCAAATTGGACCATTTACACACGAGCTTATGCACCAAGGACAAAGTTACTACGCATAAAATCAAACAGTTCTCGTGCTAATAAAACTACTAAAGCCCTTTACGTCCTATACATTCTATTACGACTGGATCCAATGAATGCTTCCGCTACCAATATCCACATCTCCACCCAATCGACTAAAAATTGAATTAGACTGATCAGAGTAACGTACATTGAGCCTTCAAAAGTCACACAGCGATTACCGGCATGGACAATTGGTCTTGTGCAGTCACATGCCATACTTATTCTCACCTCCACACTTTCTTGTAGAAACCTTTTATTCTATTAGAGGCTTCACGGGCAAGTTTAGGCAGTGACAGATGCACTTCAAAGACAATGAACAACACAAACGGTCGTGTTCTGAGACATGGGTGCACCCTAGACGTCGAAATCGCCCTAATTCTTTCGGAGACAGCCATTGCAGGATTTCTCTAAGTATGACTTTTTTTGTGGCACATAAAACTGCACAGTTAGTCTTTAGTGCAAAATTATTTTATGCCGAGATACACCACGGCTTCACTGACGCAATTTCATCCTGGATATGACGTTTAAAATATACACTTACACGTCGCAAGGGAAAGAGCTAGAAGCAAAGCTTCTGTCATCGGAAGTCGAAGTTATACAGCCTCCCGCTTCGCAGCAGGCGGTGCCAAGTCGACAAGTTGACCACGGAGCGTATGTGCCTCGGCATACAAGCGACTAGCTTATTCCATACGCCAATTGCCGCTGGCAGCACATGGCGGCTCCCTGCTATCTCTAGCAAGAGTGCGCGAATAGCGTGGAGGGCATACTTTCTGTTATGGCAACACGCGTTGCAATTCGAACGTGCCATTAAAGATAGTGGTCACTAATGTGCGCGCGCTTATGTCGCGATTGGGGCGGTTTGTACGTTTTGTGCTTTCACCGCAACTTAGGGAGATTACGAAGGTCACTTAGCTCACTGCAAAATCTGCGTTCCACTGTTGGAACCTGCTGCTCACACACGAAGCAACAAGTGTGGCAGTCGCTATTTCGAGCAAGTATTGTGTATATTTCTTCAGTGCGTTTTTTGTGCGTAAGGAGCATTCTTAACGTATAGACCTGCTTGTGAGTCTTCGCGTGCCATTACAGTGGTTTGTTAAAGCATTTATTTCCAAGCTCTTGTGGCCCCCTGGTTTACAATTGACGATAAACTACCTCTGTGAAGATACGTTTCATTTTCGTGTCTTTACGGTTTTTATGTCGGAGGGATCAGCCATGTTTTCTTTTGTATGTTTGACTTTTCCTCATAACCTCTAGACTCGAAAATTGGCCCCGTATCTGCATCTTTCACTGCAAATGTCGTCGAAAGAGGATAGTCTTGCACGTGGAGAGAGTGAACAAAACGTTTATTTGATGTTCTGCATGAGAGAATCGATTAATTGTATTCTAGAAGCGCTGGGTTAGAGAGTGTCAATGCGTGCAGCGAAGGCTAGTGAGAGCATCGAGGTACGTTAGACACGAGCGCCATCTGGCAACTATTTTCGAAAACAAAGGGAGGCGTGCGCGGCCGCGGAGAAAGATGCGTGTCTTTCACGGAGGTGACAAGGAGCAGAACGCAAGGCGGCGGGCAGGTGCCACCAGCGTGTCGCCTTCTCAAAGTGTTGAAAATACTTGCAGTTTTGAGCATCGCGTTGCACTGTCAGCGCAGCGTGGTAAGCCTACCTACCTTCGATATACTTGTGTGTGCCTTCTCTAGTATAAAGGCACACATACAAAACATCGACATGTTATTTAGGTGCCTCAGATATGCGCAATGATTGCGTTTTAATTGTCAATCGCGCAAGTATGAACGCTGAAACTTGAGCAATACTGGTGGGCACTGCGGACGCGGTTGGCCGTTCGAGGAATTGTTGGGTCACATTGGTGTCATAAGGGGGATTGTTACCGCGGACAAACGGACAAATGTGCAGACAGACAGAAAGACAGACAGACAGGCAGACCAAAATTTTTGCGTCGAAGGTCCCCAAGAAAGACTATCGTCTTTGAAATAACCGACACTGTTTTATGATGGTTGTGGTGCCCTAATACCGACCCCGTGGTCGCAGGATCGAATCGCAGCTGCAGCGGCTGCATATATGATGGAGGAGAAAGCGGTTGAGGCTCGTGCACTTGGCTTTAGGAGCATGTTAAAGAACCCTAGGCTGTCAACGTTTAGGGAGTTCTCTACTGAGGCCCCCTTCATAATCATATTGTGGTTTTGAGACGTTAAACCCTAACAATTAATAATAAACAAATGTCTCTGAGGCTCAGCACAGCGCAGCAGACTTCATGTACACCCAATTATGTTAGTTCGAGTAATTTGGGTGAATTAGGTGTTGCAAACCTGTGTTCAGTTGTGGCTCTTCTCGAAAAGGCCACAACTAGCTGCACCAATGGATCAGGTGTCTCTTCCGTCTCTTCAGCAGCTTGCTCTTTTTCAGACTCCTCGAATGTTGTCTGCGACAAATGCATGGTATGTATGAAAAAGAGTGGCTTAAATAACATCATCAGAAGCTTGTACAGCAAAGTCATGCGCGAATAGAAATATTTTCTACATTATTATTGGATTATCTTATTAAAACTTGTGAAGTGATATAAAAAATTGCATCGCACTCCTCAAGGTTTTAGTAGAAAGTATAGAAGCTTGCTGTTTATTACGAGAAAAAAAACATCCTTGCGATTTTGACAAAAATATTGAAGTGGAAATTTTACTGGTGATTTAGCAATAAATGCAATCAACAGACATATGAATTAAATTTACTTGGCTACAGTCACATACAGTTATCTTGGTATCTAACAATAGACGTAAACGAGCCCATATAAGCTACCGTTCACAAGCATTGGCCAACGGTATCCATTCATGGTACTATGCGATTCAATATCGTATGTAACAATGCAAGCTTCGAATCTCATACACATTTTTCTTTTTATATTGCACAACTCCAGTTGCTACAGCCTAAGTGAACATGGCTCTCCTGAAACATCCATTCCAAAAAAAAAGCATTCACGACTAAGTGCCCCAGTATTGCTTCATCACACTTCAAGCCTTGCTACCATTTTATTGCCTGCAAAACACCTAGCTCTTGAGTATGATATCACCTCTGTCTCATCTATTTCCCGGGTCAAAAAAGTATGAGAGGAATATAGACATTGTTCGTTTTACGTGAAAAGGTGGCTAAATATTACGAAAGTTTCAGTTGCTTCGCATGCTTCCCCTAAATGATAGCTGTTGATCATTGGGGTGCATGTAAGCATCAAGGTCTCAATCTATCCACTATTACACTTTGCGTTGCTTCATATACCTGAGAAAAGACTCTTTTACACTATCATCACTCTTTTTTGCGAAGTTGTCAAACAGTGCAAGTGTAACGTCTTTCTCGTACAACAACTCGCTCGATCCCTAAATGTTGGGCTTATATATCATGCATGGTATTTAGAACCACGCCAAATATGCAGCATAGATCCGCAGACTTGCTTCAATTCCTAATCTAAAGAATGCTTTAACGTGACTTAGCTCTATTGATCCTGACTTGTGTATTTCACGGCTGCGTATTTAGCGCACAATACTCAACTACTCGCCTGCACATTCATTTACAAGGTTTTTTATTAGGAGTCACTATTCCATTATGCCTGTTTTCATGTGTCTATACCTGCCATAAATTACGACTCATTAGTTTCAATTCACTTGCTCGGCTACCTAGCTACCTAGTCGCCACATTTATCCTTTAGTTTCTTAATAGGACTCATCATCATCATCATCATCATCATCAACATTATCAGCCTTAATACGTCCACTGCAGGACAAATGCCTCTCCAATGTGGCCCCAGTTAACTCGGTCCTGTGCTTGCTGCTGCCAATTTATACCCGCAAACTTCTTAACCTAATTTGCCCACCTAACCTTCTGTCTCCCCCTAACCCGCTTGTTTTCTCTGACAATCCATTTAGTTATCCTCAAAGACCACCGATTATCCTCTCTACGTGCTACATGCCCGGCCCATGTCCATTTCGTCTTCTTGATTTCAACTATGATATTCTTAACCCTTGTTATCGTATCCACTCTGCTCTCTTCTTGTCTCGTAAGGTTACACCTACCATTTTTCTTTCCATTGCTAGCTGCGTCGTCCTCAGTTTAAGCTGAACCCTCTTTGTAAGTTTCCTGGTTTCTGCTTCGTAGCTAAGTACCGGCAAGACACAGCTGCAATATACGTTCCTCAGGAGGGGTAGAGGCAAAGTGCCTGTAATATTTTGAGATTGCTCACCCCACTTTTATTCTAGTTACTTCAATCTCCTGGTTCCGCTCCATGGTTATTACCTGCCCTAAGCAGACATAGTCTTTTACAACTTGAAGTGCACCATTACCTATCTCGAAGCGCTGCTCTTTTCCGAGGTTGTTGTACATTACTTTCGTTTTCTGCAGATTAACTTTAAGACCCACCTTTCTGCTCTCTTTGTCTAACTCCGTAATCATGAGTTGCAATTCATTCCCAGGGTTACTCAGCAATGCAATGTCATCGGTGAAGCGCAGGTTACTAAGGTACTCTTTAATAACTCTTTTTATCCCTAACTGTTCTCATTCTAGACCTCTGAAAACCTCCTGTAATCACGCGGTAAATAGCATTGAGTAAATAGCAATAGGGCTCATAGCGTTCGTATTGGTATTGGTTCAAGGTTTATAAGTTGAAACTTCTGTCATTGCAAGGCAATGTCGACATTGTTCTCTTCTTTTTATTTACCAATAAATAATTCGTAATACATACTTATACGAATTCGTTTTGCCAGTGTTGTCTAATAATTTGAATTGCTCATTGCATTATCTATGGCTCTTACCCCATCGTGATATGTATATAAACGGCCCTAGAAAAAAAGGTGCAAGAAAAATGTTTTTCCGTATACACCTTAATGGCATGCCCAAAACAAGTCACTTCACTTGGAAATAGCTTTTTCGTGTGTTCACTGTATTAGAAAATTATCGCTTACCGTGAGGTCATCAATCAGCTTCTCTTGCCCAACATTTTCCTCTTCAAGCCACAAGTTGGTGTACACACTTAAGAATATGTTTATTGCCCGATGCCTGCAAAAGTCAAGCTTAGGTTACACCCTTTATAGCACATATGTATTAAAGTATATCTATAAGGATTTCCGCTATCATAAGATGAAAAACCTGACATTTAAATGTTCAGTATCAATATTAAGCATATAATGCAATCGTCCAGGCTTGTACTTGAAAACTCAATTCATAGTAGTCTACGTTGGTGTAAACGTAAATTTAGGAATATTTGTAATCGGAATGGACTTGCCAGCATCGTGCACCTATTCATGGTTTAAAAGTACAACTGGTTTAGCTAGCGTGAAATACTGGAGGCATCTTTAAACTTAACTAACAAATTTTTCACAGACACGTTTATCATATTGTAGCAAAATGTCTGAATGTAGAAGTGGCATGCTATCGTGATCAGCAATGTATATTTCAATCGTGATCAGAATTGTACCATCCCGTTGCAAGGCATTCGCGGGTAGATAAAAAATTACCAAAAATGCATCACAACTACACAGCCTTTCTAACAAGTGCTACTGCCATGCTACTAAATGATAATATCGTGCAAACACCACAAGACTTAGACTTGGTACAAGCAGTATCACATTTAAGGTGTACACACCGTCATAACTCAGGTGACATATATAAAATAACAGAAGCAAGGTAAAAAAACAGTGTATAATTTGCTTATAAATGGTATGCAAGGACAGTTAAACAGCTATGAATGAGACCACAAACATAGGCTCAGAGGTTCCTCATAGGTCAAACTAATTCACCATACTGCAGCCAACGGAAGCAGATTTTGACGGTACTCCAAGTACTAATATCACTGCAAAAATATGAATGCAATGTATTAAAATAAAAGCGAACGGCTTACTTACAATATTTTATGTACTTTCACAAGATAGAGAAGTTAGGACTTGATAAGCATATGAAAAAATGTTCCGAAAATGAGAGGCCGTCATTTGTAACCCAAAAACGTTCGCAATGGCTTTCTTTCTCGAGAATTGCATGCATTCTGAACAAAGCCATGGGTTTGATACAGAAGGCCTCGAATTTATTCATTGCACATAGAAACAGCGTCAGCAGTATACTCATTCTAAAATTGAACAGCATTCAGTTTAATGGTTAGGTGTCTCCCATCTAGATAATATGTGCGGTAAATATGGCGGAAACGCAGAATCATTGGCAATATAGGTGGAACTTGAAAAAAAAAACAAAAAAACGGAAGTGCAACATTCTGTGCAGAATAAAAGTGGTCTAATATGCTGTAATACTTTCTTACACTGCAATGAGCTGCTTTTGTGTTACAGATACCACAATGTTAGCATTCGGAAAGCATGACTCCGAAGGGCATAAATCACTAGCATAATAATTTCGAAGCTTAGTTAAAATAAATATCTAATGAGAACTTATTTCATTACAACACATAATACAATGTAAAAGTTGCATTAGAGCAGCTTGAGAAGCACATCTATCTTCAGCAAATAATTTAAATGCTTCAGTATCAAAATATGCACCAACGAAATGGAGCAAATGCGCTGCTGTATGAAACCTTTTTTAAATACTTGGACAGATATAGTATATTTTAGAGTTTTATGTCCCATACCTGGCATACTCCTTAAACTTCTCACTACCACAATAAAACATGCAACAAAACGCTGACCACTAACAAATCGAATTATATTGCATGAAATTAATAGACTAACAGTCGTTTCATAAACGTTTGTCGAATATTTGCGCTTTCAAATGTATTAGAAATGTAAACTTCCTGTTTACAGTAAAGAAACACTTTGCTAGAGTTTTACATAAACAATATTTAAATATTTCTCAAAAAACAGATCTGTCTTGCGGGCCGTACATTGTAGCTGTCTAGCGCAAAACAACGAAATAATGCGCTGTAAGATGAAGGAAAGGCATAAGCAGGGCTCATTTTTATGCCTTAACCATGTATGTTTTTTCTGTTTGTGGTAAGTGACCGTGCCTTGATGGTCAGTGAGTAGGCATGGGCATTCTAAACGTGTACTCACACTATTTTAATTCTTTTATAGGATCTTTCGGGCAAAGGCCCGCAATTTCACAGTCTGCGTCATCAATGTCTCGCTCAAATAAGCATTGTGTAGCACACTTATAATATTTAATAAACAGGAAGAAACAAAGAAACATGAAATTATCCCAAGAATGCTGTCTAATGTGTGCACCATTTAAAAACCTAAAGTGGTAAATAATCCTGATTTCCACTATAAATACCATTACACCTTAAAATACACATCAAGCACAGCAACTACAGATGCACTACCACGGCAAGTAAAAGCAATACGACAAGCATGTTCACAAAAGGCTGTAAAAAAGTAATAGGCTGAAATAATGTAAATAATATGTTTTGTGTGTTAGTGTGAGGGCTTCACAAGCCATTGCTTCTACAATGCATGAAGTTCTTTTTTTTACGCAATGAATCATTGCATTACAAATTTGCTCAGCCTTCACTGTAGAATACTTTAAGTACACAATGTTTTCGCTCCTGAGTGTTCAAAGGCTGAAAAGGTTTCTTAACACCACGACATTTTCATTGCAGTCATCTACAATTTCTGGCCCCCTTCGAAATGTTCAAATAATTTCACAATTACTACTCCTCATTTGGCGCTCTATGTTTACAGGTTTGTCCGTAATGAAAGAATAGCTTGCAAGCAAATATTCAGTGCTGAATCACCGCTCCTGCCCCAAAATTAGAGTGGTAACAAGAAAAAAATATGATATCAGAACATCAAAACTAGGAATTGATTTTGACGCCAGAAAATGACAACACATGAACAAGCCCCTATCAAATCTCCAAGCAGCTCAATGAGAACGGAAATGTCAGCAGTACACATGAAACAACTTTTTGAACAAGACATACGAACTCTTATTAGCCCTTTTATGTGCGCTATACTGTCCAGAAAAGTAAGCCAGGTTTATTTGAATTTGAGTCATCCTATTCCGTTCATTTAAGTTTACAAATTATGCAGGTAAAGTGTTTTGAACGTGCTTTTTGTCGTCGCACGCCTCCAATAAGTGTCGTCTTTTGTTAACTGACAACTAGAAGGTGTCTCATCGCAGATGATGGAGCGAAGCACGTTGCGTGGTGCTGGCTCAACGATTCCATAGTTTTGGTACATTGAACTTCGCTAACCAGCCAATAACCATGAATGAAGTAAGCAGCCGAAGCAAACTCTACTGCACTTAAGTGGTATAAACGTCGTGAACAATGCTGATGTGAGTATAAATTGGCCGTTTACTTTCTTCACTAATAAGCTGGTACACGTATAAGAATTCGTGTGTTTACCAAGTGTTTGTTACGATGCCGTTGAGCAGTATACAATGCAACAGAACCTGGCACTAAATAATGTGCAACAAGCTATATCTATCATACACCAACACTTTACACAAATACAACATTCACGCAGGACATACACATAGCTGTCTTGGCCCACGCATGACTCACTTCATTCAGACATATTTGAAAGTGCACAGACGAAAAAAAAACATAAAAGCACATATTTTACAGCCATGCCACAAACAAGGAGAATGCGTGTTCATTGACGAAACAGCAGGCAGAGGAGAAAAGGTGTTCGAGCCATGCACGGACGTGGGCGTGTGTTGTGTTACCTCTCGACGTTATAGATTGGCACACTACGCAGGCATGCGATGGCCGCTCGTTTCTTGGAGCTGGACAGCAGACGGCGCCACGCGTTCGCTGAAGGCGGGGGTTTGTGTGCCTGAGGGCGTTAGTTGGATCGTAGTGGTGGAGGTGGTGGTGGGTTTTATTGGAGACAGGGGAAGGAATAGACGCAGACATGTGAAGTCGTGGAAAACCCATCATCAAAGGACATTGAGTAGATGGGAAAAAATATCACAACAGACGCATTAAAAACAACAAATCACGCGTTTATTCTATCTCACCTTGGTGTGTTTTTTTTGCATTTTAATACCTCAATTCGCTATTTCATTTCTTGACTGTTGAACATATAACTCTATACAGCGTAAAAAAACATCTTTATATCTTTTTAAAAAATAAACGTGGTACACACAATGAAGCCTCTGAAAGGAGGCACAGAACATTTCCAGAAAAGTGCAACACGTCAAGCAATTTCCACCACTGTTTTCAATGTATTCTTAAGGCATGAACGATGGCCTACTTCGGCTGCTCAATCATTCTACTTATGGTATTCCATTGTTTACAACAATGATGGCGTCTGTGCTAGAGAAGAAACGTGTAGGTTTAATATTTAAAGTCTGAAAGAACTATTACTACTATCATTTCAATCAATGTTGCTATCCTAAATATTATCATCAGCACCAGCAATTGCTCTAAATCAAATAGAGTATACTGTGGCACCTTTATAACAAGCAATCCTATGTGAAGCTGCACACTACAAACGATAGTGTATTTTTTTCAAGGTAACTACGTTTCTACGATTGCCTGATTTTACAGCAAAAAAAAACAAAAACTAGTTTTTCGTAGGACAGCTATGTTGTGCTAATCAGTTTACTTTCAAATTTCAGTATGAGATGATCACTGGCTGAAAACAAGTGCAATAAATCTATGTAAGAAGCAAATTTGGCTTGAATGATTATGTGATTATATAAGGGTTTATGTTCCCAAAACCACCATATGATTAAGAGAGACGCTGTAGTGGTGGGCCCCGGTTTTTTCGACCACCTGGGGTTTTTTAACGTGCACCCAAATCTGAGGACGCGGGCCTACAACATTTCCGCCTCCATCGGAAATGCAGCCTCCGCAGCCGAGATTCAATCCCGCAAAAGAAAACTTGGCTTGATTTTGTAAACGGTGTCAATCTGGTCCACCCTAATAAGTGCCATTAGAGCACCAAATTTTCGCCGATGCATTTAAATATTCTATTTATTCTATTACACTTTATCTACTTTAACTATTCATTTATTTGTTTATGTATTTATTCATTTACTTATTATGTTAAACAAACGTTTTTTTTTCATTAATATATTATTTGTACAGTAAAAATACAAATTTGTACACTGAAAACAAAAACGTGCATTCACTCAGTAGTGTACTGGTTATTAGAGGTGTTACTTCTAATAAATATTAAGTAAGGCAAAAGTAACACTGCAAGCTCAACGTTAAAGCGTGCCATGGCGTTAGCAGCCTTTAAAACTGAATGCACCTGACGATAGAAAAAGGCAAATGAACGTTGTACGCCATATTATGCTCTGAAACGTAGCGAGATATTAGAAAATAATAATTGCGATAACTTGTACTTCACCGCACAAGCTTGCAACAATTTAGACGCACTTGTTACCACTGGTACAGCGAATGCAACCATATCTGTTTGAAATAACTGTCAAGCGGTTTATAGAAGTTTGTTTCTTTTCAGGAAATAGCTATTTATGAAAGTTGCACAAACAAAACTGCATTGTTGTTTCATTGTTTATGTTCCCTTCGTGGTCTAATCTCGTTAACTGTGTTAAATGTGTAGTCTCATCGGAAACCAGTAAATATAGGTAATAAAAAGTGTGGCTAACAGCTTATTTGTGCTAGCCATCTAGACTTTTATTTTCACTGCTTCATCAGTCACTGGAATGTCAAGTTATGCACTAGGGGCGAAATATCGAGTCAACTTATATATGTTACATCGCACATAACTATTCGTTAGATAATCCTATTTGAGAACATTTTTTTTAAATGCGTGATAAATTTAACATGGGAGCATTTTCCTCTGAACAAAGATCCTCTATTGTAAAAGGTATACAGGTGCCAACTTTAACATAATTGTTCTGTTGTAAATGATAATGGGTGACAGCTCAAATATTCTACACATATTTATTAAAAAATTGCAGAGCATAGGTAACAAAATGACTCTTCTACGCATTGCACCTCGATGTTGTATGACAAATGTACCATAAAAAGTGAGCACCCACACAGCACAAGTTGGCATTGCCAATTACGCGCTGACAAATGTCCTACATGGCCAGAATATAAAGATTATTATTTAGTAGTAATTGTTGACGCTCAATACCTTCAATGAAAGATTGGTGGAGCTCTCACCTGAATGCATAAAGGTTGCCTCAAAACAAGACAGATATCACTCTTGTGGTTTCTTCGTTTCAACTTTTAAAAACTTCACATAACAAGGTTAATTCTTTTGACTTTTTTTACTCGTTCTACCGCATTGCGAAAATAGCAAACTAAGTTCCAATTAGGAATCTTACTAACGCAAAAAGAATGGTCCTTGAGGCCAATAATAATACGAATTGCGGGGCGCTGATTTCATAAACTCGACTGGACATTTGCCTCTGAGTGGGTGTCAAGGATGTTTATTTATTCACTAGGTAGTCCTTATACGTCTGTTATTATCTCTTCTTAAGTAGCGTAAATGCAACGTACCATGGCACGATTACTAGAGCTGAGAAAATCTATTTTAAGTGTGAATACACTTTATAAGCGACCCCAAACCATCCACCGCCGTCGGCGGCGTCCACAGTCTTCTCTCTATCTTTAAAAGAAAGAGGACTTGGCGGGCCGCAGCACGACGCTCTACCGAATAAGCCACGGACGCGACGCTGATATCGGTGTCAGTAACGCGCCTTATATCTTTAACGCCGCTGCGCGCGACCCCTCCCCCGTTAAAATTCGTTGGCATTCGCCAGTGAGTAAACGTAAACTCCCCTGTGTGATCAAATTGCGATTCCCAGGAACCATTACACCATAAAGGCACCATAGTGTGATTAATAAATATAATAGTGCGAATTAATAAATACCCCTCATAGCATCACCCCGTGCATTCGCACTTAACCATGTTCACCCTCGGAGAAATGCTTGAGAGTTTTTGTTGTTTTTTTTCGAATGGCGCACTTGTTTCACTTCACTTAATTCCCAGTGCCTTCCTGAGCAGTCAGTTAATTGAGCTTGTGATATTGTCGCAACTTCTCGGGGTCCCTTTAGATGTTACTGTCACGTGACACAAGATGTGAAAAACTTCGATACAGAATTTTTGGTCGACTGTGTCATAACCTCGACATTTACGGACGGAACACTTCACAAACGTTTTGATCTTTGTTGCATAGCAGTGCGAATACATTAGGAATACTCCAAGAAAAATCCTACAAAAGGAAGAAATTGCTAATAAGCATTGCTAAAAGCCTAGTATGAATAACCTCTATATGATGTGATTAGTCTGTCATCGACGTAGTTTTTAACACAGTGACAAGGTTACTCTGTCAAGGTCAAGTGGAAAATCTGTAGCTTCCCGATCACAGAGACCACAGCTCGGGGAAAGTGATGTACCATGAGCTGCGCTGTACACTTGAAGCATTTATGATAGTTATTCAGAGAGTTAATGTGCCGTTGTGATTGTCACCATCCTAATACTAAGTGCTTCATAGCATAAGTATATCTAATTCACTACCATTTTATAACGCGAATGCCAATCTATGATGCTGAAGACTGTTCGCAAGCATGCATTGTGCACTAATGCACACCTAAGAAAAAATGTCAAAGCACCTTCCGTGAAACCTCAAACTACTTCTATGTTATTATAACTGACACACTACAGCTATATATCCATATACCCAAACAATGTTAAAAAAACATTGCATCGGTAACAAGAAAGCTTCTAATATTTGCCTAGAACTGTAATAGTGTTAAAATGAAATGGTAGTAACCACCGTAAGCTATGCTAACAATCGTGAAAGCTGGAAAACAAGAAAGAAAACAGTGGCGTGCCATGCCCTCGAAGCCAGATTAGAGGTTGTAGACCACACGTCAATTTAATGGGAATCAGTATCAGCAGGATTCATTAAAAAGCGAGCACCACTGCAAAATATGTTAAGGAAACTTCAAACCCACGTCACTGTGTAAAGGAGAAATCTTTCGTGAATTATAAAAAACTCAAGCAATACAGGATAAGGGAAAGGCTATAGGTAAAAACAAGGCGATGATGGGGACAAGATATCAGCAGTGGGAAGAGGTCAACCTCTAGGCAAGCAAGTGTGTGCGCTTGTGTATCGCGTGCATGCCTCATCTGGCAGTGGGAAAAAGCTTGCACGACTGCCGGGGTTGCGACTCGTGCGTTCCGTTACCTGGGAAGACTGTGCAGCGAGATCATTCGGAAGCAGGCAATGACGGCCCGCTTGCGCTGTGTGGAGACTACACTGCGATAGGCACCCTTCTGCGAACCCTGAGCGTGGTCGATCTGAAGATAGTGGGCAACGAAAGCAAAATGTAATGGGGATGAGGAGCTGTAGAGGAGGGGTTCTGTGGGAGCAGATAAACGTGGTGAAAGAAGAATGGAATTTTAGAAAGCTCCCTTTATATTTTGACACTACCTTATTCAAAACCAACCAAGTTATAATTATCACCGTCGTCATTATCAGCCTTACTATGCCCACTGCAAGCAAAGGCCCCTCCCATGTTCTGCCAATCAACTCGATACTGTGCTTGCTGCTACCATTTTATACCCGCAAGCTTCCTAATCATACCTGGTCACCTAAAATTCTGTCGCCCCTCCACCCGCTCGCCTTCTGTTCGAATGTATTCTGTGATTCTTAATGAACAGTGGTTATCTTGCCTTTGCGCTACGTGCCCTGCCCAGTTATATGAAGCGTTAAATGTACTGTTTCAAGTCTGCGGTAATAGCTGTGACATAGATGTAAAGAACATAGGTGAAGGAAGCGATAGCTCGCCACTGGCAGGGATTGGAGGTCGCTGGTTCAGTCCATGCCAGCACGCGTCTTTTTGTTCCCTCGTCGTTTACTAATATCCATTACTATTACTTCAATACCACTACAATACTATTACTACTACTACAATGCACCTAAAACTTTTCAAGTAACGCTCCATATAGGTTCCTTGGCTTCCTTATTGATTATTTGGTGGTTTTCATTAACACTCTCTCAAATATATTGAGTCACACTGAATTTATGTCACAGTGCATATTAACATTGTAGTGCTACTAGTTTCTGCTTCCTACTAAGATGTGAATTGGCATCTCTTATATCAATCTTCAGGCCCTACTGCAATTTTTTGTTACCAACATGAAAGTGCAATGCTCCTTCTATAAGGTTAATTATTTTCTAAACGGTTTGTCATTTGACAATTTAGAATAAGCAGATAGACCCCTTACAGGTACTACGCGAAGAGAGCCTCATTCTTTTCACCACAGGCAAATAAATATTGTCGAACGCAATAAGTTGCGTTTTCCGAAGTGCCAGAGACAATTGACAACCGTTATGCTCACTTAACATTCACAACCTATAGTTATACTGTAGTTTTTTGTTCTTCTGCCAACAATATAGCGCTATTGTGTGTTCTGTAATGTTTGATGAATTGAAGTGGAATCGCCCTATCAAATATATTTGAATGCTTATTAAGAACACGGGCGTTAATGCAATGCTTTAATTCTATGTTATTCGTGCTAGAAGCGTAATGTTATTACAAAAAAGTTGTTTTGGACGTGCTTCAACGTCTGGACCATTCGGTCACATATGTGTTTCACAAGTGGTGACCCAGTCGCTTTCGTTTATGCGCTATTTTTGTTCCGTTCAACGGACTTGTCTTGCTTGCAAGGGGCTATTTAACCTGGTGGAATGAATTACAACATAATTAGTACCAAGATACTTTTCCACGCGCATGAAACCCTACAAGTCAGTTTGTCTTTCCTGCCTAAGCGAAGCAACTTTCGAATATTATAAGGAATTTTGAATATATACAGAACTGTGAAGCACTGATACTTTAAGCTCACAGAACTGCCATCACACGTTACTACTTTACTAACCAAGAATAGTAATCATGACACTCAAGGTATATACATAGTTATACATTATTGTTTATGTACTTTTACCTGAATATTCACCACATGTTTCTTTGACGACTCATTTTTGACCAAACAGCTATCATGCGTGTGGCTGCTTCATGCGTGTGGCTGCTTTGGTTCTTGCTCGAGAAATTTTAATAACAATAAAAATATAATAATTACTCCCAAACACAATTAGTACTGTGTCTGTAATGTTATTTTTTCATTTTTGTCTTCGCCCAGCAATTGAGGCCAACAAGTCGCGAATGCATTGCGCTCTAGATTCACGTCCACTTCTTCAGGCATCTCCTTAGGTATTCGTTAGTGTCAACCTGAATTTTTCATACTAAATAATACGACAGAAAAAGTCTTCGTAAAAGCAACACTGACACAAATTACAAGGGTCTACACTCACCACATGTAGTCCATAAAGCACCTTGGCCATATCAATGATGCGTTCTACTAGCCGGTCCTGTGAGACAACCGGAACCACCGCATTCGGCTCTACGGGTGTGGACCGCTGACTGCCCAGCTTGCTGTACAGGTAGTGCTGCCAGCTCATTGCATCAGTCGGGTCGATCTTTCCACGTTGCGTATGAAAGGGGCAGTAGTTATAACATGGATAAGGTACTTCCCTTATTTAGATACGTTTATTTTTTTAATATAGCCATACAAATGACGCACTGAAGAGTGTTGTTCTAAGCCTATCGGTACATACTTTGGAAGAACCATGGTGCCCAGCCTTCAAGGAAGTATACAGAACAGGACACATATTGCACAAACAGAAACCAAACGTGTTTGTTTCCATAATTTCTCGCCTATCGTGTCCGCATCTTTGAAATATGGCTGTCACCCCTCCTTCAGAGTAACTATGGATGCTCTCAGAATAAGTTTACAGTAACGTTACGACGCAATGTCAATATTTTTGCAGGTACACAACACAACACCCTTTTCGTAGACCTATCTTTAGATAATTATTGAATAAGGTGCATAATGTAGCATAACATGCTTTTTTGTCATCTATATCACAAAAATCTCATTAGGAGTTGTTAGCAAAATATTTTCAGTTCCCCATACTCCTACTGGCCAAAAATTAAAACATAAAAACATTTCCTCATCGATTATAACAAAAGAACGGATTCATTCATGTCACAAAGTGGTTCAAGTTTGCATCGATTGCCGCATACCAGCGACCTAAGAAAGATGCATTTCATAAGACCATATAGGCTCATAGGTGGCAGCGTACGAGTCCCAAAAGGTGCGATGTTTCTTTCAATACTGCTTTGTAACTGTCCCCAACAGAATTGCCAATGTTTCAGGCACTCTGTCTGTATATTTGTGCTGCAAGTAGCGACTGGATCAGTGAAACTCCATTTCATAAGAAGTGCCGCCTCGACGAAATAATCTTCAGGGAACTTGCAGAACTTTCAAACGTCGTGCAACTGAGGAGGACAATAGTGTTCTCCTGTATAAAGCGGGCTGAAATGAAGTGAAGAAGTTTCTTGCATTGCACCTCATTTCGATGCATTAAAGCCGCAGGAAATGGTTTGACTTGGGTCTATAAATCACTGAATTAGAAATGCAGGTGATTTTTACAGTGAATAAAATTGCGTACACGTAGACGTCACTATTTCTTAGGTAGAACAAAAAATAACGAAAAATGGGCCAAGCATGCATGAGCAGTCACCGAACGAAAAAAAATTAGAGGAATATTTTACTACTGCCTCAGCACAAACTCCGTGAAAAAGGAATTTTGAGCGAGAGCTTCACCTGATTGAGGCCAGAATTTCTGTTAGTGTTTTATGTGGTTGTCCTCATAAAACTACATATGAACCTCTTGGAAGTCATTCGCAAAAGCTTCGGGTGATTATCTAAAATGTTTGATACAGCCACTGCCCCCACATAGAGCCACAACACCCCTTTTTTTCTGTAACGGGATTTCTCTTATGCACAACAAAGGTTTTAAATCTCAAAGTCTTCCTACTCACCTTGTCAGGAAGAGTGAGTTGCAGCTTGACATAATCGAAGATGTCAGAGTCTTGGCATTTCTGCAGAAATAGTTGCAATGCGGAAATTGAAACATGAGCAAAAGCAAGCGTTCACGGAGGATACAGCCAAATGCGATAAAAATCTTCGCATGCATTGGCAATGCCTTCTGCTGGCATACGCCGTACCACGGTGAGAAATCGACAGCCAATGTTGGCCTAATTAGGGATAAGTATTTCCTCATATAGGATAGATTATACTAATGTTGGTGAACGCTCATCTGTGCTTGCTACGTACTCTTATAACCATGGAAGTATAGTAAAGCTGCACATTTGTAATACGTCTCCATAATACCTAAGTATTTTGCATACTGTAACAGCTTTTCTGGGTGAAATTTTCGTATTCTTTCTTCTTAATCAGTTCCATATTCTAAGTGACTCTGCCAGATAAGTCACTTTGCAGTAGCAGAGTCGCTTACGCAAAGTGCAAGCTGATCTATCATGGCAACCACTTACGTTGAGGAACTTCTCCTTGGCATGCTGGACAAGCTCCTGCTCGCGTCCGGCGAATAGGTTGAGGCCGACTGGCAGCAGGCGCTTCAGGCAGGCCACCACTAGACTGGCCGCAAGCTCTTTGTCCTTGTCACGCTTGCCGTCACGCTTCTTTTTCTTCTCCTGGACGCCACAAGGTGTTTGAAAGAAATATAATCACATACTCTTACCAAGAAACAAAAAATCCACACATTTCCTGTGGGGTTTGGCATTGCGAAGGGGGCATAGTCATACCTTCTAGAGGTGTGCCAGCCCTGTTTCTGCATTTTCGCGCCGGGGCTTGCAATATGCGAGAGTGAAAATACGCTTACAAACTAAGCTGATTGTGTGAGCTTGGACTGAACCCCGAACCACTGCCCCATCTACGCCACTGTTGCTGCGCCAACTGATCGTTGCTGATACTATCCAAACACTTCTAAGCAAATCATAAAGAAGACAACTGGAAGCTACCAATAACTGAAAATAGCCTGGTTGAAAACTTCTGCTCAAGCGAAACACAGGGCATAGCATGCAAAGTATTAGCAAAAAAATTACATAAATTTAAAAGAAAGCTATCACAAAATTTTTGAAGACACTAAAAGTGCAGGACACCAGTGTGAATTTTTCTGCAGGAGTGTGCTTTGTACTGTACAATGCTAAAAAGTTGGACAAGAAACTGAAGAAATACCCACGTCAGGCGCAGTGTCCTGTGCACTTCTGCTCTTTGTCATTTGTAACACTGTGAGTTTTGCACAGTTTTAAGAATAAATTTGAATCAACTGGGTCAGTGTTCAATTCTAGATCCAGTGGCAGCGTGGTCGTTTGGACAATGGGTATTTGCACTTTGGCGTAATACCAGCAGAACCGATGAAAACAAGTGATAGAAATATCAGTGGCTTCCTTCATGTCCGAGCAGCTTCATCCATGTCGAAGCTTAAAAAAAGTTGCAGGAAAGGAACAAATATATTTTGCATTCATAAAGCTTGTTCTTCTCAGCTACATCTAAACTTCACGTTATATTTCTTTAGAAAAGAAAAAGCGGCTGTGGTGCGAGCGTTCATGGTGTACAATTTTTTATCGAACACCAGTGAATGAAATAAACAAATGACACGTATTAGGCCTGCCGTATAAAGCCTTTTTTCTTGTAATCTTCTGACCTGTTTTATAATTTTCAGCAGACACCATAAACAACCTAGAGATAACGCTCGCGTAATTGTCAACTATGAGGTGGCACTCACTTTTTTCTGACTCTGACCAGCATCCACGGTCTGCACGCTCGCTCTTCCACGTCCTGAGGATGGCATGATAAGCGCCATGTTGTCGATCTCGTGCTGAGAGATAAAGTTGGCCTCCTCTCGGCGGAAGTACTGCACGTAAGAAAGCGAATGTGTAAGCACAACACGATTGCTAAAGTGTTAAATTCATATACAATAATAAATTATTGTCAACAGTTAAAACACACCTACTGCCTTGAAAAGTCATATGAGTCATTTACTCTACATGCATTTCGATTGTTGCATGCAAGCCGCATGCTCCTATCAGCCGTGTTCCTACAATGAGAAGATAATTGCAGCATTTTCACGTGATGTTAAATTCGAAAGAAATTTGTTTGCTCCTGTATATATTACACTTAGACAATATTAGTTATTTCCCAGCTGAAAAAGACAACAGTACTTATCACTATGGCAACAAGAATGGGGGGGGGGGGGGCTTAAGCTTGTCTTTAAAGAGTTGAACGCGAGTGCGATGCCCCATTCCTACTGCACACTTCAATTAGTCAATGCATATTTTTCTTGTATATTGTTACTCGAAAAGTTTCAATTTTGAAATCTTATAATATAATCCACGAAGTTGAAAGCCGCTTCTGTAGCTGAAGCTTTCGCGTGATTAAGTGTAATGGGCAGCATATGATTCAAACCACGAGCAGTTATGCACGTGAAACTTTAACAAACCAGCCACGATTCACTACGTGGTCTTAAAAGAGCACGCTCAGATACGTGTGTGCCATTCGTAATGGGTGCTGAGCCTTGAACCGTGAATTCGTTACGATAACCGCATGTTCTGACTACCTATGGCATTGTGCGCTTTTACCACACAATGATGCATGCAATATTACGTGGTGCTGCGTGAAGCTAGAATACAAGACGCATGTGCTTGTAATGTGCGACTTATTTTAACTAGAGTTCCAAAGAATAAAAAGTCACTTTAACTGTATTTCGAAGAAGACGCGTGGGGCTTGCCACGTAAGCAGCGTGGTTTCACTCTTCACTCACACCCGGAAATCTTCGTTAAATATTTTTATCTGCATCTTTACCATTTTTTGGTCAGGGAGTCAGTCAGTCAGTCAAGAACTTTAATATATGGTCCTGAGGAGTTTAAGCCACCAGGGTGCCCACGTGGGACATCCTAGCAGCCGCTACCGTAGGCGACGCCCGAGTCGGGGCGGGAACGTGGTGGCGTTCCGCCAGTTCTTGGGCCCTCTGGACTGCCTTAAGTTGGTTTCGGAGATTGGGGCTCCTGAGTGCCTCCTCCCAGTCGGACTCACTGGTGAGAGGTCCCTGAGGTAACGCGGGACATTGCCAGAGCATGTGCGCGAGTGAACAGTACACTTCTGTGCAATCTGGGCACTGTGAATTTATGTCTGAGTTATAATGGCTGAGTCGGCCCCGTGATGGGTACGATCTCGTTTGTAACATTCTAAAGGCTACTTCTTGCGCGCGTTCGAGTTTTGAATGGGGTAAAGGGTATCGGCTTCTGTTGTGTCGGTAGTGGGAGGTAATTTCATGGAAGGTGAGTAGTGGGTCATTAAACTGTACGTCTGGGCCCAGCTCTTCGGTGGCTGATTGATCGTCACGGCGGGTCAGTTCTCGTGCTCGATCATGAGCCATTTCGTTGAGGTTGGGTTGTTGTGGGTGAACGTCTTTGCCCATGTGGGCAGGGAACCAAGAGAGGTAGTGCGAGCCCGTATATTTCCGTGTTTGTAAAATGCGGGCTGCTTCTGGAGCGATGTTGCCGGTTTCGTAAGCCCGAATGGCGGCGCGAGAGTCTGTGAAGACATTAGTGAGTGAGGGGTCGGTCATCGCTAAAGCTATAGCAACTTGTTCGGCTATGGCGCTTGTTGATAGCCTAACCGAGGCGGCTGAGCGTAGGGCTCCGTCGCCATCTACTACCGCGAGTGCGAAAGAGGAGGAGTTACCGTATTGCGCTGTGTCGACGAATGCGGTAGAGTTGCGATTCGCGGCGGTACGGTTTAGGATCGCGCGAGCGCGGGCCAGCCGTCTGCCTTCGTTGTGTTGTGGGTGGACATTTCGCGGAAATGGGGTTACCATGTAAGTAGCTCGGACAACTCTGGGGAGGGTTACTGCGCGTTCAAGGCAGGGGTGTGGGGACATGCCGGCCTCGCTTAGAAGTCGGCGGCCTGCCTTGGAGGAGGAGAGGCGGATCACTTGGGCCGTGGTCTGGGCCTCGATCACTTCATCGATGCCGTTGTGCATGCCTAGTTGGTCGAGACGGGAAGTGCTCGTGTTTTGAGGCAAACCAAGGACTTGTTTAATGCTTTTGCGCATGAGTGTGTTTAGTTTCGTCTTTTCTACCTTCGTCCAGTTGTGGGCAGAGGCGACGTAATTGATGTGACTCATTAGGAACGCGTGGTATATGCGCAGAAGGTTGGCCTCTCCAAGGCCTCGTCTACGACCCGAGACTCGCTGAATGAGTCGGAGCATGTTCTCGGTTTTAGCTGTGATATGTTTAATTGTTCTTGCATGACAGCCAGTGGCCTCGACGAGGAGGCCGAGAATGCGTATGGAGTCCACGCGGGGTATTCGCTGCCCATCTTTGGCGTGTAGCGCTATGGGTAGATCACCTAAGGGTGTTAAGTTACGAACGCCTTGGCGAGATTGCCGGTACAGTAGCAACTCTGATTTTGTGGGCGACAAACGAAGTCCAGTGTTTTTTAAGTAGGCTTCTGTGGTATTGAGAGCAGTTTGAAGGGCTTGCTCCAACTCCGCCAATGAGCCTCCCGGGCACCAGATGGTGATGTCATCTGCGTATATAGCATGGTTTATGTTTGGGATCTCGCGGAGTTTGTCAGATAGTCCCTTCATTACTATGTTAAAAAGGAGTGGAGAAATGACTGCCCCTTGTGGTGTCCCGTTGGAACCTAATGTGTAAGTGTCGGATGTAAGTTGCGATAAATGCAGCTGAGCTTTTCGATTTTGCAGAAAAGAACGAATGTACGCCTGGAATCTTTTACCGAGACCAAGGCTGGCAATGGATTCCAGTATAAAGCGGTGTGAGACGCTGTCGAATGCTTTAGTGAGGTCTAGGGCGAGAATGCCACGAACATCTCTCGTTTTTGAGTCGAAGATCTGTTTCTTTAGTAATAGCATGACGTCTTGTGTTGAAAGGTGCGGACGGAACCCGACCATGTTGAACGGAAAGAGTTCGTGATCCTCTATGTAGCGCGATACACGATTTAGGATGACATGTTCAGCTGCTTTTCCTATGCATGAGGTTAGGGAAATCGGGCGTAGATTGTCGAAGTTGAGTGGTTTACCTGGCTTAGAGAGAAGGATTACCGTGGCCGTGCGCCATTGTTCAGGTACCTGGCCAGTTTCCCACATGTAATTAATGTCTTTTGTGAGTAGTGTGATGGCTTGGTCGTCTAAATTTCGCAACAGGCGGTTGGTTACCTTGTCAGGACCGGGGGCTGATCTGCTGTTGAGGTTGTGTAATGCCTCCCGAATTTCTGACTCCGTGAAGGGTTCGTCGAGTTCGGGTATCGTTTCGCATTCTATTTCTGGGTAGTCGGTGGGTTGTGCTGTGTTTAAGGGGAGGTGACGTTTGGAGATTTCTTCAAGAAAGGATGAGTTTGTTCCTCCCATCTTTTTGTGCGAGTGTAGGAGCCGGTCTATGGCATGACTCTGGTTGTTTTTTGTTTCGCAGTCGTCCAGCATGTATTTTAGGAGGTTCCATTTACCCCCAGTTCGCATGCGGCCGTCGACCGCCGAGCAGAGTTCATGCCATTGGAGTCGTGTGAGCTCCGTGCAATATTTGGCAATGTCTTGGTTCAGTATTGATAGACGTTTTCGTAAGCGTCTGTTTAGTCGTTGTGTTTTCCAGCGCGCGAGTATTGACGGTCAGGGAGAAAATGAAGATTTTTCGATCTCAAACAACGAAGCTGACACCAACCCCGACGAGATAATTTCTGCGAAACAAGCTCTTTATCATTTTCTTGGTGAAAATTGCTGCCATACCATGATTTTTTCATAGTTGCTACAGAATTTTTGTGCACAAGCACTCCTTTATATCATGTGACAGATGTTTCTTGTTGTAACAACAGAAGTTATTGCTATTGCGTCTGCTGCTACAACACAGAGCTAAAGTACAGCGCTAATGCCTGCAGCACCATAGATACAACTGCTGTCTCAACTGATGCGTACATGTTACAACAATTATGTCCTTGAGTAAACCATAATTATAGTTGTTGCTCCAAAGATCCCCAAACCTGACCCCCCACAGACCCCCCACATAGCCTCGCGACAGGTGACGGGACGTCAGCATGACAAGTTCCGAAATCTGACAAGACATTGAAATTTCTGTCATGGTATCTTGCTGTACCAATAAACAAAGTATCGTTTTTTTTCTTCACTAAAAAATAAAAGATAGTCACCTGAGACTTGTTCCAAGTGTTGAACACATGGGCAACACAGGTGTAGACTTGTTCCGCTTCTTTGACATTATTCTTCAGCCAGTGGTTTCTAGAAATAAAAGAAAGTGACGACGTCAAAATACACCAACACCGACATAGATATATAACACCTATCAAAAAATTTTGGCAAATCCCACGTACTTCGGATTCGATAATATGCGAAGCGTGCAAATGGTAGGTGAATGCATATTTTTGTTATTGAGCAAGACGTTATCATCATCATCATCATCATCATCATCATCAGCCTGACTACGTCCACTGCAGGACAAAGGCCTCTCCCATGTTCCGCCAGTTAACCCAGTCATGTGCTTGCTGCTGCCAATTTATACCCGCAAACTTCTTAATCTCATCTGCCCACCTGACCTTCTGTCTCCCCCTAACCCGCTTCCCTTCACTGGGAATCCACTAAGTTAACTTTAATGACCAGCGGTTATTCTGTCTACGCGCTACATGCCCGGCCCATGTCCATTTCCTCTTCTTTATTTCAATTATGATATCCTTAACCCCCGTTTGTCCCCTAATCCACTCTGCTCTCTTCTTGTCTCTTAAGGTTACACCTACCATTTTTCTTTCCATTGCTCGCGGCGTCGTCCTCAATTTAAGCCGAACCCTCTTTTTAAGTCTCCAGGTTTCTGCTCCGTAGCTAAGTACCGGCAAGATACAGCTGTTATATACCTTCCTCTTGACGGATAGTGGCAATCTACCTGTCATAATTTGAGAGTGCTTGCTGAATGTGCTCCACCACATTCTTATTTTTCTAGTTACTTCAATCTCGTGGTTAGGCTCTGCGGTTATTACCTGCCCTAAGTAGACATTGTCTTTTACAACTTCAAGTGCACTATTACCTATCTCGAAGCGCTGCTCCTTTGCGAGGTTGTTGTACATTACTTTCGTTTTATGCAGATTAATTTAAACACCCACCTTTCTGCTCTCCTTGTCTAACTCCGTAATCATGAGTTGCAATTCGTCCCCTGAGTTACTCAGCAATGCAATGTCATCGGCGAAGCGCTGGTTACTAAGGTAATCTCCATTAACTCTTATTCCTAACTGTTCCCATTCTAGGCTTCTGAAAACCTCCTGTAAGCACACGGTAAATAGCATTGGGGAGATTGTGTCCCCCTGCCTTACACCCTTCTTGATTGGTATTCTGTTGCTTTCTTTATGAAGCACTATGGTAGCAGTTGATCCCCTGTAGATTTCTTCCAGAATGTTTATATATACTTCATCTACGCCCTGATTCCGCAGTGTCTGCATGACGGCTGATATTTCTACTGAATCAAACGCCTTCTCGTAATCTATGAAGGCTTTGTATAGTGGTTGGTTATACTCTGAGCACTTCTCTATTACCTGATTGATAGTATGAATGTGGTGAATTGTTGAGTAGCCTGTTAGAAATCCTGCTTGTTCCTTTGGTTGATTGAATTCTAATGTTTTCTTTACTCTGTTAGCAATTACCTTTCTAAACAGCTTGTATACTACAAAGAGCAAGCTGATCGGCCTGTAATTCTTCAAGTCCTTGTCATCTCCTTTCTTATGTATTAAGATGATGTTAGCGTTCTTCCAAGACTCTGGTTACCTTCCCGTCAGGAGACACCTCGTAAACAGGGTGGCTAGTTTTTCTAACACAATCTGTCCTCCATCTTTCAGCAGATCTGATGTTACCTGATCCTCACTAGCAGCTTTGCCTCTTTGCATGCTCTCCAAAGCTTTTCTGACTTCTTCTATCATTACTGGTGGGGTGTCATCTGGGTTACTGCTAGTTCTTATAGTATTAAGGTCGTGGTTGTCTCGGCTACTGTACAGATCTCTGTAGAACTCTTCCGCTATTTTAACTATCCTGTCCACATTGGAAGTTATTTTGCCTTCTTTGTCCCTTACTGCATACATCCGACTTTTGCCTATCCCAAGTTTCCTCCGTTTTTCAGAGCGTGTTCAATTCTCTCCATGTTATACCTTCTTACATCGCATAATTTACGTCTATTAATCAACTTCGAAAGCTCTGCCAGTTCTATTTTGTCTGTTGTACTTGAGACTTTCATGATTTGACGCTTCTTAATGAGATTCTTCGTTTCCTGGGAAAGCTTTCCAGTGTCCTGTCTAACTACCCTGCCTCCAACTTCCACTGCACACTCCGTAGTGATACTCGTCAGATTATCATTCATTTTATCTACGTTAAGGTTGGTTTCCTCACTAAGAGCCGAGTACCTGTTCTGCAGCGACACTCTGAATTCCTGTACTTTCCCTCTCAGTGCTAGCTCATTGATTGGCTTGCTTCTTGCGTATCAGTTTCTGTCATTCCTTCTTCAAGTCTAGGCGAATTCGAGACCGTACCATTCTATGGTCACTGCATCGTACCTTGCCAACCACTTCCACATCCTGCACGATTCCTGGGGGTGCAGTCATTATAAAGTCTATTTCGTTCTTATTTTCGCCATTAGGGCTCCTCCATGTCCACTTGCAGTTTTCTCGTTTTCGGTAGAAGGTATTCAAAATCCGCAAATTATTGCGTTCTGCGAATTCTACTCTCTTCTGGCGTTTCTAGTGCCAATGCCATCATCTCCTACTGCCTGGTCTCCAGCCTGCTTCTTCCCTACCTTTGCATTAAAGTCGCCCATAACTATAGTATACTGTGTTTTTACCTTACTCATTGCCGATTCCATGTCTTCATAGAAGCTTTCAACTGAAGCGTCATCATGGCTGGACGTAGGTGCGTAAGCCTATACTACCTTCATCTTGTATCTTTTATTCAGTTTAATTACAATACCTACCACCCTTTCATTAATGCTATAGTATTCCTCTATGTTGCCAGCTATGTTTCTGTGAATTAGGAACCCACTCCCAGTTCTCTTCTGTCTGCCAAGCCCCGATAGCAAAGGACGTGCCCATTCTGTAGCACAGTATAGGCCTCATCTGTCCTCCTAATTTCACTGAGCCCTATTATATCCTATTTAACACCCTCTAGCTCCTCGAATAGTACAGCTAGACTTCCCTCACTAGATAAGGTTCTAGCGTTAAACGTTGCCAAGTTCAGGTTCCAATGGCGGCCTGTCCGGATCCAGAGATTCTTAGCACCCTCCGCTGCGTTGCAGATCTGACCGCCGCCGTGGTCAGTTGCTTCGCAGCTGCTGGGGACTGAGGGCCGTGAGTTATTTGACGTATGCATGTGGGAGGTAGTGGCCAGATACTGCATCAGGGTGGCCAATCCTTCTCTGGTGAGGGAGTGCGTTCCCGGCGGTGGTTACCGGTGAGGCCGCACCCCAGGCCTCTTAATGCAGTTCCATTCACACGCGGATTTTTTCGTTTTAAATCCGGTTGGGAACTGCGCGGCACCAGGATTTTAACCACGGACCTCTTGCATGCGAGGCGGATGCTCTGACCACTACGCCATCGCCCCCGTTATCAGGGGGCGCTAAATATATGTACGAATGCACGCACACACATAAGTGAAAAAGCCCCGTATCCTTTTTGTTAGCAGTTGTTTACAGTGACGTAACGATCCCAACGGCTACATGAATATTAGCAACACCAGAAGCGGTGAGCTCAAATAAAACGCTGGTGTTTGTGACGGTGCGCGCTAGGATGATATCTTTCAACACTGCTGCCCAAAGAAACTTCAGTGGATGGTGCCCAACTACACTTTACGCTAACACGACATGACGTTTATAACATAGGAGTACATATGTATAGTTTATAAAATCGAATAGCCACTACTTCAACCACAACTTACGTTACAAGAACATACGGTCTATTTGAAAAGTATATTCGAGACCTGGCGTGGATCTGTGGTGAAATACTTCAATGTCACGCAGAATGTGAGGGTTCGACTCCTACTGGGACACTGACATGGCATTGTTTGCATTCGTCCTGTCAACGCTGCCTATAGCAGATACTAAGCTTCTGTCACCTGCGGCACATACTCGCATACCAGCTGCACCCACCCGGCAGGGTATGTGTCACTGCTTATTAGAGATTGCTTGACGATGTTCGCGACGAGATTATGATATTATTCATGTCTTACCTAGCGCGTCATATTCGTCAAACTACCTTACCTATTCATACTAACTTTGGTGCACACCAAGAAAAGAGGGTGATCATGAGAGCGCCCAGATAGATAGATAGATAGATAGATAGATAGATAGATAGATAGATAGATAGATAGATAGATAGATAGATAGATAGATAGATAGATAGATAGATAGATAGATAGATAGATAGATAGATAGATAGATAGACAGGCGGACGGACGGACGGACGGACAGACAGACAGACAGACAGACAGACAGACAGACAGACAGACAGACAGATAGATAGATAGATAGATAGATAGATAGATAGATAGATAGATAGATAGATAGATAGATAGATAGATAGATAGATAGATAGATAGATAGATAGATAGATAGATAGATAGATAGATAGATAGATAGATAGATAGATAGATAGATAGATAGTATATGAGGCATAGTGGTTGTATAGTCTTTCTTGTGTATGTACATTATATGCAAACAGTGAACTGCATTTGTGAATTTCATATCAGATGGTCTTCATGCCATATCTGTTATTTTGTAAAGGCTCCGGTAACGCAGGACAATGCGAACAACATTCTTTCTCAAGATCTGAAAATCTACAGCAGTATCAGCACTCACCTCTGAAGATCTACGTACTTGATGAGTAGAGGGAAGAATGCATATATGTCTCGGACAAGAAGTGAGAACTCCTAAAATGCAAAAAGCAGAGCATTAGATTTACAAGGTGTCAATAAAGCAATTGATACACTATTTTCTCAGCAGATAAAGTAAAATAGTAGTGCTCAGTCGGTGCGAACATGTTGTCGATCATTTCTTATTTGCACGTCGTTTCACCGAACAAACATCCCAAAATGTACATTTACGCAAAGTAACGTACTATGCAAGTACGGTACCCCACTTTTGTTATGCTGAAAGCAATACTGCAAAGTTGTTCGCGCCGATATTCTCGATGGTTTCATTGCAATATTTTAAAATAGATTGCACTTAGTTGATTTGTCATGATGCGTAAATCCTACAATAGATTTATACTGGGAAGGCGCCCTCCGAAGCGAAGAATGAAGGGTGGAGTTTTTATTCCCTGAACTTTCACCTTTCAACGCATCTCCTTTTGCGACAAGTGGAGCGTTTGGTGCGGATAGTTGCTTTGTATTGCAGCGCCCGTACTAGACCCTCATGTGTAGCAAAGAGCAGCGTTGTTTTCATTGCGATAGCAATCATACAGACACTGTCAGTGACCTTTTTCGGTCACCTTTATCTCCTGTGCAAAGTCCAAATCGATCAAACTGGTCCGCTCTTCCCATTTTTTATGACCAAGCGCGAAAGACGTGTGATAGTATAGGAGCCGGAGGTGGGCAGCATGCCTCCGAAAGGAATCGCGTATATTACTGGGCTATGGTAGGGTAAAACCCCCAAACAACAGAGTTTGCAATTTTGACACCAAGAAATTCACTGTACTTTTAGGAACAAACCTGTGGAAGCCTGAAGTTGAGCGGCCACTCGAAGCGATTTAATTGCCGCGCCGAAGTGTGCCACGCGGCCTCTGGCATAATCAGTCTTCTCACGTAAAACTTTGTTTTTCTTGAATTGCACTTCGTGTGAATTTTTCAACTTCAGTGTGCGTTTGCGCAAAAAGTATTAAATTGATTTCGATGAGACATGGTATGCGTGAGGTACAACAAGGTAGAAACAATCTGAAGAAATTGCTGATTTCATAGAAAGTGAAGCTGTAAAAAAATTACGCAACAATGCACACCCTCCTTGGCGTTGTGCATGCAGTATTTTCGTTTTTTTCAAAAGCTTTACAAAAAAGTCATATTACTTAGTTAAATGTAACCCATCATTCTCTACAAGAACACGGCTGAATATGGTCCTATTCGTTTTTGTAGTTGCAGAGAAAAGGTACATGGAAATAGTGAACCCCTTTTAAAATTTGATAGTGCGCCATAGAAAGGACATGCAACGTAGGCGTAGAAAAAAAGTGTCACTTGATACCCAGTGACATTTTTCTGAGCACATAAACTTTTATCGGAATACCTGCAGTCGTTTTCAAGATATTGCGCTAAAACTGACATATACTATTTACCCTACCATAACCCGTTAAACTCTGTGCTCTATTGATCCTGTGCACTCTATAGCACTATAGCGAATCAGCAGATGGCCTATAAATCTGTAGGTGAAACGATTTCTTTGTAAAGTTTACCTTGAAGCCTTGGACATAACGGAGGCTTCTTTACTCGATGCAGCGCTCACATTTTCTTGCATTTTTGTTGACATAAGGCTTATGTGACAATAAAGGAATCAGTGGCTACCGTAACTTTGTGTCAGCTGCATTACAGTTTGTTCCACTTGCATGCTTTGGTTCGTCATTCCGGCAAAGCTTTACTTCTTTTATTTGGTATTATGCAAAGTGCGAATGAGATGCTAACTTTCATTCGTATAAAATTACAATTCGTTGCTATAGCATTGAATGCTTCGTCTTCGTGGCAATGTTTTTTTTAGTCACCTTTTGTACAATGCCAGTTTCATGTTTGATTCATGAACACAAGCGAATGGAAAAGTGGTGTCTTGTGTGTAGCTATATACAGCATTCCGGCTAGCTCTGCGCTCCATATCCGCATTGAGATTGCAAGTGGCTCGTGTGCATCAGCTGCTGTTTTTTTTATCAGCCCCACCAAAGCGTGTGAGCCTAGAGTTAACAGGACAATAGGTCTTTTTTCAAGTTTGTTATAGGTAGCCGCGGATGTGAATCACACAGCATGGGGTTGAGTTTATTGGCCAAACATTAGTCTGTTCCCACTCACGCTTTGCATTTTATATTCCTTGCTTGCAGCCGTATTCTTATCAATAAGGTTAAACATGTAAACTTAAAACCGAAATAATTCATCTATGAAAGCGTATGCACCTCTTGCAGCTGGCCCTCAGCCTGGGAGGTGTCATCCGTGGTGGACTTGAGGTAGCTGCGCATGCACTCTTCCTTGTGAAACACCGAGTCTGCACACTGCCGGACTTTCTCCATCAGCGGCAGAATAGGGTCGCGCAGCAGTTCTTCGGATGAGTTGATCACTATCTGACCAGCGTGTCCTGCGTAGTGTAATGTTAAATGTGTTAACTTACGAGACGTCGAAGCAACAAGCAAAAGTTTCCGGACCAAGCTTTCCACATCCTGTACCAAGGCCCTGCTGAAGAGATTTTTTCCCAATCATGGTATAATATTTCCTTGGTGTTAAACATTGTTTTCTGAAAAAAACTTGTGTAAGCATTATGCGTTGTCGCAAGCGTCATCATTTTGTTCTTAGTTTTTACGTTAATTTTTTCAGGTGAAATTGAAGAGTTCAATGAGACGCACAACACTCGTCGTGCAACATTTTTTTTCTTTTGCGCTAGAATTGTTCCCCAGGCGAAATCGTCATGAAAGTATGTCAAAAAGCAGGTCTCATCTGCTTTAAAATTCAGAAAAGCATTTGAGGTCTGGCTCTTGACGTAAAATTTGTAGTGTTCAAAAGATGTATTCAAATCAGTATTACAGTCGCTCTGTGTTGTCGTCTTTCGCCGCGTATATGTCGTGCTTTAGGGCAAGGTATTCGTATTTATTTGATTGAAAAGAAACACCACAAACTTTTTTTAGATTGCCGAGGCAGGTTTTCGGTAAGCGAATAAAATTCATTGCACGCATTTCTACGCGACACATGTTAGCGATTAGTTATGCCGAAACTTGTTCAAACAAACATATCCTAGCAGCGTAAACATAAATTCAAATAAAACGGGAGAAGAAAGAAGGAAAGGCGCCAGAGTTGGTTATACTAAAAAAAACATTTCTATCTTAGATGTGTAATGTTATGCACTCACACATTGTGTCAGATAGTCTTCAATAAACTACGCAATATTTGAAAAATTTGCCGATTGGAAAGTATTTTATTCTACCAGCAAGCTTAAGATTAAATTTTCTCATGAAGCACAGTATTCTCTCTAGTTTTCAAAAAAAAACACAGCATGTTCTTTGAATAATTTTCATATTTATTCAACTCTAAAAAAATAAAATCGCAATTGAGAGAACAAATGGCGGCCGTAAAAATTCTCGGAGAAATACGTCTTCGGATGATCAGTTGAAACACTTTATACCAGTGTGCGTAGACTTTGCATGGACTTCAGGACATATTTCAGATTATCAATAAAAAAAAACATAAGTATCGGCCCAAGGACTACTCATGAGCCATTCAATATTCTGCATGCAGTCTATACGTTTGAACAGCTGCGCGCAGCTCGACAAAAAGTGCGCTTTTATTTCGGATTGCAAAAAAGACACAAAACTCGAGAGTAAAATATTTTTTCCTTCCTTCGTGCTTTTGAAATGTCCAACGAAAAAGTTATACCACGGCAGTATTTGCAGCTATACACTTACGGGACAAGGTCAGTCTTTAGGAAACAGCGTAATTGGTAATAAGTAAATTCAACGTACCTGCGATGGTTATCATCCAAGGAGAGCCCTCAGTGTTGACAGTTTTACGCAGGAGATTTAGGATGTTCTTCAGAAGGCTAGTCAAATGATCACTGGTAACCATGGTCACATGGTTTCTGCAAATGATTGTTTATGAGGACCGGTCAACCTTATGCTAAAGGGATGAAACTGCATAAAAAAGCAGCGCCACTCATGCAGCACATATACCTGGATGGGATATTCTAAAGGCTTACCAAGTTAATATAAGAAATTGTTAAAATTGCAGTGATCCCTGCACAAAGCTGCTTGAAAATTGAAGAAATATCTTAGACACATAAGTGTATTCTTCCATAATATCTAATGCCTTCGCTTAAGTAGTACTCCCGGAAAGGGAAGTCTGAATATCAGGCTTTTCAAAAAACCATTAAATAACGAAGTGCACTTGTTTTGAGTAAAGTAAAAATGAGAACGCTTTTACTGTTTCCCGAGGATACTGAAAATAAATGGTGGTGACGTAGATTGCTCTACTCTCCTGCATGCAAGATCAGAAAGCCTCCATAGTCAAATCGCCCGGCAATTCTCCTTTGACTAGACCACTGCGCGGTACTTACCCTGATGTGGGGTTAACATTGTCAGGACCTTGACTCCACCAGAAAGGAAGGTAGCTAGAATGAGTGGCAAATGATGTATAAATTGCGAAACGTCATCAAAATCCAATAAAACTTTAGTTGAAAAAGTCAAGCTCATACTTTTATTCTACGCTCAACTATATTTGTGTCCATTTGACGTAAATTTATAGCATCTTTTCCAATGAAATTGCAACAGACATACTTTACCAAATGGAGAATGTGTTTTTCTGCAGCGAAATATGCCTAAATTATTTTAACATTTCTTAAAACAAGCCCTGCAATAAGCTCTATTCCACGTACACATCTGGTGATCAGACACAACATTCGTTACATGCTCAAATAGTTAAAGTGGTAATGTTAAAAATTTTGCGCAAGTCTCGTCAACAAAAGACATTCTGCACCTCTATTTTTTAAAATAGGTGATCCCACAACACCTTCTGGTGAAATTAAATCTGGAACAATCAGAATGTTTTCCCGTGCTTTTCAAAGTAAACGTTAATGACAAATGCATATTGTAATAGGCCTTACCTGCACAACATCGGTATCATCACATCGATGATGAAGGGCTGCTCCGCGTACTTCCCATTTCCCGTTACAAACTTCTCAACTTGACCCACGAGGTCTTCTAAGGTTGGCATGCTCGACTCCAGTGTTGCCATTACAGCTAAAAATAACCATAATTTGATCAGGCTATCGCAGGCACTCTAAAAATATTATAATATATAATTGTACAAAGTTTTAAAGTACTCTGACGACAGGTTTTTTTTTAATTTTTATTAGTTGCATGTTTGCCAACATAACATCTCTTGCAGTAAAACAGATTTAATTTTAGTAGATTTTCTACACGTCTGTTCAATCTTTTCCAGGTTAGTCAGTTTGCAAGTAAGCTAGAAATGCACTGTTTTATTCCTTCTAACTGATAAGCAAAGTCTGAAACATTTCTCTTGACCGGCTTTCGTTATGCAGTAGCGAAATTCGCATGCTAGAATTCCAACAAAAGCAGTCATTTCTGAATTCATTAAAATAAAAACATTTCATTTCGAAAACGCTCACATGGGTGTTTTCTGAGTCTTGCATCTATGCATTTTGGCAACGTTAAATATTAGTGCGGTATGGCTGCGAGCGCCATATATATTTCGATCACAGTTAATTGTATATAGGCGTATTTCCGCACCTATCTGGGCAATATGAATAAAGTAGTGAACGTAATCTTGTGACGTAAGTAACATCCCATGCGTGCATTAGATGCCGAGAAGAAGCCGAATGAAACTTTTGCAGACATCAAGAAAACTGCGTACTGCCCTACCGTTGCTACAGCTGGTTTGGTAACCCAATTACTAAGTATTTGGCGCTGATGCTGTCAAAGAGCGCGCAGCACTTGTTCATACTTTCCATGTAACCATCGTTTGCTATTTCTTTAACAAAGCGCTTACCAACACTTCAACTCTTCGTGAGGCGCATTTGTAGGCACATCCTGTGTATCAGCTCCTACGTGTGTATAGTGTTTCAACCAAAGAGGTGAAAAATTTTCACCAACAATTAACCTACCGTATGATGACAGTTGTAGCGGCCATCTTACTAGGGGCATCATGAGCTGTTTGCGTTCAGTGATTGAGAAAGAGCGTTCTCTTCGCACGCCCAGCGAATTAAACGTTGCAACCTTTCCTGGTTGATTGTGCTCAAAGTGCGTCATTATGTTAATAGTTTTCTTAGGTAAGCCTCGTACCACCATACAATTATGAGAGACACCATTGTGGAGGGCTCCGAAAATTTCGACCACGAATAACCCCAGGTGGTCCAAATTTTTGGAGCCCTCTACTACAGCATCTCTCATAATGATATGTTGGTAGTGGAACGTTAAACCCAACATATCAATCATTTAGTAACCGTAATATTCAAGGCAAACTTTATATATAATTAGGTCATGGATACTTGTTTCTGTAGGGTATTTCATCGAAAACAGCTAATTTTTATTTTATGAATAACGTAGCCTTTACACTTACAGGTCAAAGTCACTTGATGTCTAAATGGTACCACCAAAAAATGGCATGTTTCTGAGACTTGGCAGCAGGGACAGCATACGACAGGGACGCTTATTTCTGTTGTTTTCCAGGTGTTCGAGGCGTACAGTGGCTGACTATCGGCGTTGATAGCGGAGCAGGCTACATCCAGCGCCTTGCGGGAGTGCCGCGCTGACCGACCGGCTACGTTTTTTGCGCCCGGCACCATACCACGTGGCATCGGCCACCCCTGGCCCTTCAAAAAGACAGCGGCAACGCCTCCCTCGATCACTTGGCAGCAGGGACAGCATACGACAGGGACGCTTATTTCTGTTGTTTTCCAGGTGTTCGAGGCGTACAGTGGCTGACTATCGGCGTTGATAGCGGAGCAGGCTACATCCAGCGCCTTGCGGGAGTGCCGCGCTGACCGACCGGCTACGTTTTTTGCGCCCGGCACCATACCACGTGGCATCGGCCACCCCTGGCCCTTCAAAAAGACAGCGGCAACGCCTCCCTCGATCACTTGGCAGCAGGGACAGCATACGACAGGGACGCTTATTGCTGTTGTTTTCCCAGGTGTTCGAGGCGTACAGTGGCTGACTATCGGCGTTGATAGCGGAGCGTGCTACATCCAGCGCCTTGCGGGAGTGCCGCGCTGACCGACCGGCTACGTTTTTTGCGCCCGGCACCATACCACGTGGCATCGGCCACCCCTGGCCCTTCAAAAAGACAGCGGCAATGCCTCCCTCGATCACTTGGCAGCAGGGACAGCATACGACAGGGACGCTTATCGCTGTTGTTTTCCCAGGTGTTCGAGGCGTACAGTGGCTGACTATCGGCGTTGATAGCGGAGCGTGCTACATCCAGCGCCTTGCGGGAGTGCCGCGCTGACCGACCGGCTACGTTTTTTGCGCCCGGCACCATACCACGTGGCATGGGCCACCCCTGGCCCTTCAAAAAGACAGCGGCAACGCCTCCCTCGATCACTTGGCAGCAGGGACAGCATACGACAGGGACGCTTATTGCTGTTGTTTTCCCAGGTGTTCGAGGCGTACAGTGGCTGACTATCGGCGTTGATAGCGGAGCGTGCTACATCCAGCGCCTTGCGGGAGTGCCGCGCTGACCGACCGGCTACGTTTTTTGCGCCCGGCACCATACCACGTGGCATCGGCCACCCCTGGCCCTTCAAAAAGACAGCGGCAACGCCTCCCTCGATCACTTGGCAGCAGGGACAGCATACGACAGGGACGCTTATTGCTGTTGTTTTCCCAGGTGTTCGAGGCGTACAGTGGCTGACTATCGGCGTTGATAGCGGAGCGTGCTACATCCAGCGCCTTGCGGGAGTGCCGCGCTGACCGACCGGCTACGTTTTTTGCGCCCGGCACCATACCACGTGGCATCGGCCACCCCTGGCCCTTCAAAAAGACAGCGGCAATGCCTCCCTCGATCACTTGGCAGCAGGGACAGCATACGACAGGGACGCTTATCGCTGTTGTTTTCCCAGGTGTTCGAGGCGTACAGTGGCTGACTATCGGCGTTGATAGCGGAGCGTGCTACATCCAGCGCCTTGCGGGAGTGCCGCGCTGACCGACCGGCTACGTTTTTTGCGCCCGGCACCATACCACGTGGCATGGGCCACCCCTGGCCCTTCAAAAAGACAGCGGCAACGCCTCCCTCGATCACTTGGCAGCAGGGACAGCATACGACAGGGACGCTTATTGCTGTTGTTTTCCCAGGTTAGGCATTTGCCCTCCTGTTTTGTATAGTTCATTCGCTATCCTAGCGCTGTCTCTGTTGCCTATTTTTCAAAGTTCGTACTTGTTTTGCCCACTGTTGAATCTGTAACTTGGCCTTTAATCATGGGTACCGAGTTCGCGGACTTCAAACGCGACATTCGGAAAGAAATCGGAGAGTTAAACAAAAGCCTTGAATACATGAATAAAGACTACGAAAATATAAAACAAGAGTGCACTGAAATTAGAAAGGAAAACGCTGCTCTCAGGGCGTTCCAAGAGGCAATGCAATGTGAGATAGACCGTTTGAGAAAGTTGGTGCACGAAAATTCCACGCGCCTAACTACTCAGGATCAATACTCTCGAAACAAAAATATAGAAATTAAAGGGATCCCACGTACCCCTAATGGAAACCTTGTACAATTGCTTGCCAAAGTTGGTGACGCCTCGGGAGAGCCAATAAGTGAACAAGACATAGAAATATGCCACCGTTTGCCAGCGAGGAGTGCCACTTCGCAAAGTAACACGGCACCAGACCCAGGTGTTGCAAAGAACGAGGTACGCCCTCATGCAAGCGCTGTTCCCGCTCGGAGTAGCAAAGCAGGCAGTGATGCCCCCCTGAGCGGAAACATCGTGGTTGTTTTCAATCGCTGAGCTAAAACGCATGCCATCGTTAAGAAAGCAAGGAGAACTCGATTCACAGCTGAGGAACTGGGTTTCACAACTAAACAGTCTGTTTTCGTAAATGAGCACCTTTGTCCCCAACTGAAAAAATTTCTGGGTAGGACGATTGCTCGGAAACGGGAAATAAACTGGCGCTTCGCGTGGGCAAGTGGTGGCAAAATATTTGCGCGTGAAACGGAAACATCTCGTGCAGTTCAAATCACATGTGAAGCTGACTTGCACAAGATGCACGCGGCCAATTCAAGCAGCCGCGGGGCATCTAGCATGCCGTAGGCTTATCTGATTAGCACTTTTTGATTTTCGGCGCCACCTTTTTTTCTTTTTCTTTTTTTCCTTTTGTTAAGATGGCGATATTACCACGTGATGTCAGTATATTTTACACTAGTGGATATTGCAGTATCATGCACTTAAATGCTCGCTCAGTTCGCAACAAGCACGATGATATAACTACGTTTCTCGACGAATTCTCGTTTAAATTCGACATCATCATGATTTCTGAAACTTGGTACACGTGCAATGACGAGGTACTATGCTTGCCAACGTATAAATCGTTCTTTCTAAACAGGCCCTCTCGTCGAGGGGGAGGTGTTTTGCAACTAATTGCTGATCATTTAGTTTGCAGCCTTCTCTCAGAATTTTCAGCGATTACACCAGACTATGAGGCATTATCACTAGAATGTCACAAGTATGTATATGTGGTAGTTTATCGTCCACCTGACGGAAAAACAGAAGCGTTTTTTCAATTTCTTAAAAATCTGCTTACGTATGCGTGTACTAACAAGTTGCACATTATCATAGGGGGTGACTGCAATATAAACCTTTTACAGCAAACTGAAACCTCTCGTAACTTCCAACTACTACTTGATTCCTTTGCGTGTGCTAATATTAATACTGAACCTACACGTGTCACTTTAGATACTGAAAGCCTTATCGACTTACTTATTACAAATGACATAAGTGATTCAACCGTACCTGGAACTGTTATTGCCGATATTAGTGATCACTACCCTATATACATGTTTCAAAATCGCAACGAGTATCTTAATCGTGCGAAAGTATCAACTCCAGAATCATACAAAATACAGGAAATTAGTAACAAAACATTAAACTTTTAAGCGTGAAATTGCGCAGATTTGTTTTGATCCTGTATATAAATCAGTTAACGCTAATGAGGCGTATGAAATATTTATGTGCCTGTTAAGAAAAACTTACCATAAGTGTTTTAAATATAAAACTGTCGAAACACTAAAGAAAGGTCGGAAACAATGGATGACGCGAGAATGTCTGGAAATGAATAAGAAGAAAAATCTACTGTACGCGAAATTCGTGAAAACAAGACACTATAACGATCTTTCGGAATTCAAGCGGTATAGAAATTTAGTAACGAAGCAACTGAGAAAAACTTAGGATGCGTACTATGAAGCTCTCTTCAAGAGGGTTAGCACTCGTGGCGACGTGCTTTGGCGAGAAATAAATAAGCTTCTAAACAGAAGTTGCTCTCGAGACAACGCACTTGAGTTAAACATAGATAACAAGATAGTAAAGGGTCAAGAACTTGCTAATAAATTTAACGTGTACTTCACAACGCTGGTGTCCTCTGATTTATCAAACCCTTCTCGTGCCTGTAATAGTGATTACAGGGACTTTCTAGGTGTGCCAAACATGAGCACTGCACATTTTTTAAACACAACTCCTGAAGAAGTACTGTCTGTATTTATGTCATTAAAGAACACTACTGCTCGGGACATAGATGACCTACAAATTAGACCTATTAAAGCAGCACTTGATCTTTTTTTACCTGTTTATTTATTTATTTATTTTAACATACTGCAGCCCCTCTTGGGGCTATAGCAGGAGTGGGTACATCGCACAAAACCGTGCATCGAACAAGTTCAATGATGAAACAAAAGCAAAAATAAAACACAGTAACGACGAAACCAGGTGTTCGAAAGTCAACATAGAAGGAAGTGTACAGTTTTACCCATCTTTTTTACCCATCTTACCCATCTGTTTTACCCATCTTACCCATCTGTTTAATATCTGCTCATCCACGGGAGTTTTCCCAAAAAAAATGAAGCATGCGAGAGTTAGTGTCTTATACAAATCTGGTGACCGAAATATCTTTTCTAATTATCGTCCGATCTCGATACTTCCTGTTATATCTAAAGGGCTAGAGAAAATCATATATCAACGTGTCATGTCTTTTTGTGAAAGGTACTCTATATTATCACCGCATCAATTTGGCTTCCGACGGGGCATGTCCACGGAACTGGCTCTCCTCACACAAAAAGAACTCATACTTAACTCATTTGAAAAGAAACTGTTAACACTGGGTTTTTTATTGACTATTCCAAAGCGTTCGATAGAATCAACCACGAAGTACTCTATGCAAAATTGCGTCATTATAGTTTTCGGGGAACCCGACTTGACTTTCTGAAATCTTATTTATCACAAAGAAAGCTATCTGTAGTTATCAATGACAGCCAATCCTCCCTACTAGCCATGACGTCAGGTGTACCTCAGGGCAGCATATTAGGGCCTCTACTGTTTAATATTCATATAAACGACATAACAAGTATCAGCAAATATGTGGACTTTATAATTTATGCAGATGACACTAGTATACTTTTTCATGGTAATTATTTAGGTAACCTTGCAGACTCAGCCAACAACATTCCTAACGACATCTTCATATGGAGTACTGCAAATTATTTAATGATCAACACAAAAAAACTCAAAGCTGTGGTATTCGCACCGGTTCAGAAGGCTGTCTGTCGTGGTTTGGATATATATCTCGGGCCCAAAAAAGTTGAGGTTGTTAAAGAAGTTTCATCATTAGGAGTAATTTTTAATGAAAGTCTTAATTGGGACGAACACGTTAATAAAGTAACTAGAAATATAGCTAGGACGTGTGGTGCTCTCTCTAAACTTCGACAGATACTTCCAGCAAACATTAAACGTTTACTCTATAATACGTTGTTTTCATCTCACATAAACTATTGTAGTCTAGTATGGGCAGATACATCTAAAGCAAATCGGAACAAAATATTTTTACTGCAGAAAAAGCGATTCGTCATATTGCAAACGTACCATACGACGCACATACAAGTCATTTATTCAGAGAATATAAGATTTTACCGATCGATCACATACACAGTTTCAACCTTATTATGAAATACAAACAAAGCTTGCTATCAAACAACGCTTGTTTTCTTAAACTGTGTAACCTCAGAAAAAATACACAATTCTATTATGACATTCGGAAAAGGCCTTCCTGGTTCGTTCCTTATTCGCGAACTAATCACGGTTTGAGAAGACTTGAACACTGTATTCCAGCTTGTTTTAACATGTTTGAAAATAAAAACATCGACATCTTTATTATACATAAAAAACAACTTAAGAACCTTCTCATCCAAAATGGTGGCGTTTAGTTTAGCATCTTCTAGTTGTCCAGCTACAGTACTACATGTAAAAGAAACACCCTATAATAGTGCTCGTGTGTAACATGGCATCCTATGATGTTTGCTTTCCTTGACATTTTTTTGTTGCTTTTTTTACGAGTAAAACTTGCAACATTTCACTCGTCAGTGTTTCCCTTGTGCATTAAAACTTGTGCTTTTCGTATACCCAGTGTTCTAAACGTTGTATAATCATTTTGTAATACTTTGGTAGCTGTTTAGCAACGTGTGCATTGTTTCATGATTGACCACACGCTGTTTTCTTTTTTTTTGTTGTTTTTCTCTCTATGTGGCTTGCTTATTTTATGTAAACCTGAAACTGATATAATTTTGATTCATTTCCTTTTTACTTTCTAATTCCTTGAAGTTTTGAAAATTGACGTCAAATTGTTTTTTCATGTTTTGTGCTCTGCGGATTTTTGTAATGCCAAGTGAAAAGGGGTAGGAGCCTCGTCAAGCTGCTAACATAGCAGCTTTTTGCTTTTATCCTTGCGTTTTCTTTTTTGCAACTCTGTGAAGAAAATGCTCAATAAAACTGAAACTGAAACAACTCGAGGGTAAAGGCTGGCTTCACTATTGCTGGCAAAGCATTGTGGGAGCTTGCACTTCAGCACTTTTTTTTTAATTTAACCTCGTTGGCTGCAACTGCTTCGTGAGTTTCTCCTGTGGAACCTTTGGCCTGACTATAGCAGCTATGGAAAACATTCCGAATTCGGGCGACTTCAATCAGAAAGCATCAAACAAACCTTGCGCTTCCAAAGAATGTTCTTGAGCTTTGCCATGAATGCAGTAGGGATTGTGCTTGTTGTGCGAAGGCTCCAAAAACGCCACGGGAAAGGTGGCTGCGAATGCACCCAAGCAGTTACCATACGCAGGTCGATGCCTGTAAAAAACAAAAAGAAAACTTGGAGAATGCTTGAGCTTCACCTTAAAGAGAAGATTGCGATATTGTAATCGGGCCTCGTATGCACCACCTGTTCAATCGCTAGCCAGATTCAGTTCCCGGTGCTTGCCTGAAACGTCCCGCAAGAAAACAACCACTGATCGCGTAACTTCAGCCGTTCGAAATGGCCTTCCAAGCTCAGTTGCTAATTGCCCACTGTCTAAACTATTGCTTTTGTTAAGTGGCGAAGAGCCCTCTACACGTTCATAGGGCATCACGTTAACTTACGCAGCTCTTAATTGTATTGTTGCTTGAGCTTATTAGGATGGATATGTCTGAGTGCTTTGTAAAAAGTGGGCTTTTGAAACACCCACGCTTACTGTAATTCACATGCATTTACGCCTGGTGTGGCATGTTTCTACCAAGTCCTTATACATGCGTTAAAACCCCTTTATTACGCGACATTCACGTAGTGTATTTGTTTTTTCAAAAGAGTTTAAAAAAAATATTCTTCTTTATTCAAAGTATCGCTGTTTATTCGAAAGGTGAAGCGTAAGCAAGTAAACCGTGTCACAAAAAAACATTTAACATCCAAAGAAACTTGAAATATTCCCGTTAAGCTCTCTTAACACTCAATATTGAATTGTGGAGTGTTGGGGACAGGCAAAAGTTCGCATATTCTGAAGTTAACGCAAAAAACCATTGCACACAGCACTTTCAGGAAGTTGGCTGACATACTATTTGCATTTAGGCTGATGTGCTGTCGCAAATAAAATATCTAATAATAATGCCTTCCTTGATCTCTCCTACAATGTTCTCTGTGTGCTAACACAAAACAATAAAAATATGCTCACCGTTCCAACTCCGCTTTGATAAAAGACCTATAAAAAATGAAAGGAAAATTACCACAAGACGGAAAGACCTATATAAAAAACAGGAATAGAACTATGACACAACCTTATATCCAAAAACAGAAAATTTAACTGTAAAGAAAAGTGCATAAGAAATACTGACGAACGCTTTACGGCTCGTAAATGTAAAAATTCATTGTTAAAGGTTTAAATATAAACACTAACTTGCAGAGGATGTACCTATATGCTGTATTTCAATAATAAAATATTTATTATTCTGAAGTTCAGGCGATACATTGTGTCATCTTTCAACCTGTAGTTTCAAGACACTCTCAGTAAAAATTGATTCCAAAGAACCCACTCGGAAAATACTGATGGTCGCTCTTCGTTTTACATATAAAGTAATGAGCCAAAGCACATGTGCTTGCTTGTTCTCTTTCTTCCTAAATTGGCAGCAAATCTACAATAATGAACTTGATAAACAGCTCAATTCACTGCAGAACACTTTCAACCCTGCTGATGTCAGTTGACACCACCACACATTTCGCCTGGCATCTCGGTAATAAGACCAAAAATGCTCATTCTATAGGTAGTACTTCGTTGATCATCCAAAGCGTGAGCGGCCTCAATATTGTGGAAGGTTTGCTCAGCCAGAGGCCACAAAGAAAAACATGCTTGACTGAAGTCTTGGGTCAAGCAGAGACACATAGGCTGTGGTGCCGAAGCGCCATTTTTGAGATGACGTACCAAAGATATTTCAGTGTATTTCACATTGGGAATAAAACGCTGCTTCACATTTTCTTTACCCTGGCAAGCAGTGAGAATAAACAGCCAATGTTGTTATTTCACGACGACTCATCTAAGATAACCTAATTTGGCATTACGTTCATTATTCCGTATCTATTGCACCACTGCCTCTATTTCTCGTTCGCGGTTTTTTGAGCTTACTTCTATTAGAAAAACGTGCACAAAAAAGTCTCTGACCATAACGAAAACAGAGGGCTCTGAGGGCTAACACACCCACCTGCCACCGTGAAGTTCCAGGTTGGTTCCCAATGTATACAGGCTATTCAGGATCTTGTAGCAGGCCACCTGGATGTCACTCACTAGTATCAAAAAATGAAGGAATCACAAACATAAGTTTTGTCCAAGTATGTATGAGAGCTAGCACATATACTCTGAAGCATATTGCAGTAAGCGCGTTCCCCTCTGTGTCATAAAGCATCAAACGTGCCGCTATCACGAAGGCAAACAACGGGCAAAAATACTCGAACATGGTGTTTTCATATCATGAACATTTCATTAAATAGGTGTATGAGAAGAAGGCTCCTGTTTTCGCACGCAAAGGCTGCATTGAAGATAAAAAATTTTTCTCACAATGACACTTTCACGGTTAAATGAATTTTGAGCATAACTTTTAAAGCATTCAAATCAGGGTAATTGTTTTATATGGGAAAACAACAGTGCATGGCAATATGTGTCATATCCGTTTTTAGGAAATTACAAGAGTGACGAGAATTCCTAGGTACTCGTGATCGCCATCTCAGGGCTATGCTGGAATTGGTCGCACCTGGCAGGTATGAAACGCGACCACCCTTTTACATCTCGGCGCCACTTCCCTTGACAAGGAAATGATGAAACTTCATTTAGGCACTTGTTTGCCGAATTTTTTTGCCACTAGCAGCAAGTTCTCCCACTTGCGCCAGCTAATCGGCTTTTTTTGTGTGTAGTGTTTGATGCTTTATTTGTTGCTGTTTTTTTAGCTGTGCCCAAGAAGGTCACGTAGCACAATCAAGCTGTTCTTTCCATGTGCACAATAAGCTCTGTGGCGCCTTTTTTTCCCCTTTACATTTTCAACAAGAACAGATAAATACCACACATCGATTCCAAAAATAAGCTGTCTGCTCACGTGTTTTAGAATGATTGCCCATTTCACTGACCAATTTATGAATTGGCGCGCCATTATTCAAATTGTGGTGCTTTCTTGCCACGTGTAGTTTTAACCATCAGTAACCGAGAGATCGCTTTTTTCTGAGCACAGAGCATCATAAAATATGACATCACCCGTATGATACATGATAAATACCTCGCAGCACCTACAAGATTTCTTATGCTTCCTTTCCTCGTGTAGTTTTAACCTTCTGTAACCGAGAAGTTGTTTTTTTTTTTCTGAGCACAGAGCATCATAAAATACGACATTACCTGTAAAATACATTATCAGTACCTCGCAGCACCTACAAGATTTCTTATGCTTCCTTTCCTCGTGTAGTTTTAACCTTCGGTAACCGAGAAGTTGTTTTTTTTTTCTGAGCACAGAGCATCATGAAATACGACATTACCTGTAAAATACATTATCAGTACCTCGCAGCACCTACAACATTTCTGATGCTTCTTTACCACGCGTAGTTTTAACCTTCACTGATGAAGAGGCTGTTTTTCTTCTCAGCACAGAGCATCATAAAGTATGACATCACCCGTAAAGTAATCATTAACAAAACATCACCCGTAAAATACTTGATAAATACCTCGCAGAACCTGCAAATTTTATGATTTCTAAAAATATGGCCACGTTATAAATGGACGTGCATTGCAACTTTGAACTGACACAAGTGCCCTGAAGCTAATATTGATAAATGTACTAACATACTGTTTGCTAATTCGTCAAGTAATATACTTTCACTTGTGGTAAAACATTGCCGTTTCGCGGAGACTGCTTTCGCGAATACTACAGAACGCAGACTGTCATTGATTTGTGAAAAATCTGTAGTCACAAAACATTGCGTGTATACTTGAGTGGTGTAGTACCTGAAATGTGCCTGAATTATTAAAGTTACACGCACAAACACTGCACAATTCAGCTATTTAGCACTGAGTCAAGATAGTTTTGCTGTTATTGCTGTTCATACGCAATGCTAGCCATCATCCGGGTAGTCAGCGAAGAAGAGACAGCACTGGATGACATCAGTGATTAGGTGTCCAGCAACACCGCAGATAACCACATTCTTACACCATTTGTTAGCGTGCGGGTAAGTACACTAAGTTAAGATGATACTCGTCAACGAACGCCGCTTTTTAAGATAATACAGTACTGCATACGCCGAACATTTTCTATCATGCACACTTTCAAGACTCTCCAGCTGATACTTTACGATTGGGGCCTTGTAGTGAAAGGTAATCTTTAAAATAACACCGAATTACCAGACTAGACTTACAGATATTATGCTCTAAACAGCAACCAACAATGATAGATTAAACTTACCTAAATTTGCAGATATTAAGCGAAAACAGCATAACCACCACTGAGATGTTATCGTAGGTAACAATAAACTGTAACTGTTACAGGAATCCTATGGGCAAAATTGTTAGGTAAGAATCTTCTAGTGCTGACTATAGAAAGAAGGCTTGGCACACTCACGCAACAAGTCACTGCCGAACTCGTTGGCAGCTAGGTGGTCAAACAGCGCTGTGAGCACAGGCAGGAGAACAAGTTGTACGTAGTTGAGCGACGATGACGTCTTCATCGTCGTGCCGCGAAGGTGACTGTAGCGTCCTTGCTCGAGGTTTATTAGCGTCTGGGCCAAGTCATCAGCCGCGTTGTTGAAGTACGTGAGCATCGAAGTCTTCACAAAATCCGGACAATTCTTCACTATTGCCCTATGAAATAATCGTTCAGATTGTACTTATGCACTGAACGACAACAATTGATTACATACTATCCTCGTAAATGTTATGAGAAACAGTGGTGTTGTATGGAGATATAAAGATGCTTGCAGCTGTGCACTGAAACTTTGAAGTTGTCTAAACGTCTCAGAGAGTTGCTTTGTTTTCTAGCTCCAGAAAATGAAACCTGTGTTATATGGCTCCTTATTAGTGTCTCTCTATAATTTCTCTCTTTTACGACATTATATATTTAAGCAAGTCTCTTGCTGGTTTGTATTACACAAGTATGTGGTACATGGTGTGACCTTCGCACCACTATCGTAGCGTTGATCTGGTTCTGCTTTAGTTCTTATCAACTGAACCTGAAAATAAATTCTAGGCCCGTGTGCTCAGATTTAGGTGCACGTTAAAGAACCCCAGGTGGTCTAAATTTCCGGAGCCCTCCACTACAGCGTCTCTCATAGTCATATGGTGGTTTTGGAACGTTAAACCCCAGATATCAATATCAATGAAAATAAATTATTTCCTTCTCATAGTATATAAAACACTTGTCATGTAGAGAACTTTCATGAATAGTAACATTAAAGATGTATGAATCGGGAATCACCACAATAAGCTAAAATATTGACAATTTACGGCCATTGCACAAACAAAACTTGATTGAACAGCATCGCTACTTGACCCATAGTGCGTACATCAGACCCAGTATAGGTATATTTCATATGGCTATCACGAACAGGAAAGTGTTATCCCACAGATTTGACTTACAAGCCCCGACGACGCCACTTACTTTGCATCCGTTGCCCGAATGAGCACTTGAAGACACGAGACAGCCAACTTGCATTCATTACCAAAGACGCTGAACTTGGCTCTCAGCAGACCGCCCAGCTTGCAGAACAGGCTACAGAAAAACCAAAGAGTAAGACAGTGAGCACAGCGATACCTCTACTAATCACCTGATGCGGGACGTAGAATATAAGGCCTACATCAATTAATACGAGCCATCACCTGCGTATCATTCGGTTACTTCGTCGTAATGCGAATACTTGTTAGCATTTAATTAAAAAAATATGCTTAACACCAACCGCTCTTTGTTGATGTACATATCACTACAAACACTACCTTTGACTTTGAAAATGAATATGCGATTTTTTGGTATGAATACACAGGATATGTTTGAATACTAAACTGCATCAGTTATGCTTCACAATGGCAATATCAATTTATAAAACAGTGTTGTTTCATGATGTTTATAACGCCTAAACACAACCTTTTATTAGTCAATTAAAGCTGATAATTTTTCATATTCTAATCTTGCTGGCGATGCATTATTTAGTAAAAATTGCGGGAAAAGGGACATGGAAAGAATAGCTTATTACTAGTATATAGGAGGGAAGAAGCCAATAAAGTAGGGTGGATTTATCGATACCACGATTACTTCCGCTATCGTAGAGGGCATATGTTGGGACAGAAAGAGAAGCCTCATTCGTGAAATATTATTTTCAGAACTGAAACTACACTGGGTTCAGGACACAATCGTTGACGACTGGACGAACCCTGTTCTGCGTCCGTTCTGTCTTCCCTACTCTTGTGTCTTCACCCAAGCGCAGTCTAAGTTTTCAAAATAAAATTTGCTTTATCTAAATGTGAAGGTTAACATCATTGTTACGTTCCACCATACCAAACCTATATCCACGTTCGTATGAAAGTTCACATTCTGAGCCCCACTGCGATCAATAAAGAGCTCCATAGAGGTAGTTTTTCAACTTACCTTGCGACCATCTCCTTCTCGCGTATGGTGGCCGTGCCTACCGTGGAAGTGGCAGTGGGCGACATCAAGAAAAATGCGCGGTGCGCCACAAATACCTTCTCCATCAGCGGCAACACCACCTGCGAAGAATATAAGAAAAGTTACATCAATCATTCACAAAAAAATACCGACGACACGTGCGGCTCATGGATATTTGCTATCTGCCCGTAATAACGCAAGATAATGGCAAAAACAAGTAGGAAGCAGGCTGAAAAGTAAATCTCAGAGAGGAGTCATGCTTGTCTCCTAATCAGGACAGGTGAATAAATTGAAGAATGGAAGATAGAAAGTGACACATTATGGAAAATATTAGACTCGGAAATATCTAACAGGAGTCACGTACGTCTATCAACGAGAGATCAAATGCATCTTGTGAGTGTGGTCGACGTTCGGTATTTTTTAGATGGACATCTCAAAGCTGTGACAGTATCTGCACTTATCCATTAGGATGCCAGTTCGTAAATTTTAACACAGATTGCCAGCTATTGTTGTTTTACTGATGAAATAGTTATGGTACAGTGAGTTCTTCGTACTGTAATTGCTGTAGGCACCGTGGCGGAGTTAATAATAGGAAATGTCTCACCCACAACGCTTTTCTTCTCGCCACGCTTCTCAACTTTCGATGGAAAAGTGAAGCGTCACGCGCGAATAAGGAGGTAATGTAAAGCGGAATTTATTACACTATTGCGTTGCACTTTTAAAAGTCATGCTTTCTGAATTCGAAGTGTTATTGCTTTATTCTCGTCTATCTGCGGACTTTTCCGAATTACACCACTTAAGTCTACAGTGCCGTCATTACGCTTCGCTGGTGTATCTTGTAATATAACTTTTAAAGTTAATTTTATTTATATCTGCAATTTCAATGATTTCCGTAGCATAAGCCCTAGACACTACCGGTATTGCCCATGTGGCTTTACAATAATTTAATAGCTTGGTAACAAGGACGCAGTGATGGTGCTAGGGAGCAGTGTTATGCGGTTCAATCACACTCCACCCCCCACCTGGTTGAAACGTCGAAAGATAAAAACCTCGTTGTGACTTTTCACGGCGGATCTACTTGAATATATATATATATATATATATATATATATATATATATATATATATATATATATAATGTACACATACAAACACATGCATGCTTGATCAAAAAGTGCTGATGGGCACCACTACCCCTCCCTCGCAAAAAAAATTCCATACTACGCTCCCTAAAGGCAGCCATGACCTCAGATTCACCTTCTATATTGAAATCTTAGGCAACTTGGTCTTGGTTTCTATACATGTGCCCACCTTGCTGAAGAACTTGACGTCCCGACTGGAAGTCTTGAAGCTTGTCCGGCGGCTGAACGGTACGCTGGGTCTGAGAACCTTGAGGTTTATCGCAGCCATGTCCATGTACTGCAGTAGCTTCTCCAACAGAGAGCTCGCAAAGCGACGCTCCGGCGCTGCAGCCTGGCCCTGGCCCGGGGCTTGAGGTTCCTCGCTCGGGGCACCTCCCCGTTCGCGGCGACGTGTGGCCTTGCTGCACAAGACACAGTGGCATTACACGTGAAGGTGCCAGTAATCTTGACCGATGCGACGCAGTTGTGACCAAGATGATATAAGACGCAGAAAATAAACGGAAACATGAAGAGACTGTCACGGCAAGGAGGCAATTATCTCACACAACAAGCACGAACTACGCCACGAAAGAGTTGCCCTGAAATTTGGCGAAGCTTATCGGAAACTGAAGAGCTATTGCTAAACTAGTTCAATTCTCGATGTCTGCATGAAACAATCACCATGAGGTGAGGAAAGACACCTATTGGTGTTAGAAAGAGCCTGGTCATCTTATAAGCATATTTTTTAGTCTTGCCCATTGATACTAACGCTGGAGTCACATTTTAGTGCCCTTCATCGTAGATATCAGTCTGAACCAAGTGACTTTCCAGCAGGAGCATACATATAAATTACAGCCTAATGTTCATTTTCATGTGCACTCGAGGAAGCGTCAATGGTCAGCTTAAGTTCTTTTTAAACGCATGATTATTTGCGCTGCGCAAGGTTTGTGGAGACGTGTGGGGCTGAGGCAATGCTTCTGGTGAGACACTTTTAAATACATTGCATATGTCGCAATCATAATATGTTACACGAGCGTTTAAACAGTGATCAGACAAACTTTTAAATAAATACTGTGTTGTTGTCCACCCTCTATTTAAAGCGTGAAGTACAATGTTGTTCATACCTGCAGCCGAACGATGTTTGCTTTCCCTTTTGAGGGATTTTCGTGACCAGTTTGTGATACCAAAACGGCTTTGCACACCAACAAATCCTGTAGCCTCGTATGTCAAGAACATTGTATACAGTAATAGAAAACCTGAAGGTATCGGTAATTACGTGAACACTTGGGTACGTTAGTGATGCGCTACACAGACAAGGATGATAGGAAGGAAGAACAAGGCACTTTAATTAAAGCTAGTTTTCTTACAACTGATTCAAAACTGCGGCAATGCAAAAACGTGCCATCAATAGCACTCACCAAGAAAATGTTATACTATAATACGAAAACATGGGTATGTTTTGTTAATGCCTCCTCTGCACACTCTGCTGATCCATCCTGTTTTTTTTTTTTGTTTATTGCGTGTTTTCATCATTTTTGCCGCTTATGCATACCGATTTCTATAGAAAATAGACTAACTTCAAGTTAGTGCCTTGTTCGTCCTTTTTATTGTCATCACCTCGGTAGTCGCACTGTGCTTCAGTAGGATGTCTAATAAATTTATAAAGGTGAATGGTTCCTCCGTGTTGAATTTCATTTTGCTGATGACTTGCCTCGAAACACGGTAGCCCTCGTACTGAAGAAACTTGAGGAACTCCTGCGCCCGGTCTCTGTTCTTGTGCTTCTCGCGATCGGTGAGCAGGTCGTACGGCACCAGCTGCGCGTGTATGCCGCCCCCTGAATACACAGAAACCACAAAACAGGACAATGTGGCATAAAGTTACAAAAAATGTTGTTCAATAAACCATTAAGAATTCAGAAACCAGGATAGTAAGGTCTACGCGAAACGACCATAATAACCTACCCACAGCGTCCAGCTCTTCTTTCATTTTCTTGGCCCAGATGTCATGTGTGTTCTCAGCCAGGCGCTCCGACATTGTCTGAAAAAAAATGACCAGTTATTATAAATTTAGCTCTTACCTATATTACACTACAACTATTCAACATTAAAAATGCTTAGACAAAAACAAAAAATATTGCTTTCAGGTGGCCTTATCGGCAATGTTAGCCAGATAATGCCTTCACTTTCTTTACTTATATAAGTAGGGAGGAAGAAAGACTTGTGAAAATGCTGGGATAACGAAAGAACTCACTATAAGGGCTCTTCACGTTTATGCCAATAGATTTTTAGGGGCGAAGCTCCTTATGGCGTGGGTCTGTCACTCCTTGCGTATGTGAGCATGTATGTATTTACGTAGCAACCGGTGGCAAATACCCGCTTAGAGCGGGTATGTGCAACAGGGGTTGTCAGATAGGAGATGGCGGTACTTGGAGTGTTCACTAGATGGACGCATAGACAGAGTGACTAGCAGACGGACGGACGGATAAATGGGCGCGTGGGCTTACGGACGGATGGAAGCACGAATGGACAGACGGACGGATGGACGGACTCACAAACGGATGCATGGACAGATGGATGGTCACGCGGAAGGACGGAAGCAAGAAGGAACGGATGGTCGGAAGCATGGACGGGCTGACGGACGCCTCACCCCGCTCATCTTTCACTCCGTGGATATGCTGAGATTTTTTAGAATGATGAATAGGAGGAGTTGGCGGCTTTATGATGGCACCGGCTATTTCATCAATGGTTACTCCCCCCTACAGCACCTTGGGCTACTCTCCTCGTCGTAAGAGATACTAAATTCACTGAAGTTTTGTTTCAACAGGCCAGCTTCTTCACAGACGCGAACGTTGTGGAACTGGTACCTAACAGCGTATCAGAAAATCAAATTTCTCTTCACGGCTAACTATTCAACACCTTAAAGACTTTTTACGCCTGTTGGTGCAGGCCCACGTGCTCAAATTTGGGTGCACGTTAAAGAACCCCAGCTGGTCGAAATTTTCGGAGCCCTCCACTACAGAGTCTAAAAATCATATGGTGGTTTTGGGACATTAAACCCCACATACCAATCAACGTTTGTAGTTGAGTATCCTTGATATGTGGGGTTTACCATTCCAAAACCACCATATGATTATGAGAGACACTGTAGTGGAAAGCTCCGGAAATTTTGACCACATGTGGTTCTTTAACGTGCATCCAAATCTGAGCACACAGGCCTACAACGTTTCCGCCTCCATCGGTAATGCAGCCGCCGCAGCCGGGAGTCGATCCTGCGACCTGCGGGTCAGCAGCCGAGTACCTTAGCCACTACACCACCACGGCAGGGAGTGAGTATCCTTCAAGTAGATATTTGCGGTTTGCTATAAACTTTCAATGCGAAAAATCATCATTGGAACAGTTCACCATGTTTGCACGTAGTTTTCGTTGGTAAATTGTAAACCTGTGACACGCGCAATGTATAAAAACATGCTTTTTATCCCAGTTTCCTAAGACAATGTCACTTTGCTGAAATTTCCTCATTGTCTTCGAAAACCCTTACTTCCTTATATTCGTCGAAGTCCCCGCCATATCCGTCCGCTTCATACAAGTCAGTTCTCCCTTTCAGAATGTTGAGACGCCTGCTCTATACAGTACGTGGACTCATGTAGATGCATTTATTTGTAGGATTGTGGCTAAAGGAACAAATTTAAAAATAATTTGTTGTTTTATTTCTGTCATATATAATTGTCCCATCTAAAGCGCGCACGTAAGAGGAGTGGGTGTTCTAATGGTCTGACAATTTCTCTACACTTATGTGTAATAAACCTATATTGTTTGCTCCCGCGTGATTTAGAGCGACCTTATTACTTTTAAATTTAGCAGAGACGAGTCTAATGGTCGTGTTTATTATATAATATTGGTGCATCGCAAAAAACATAAATACTGCATATGACCGAGGCCGAAAATAGATTTTTGATCTTCTCACCATCATATCTTTGTTGAGAGTCAGCGTCGACATGTCCACGGGTGTAGGCATGTAGGCCATTGGTGACTGGGCTTGCTGCATCAAGAAAGAAAGAGGAATGCTAAAATAAATTACTGCAAGCGTCATGACACTCACTGGAAACCTTATCTGCAACATTATACTTTAGTTACAGTTGTATGGCTCATGACGACAAACGTTTGAAACACAAATGGAGATATTCCTTTGCGCATATTATCAATAAAATACACTCCTGAAAAGAGAGACAAAAGAGAGTCAAAAGAGAGTCACGACTGCCTCACTGTCTTTGTGGCAGCCGTTGACCACCTTCTTTCCTGAGGAGAGTCGCAATACTTTGATCGGCACTTTTAGACGAAATAAATGACTTTCTTGATCTAGGGGCGTCAGTGATGCACAATATTTATGAGAGTCAAGCGACACCCCGAAAATACTGTCGTATGTAGCGAGCTGTTTACTACCCAAAAGTAGCTGGTTCAGACTTCCTCTTTTTGGAGAGTGTACATGGATTTTTATATTTTTCGTACATTTTGTTAAATTATATTTTTCCATAGATACTCCATGGTGTTGACCTTAAAGTACTGATTATGCAGTCCAACCTCGCTCTCAGATACAACAACATTGCCGAATAGCTTTGTGGTGTCTTGATTTTCTTCTTGTCTCCATGTTTGCATGCCCTGCCTTGAATGAATACCTTTTCCCCTCGTACTCATCCAATCCGTAGCAAGGACCTGTCTCCCTCCCGTATCAGCAGTTGCTCTCTCAGCTCTCTTGGCTTGGATTAGAGGAGAGTGCATGAAGCACATACACAAATATTCTAAGTGAATGAGTTACAGCGTTGCAGAAGATATTTCCTCTTGTCCAAACGCCAGCGTGAGCACACACTCCATGTTTACGGTTTTTTTCACTGTAAGTTTCCATCCTCCCCTTGATTTATGCAAAGTAGCTTAAGACTTACGTGTGATACGCACATCTAAATTAGGTTTGTTATCTGTACTACTCACGATTTCAAAACTTCAATGCACTGAAAGAACATTTTACACTTCCTGGCTTAGCGTATGCATAATTAGCCTTCAAAATACATGGTAGAAGGCATATAATATATCTTCTATATTATCTACGCAGATCCTCGTCACTTCGGCATCTGATGGCGGATCAATATATTGGTAATTAATGCGCCGTCATGGTTCAAGCTATTGCCACAGTGCTTCAGTCAAGCTTTTAAAAGCTTCCCACGTACGCCAAACGTAACACATTTGTTTTTTCTATTTTAAAAAGCATAAAGCTATATGCTATCCGTCCGGCCATCTATACTGGCAGCACCAGTAATTCCGTTTGAAACAAGTCATTGTAGCTTATGAAGCCGAAGTATTATATGGAGTTTACTGTACTGAAGATAAAGAGGTGACCCTGAAAGCGAAATTCCGCTATTACACTGCTGAAGTATTAAAATAGCTGAGATTTATAATATTGAATAAATCAAAAACTAATAATACTCACAGCCGCAATGGGAGCACTTGAGCGCTGTGATGAATCACTCAGCTCTAGTTTCCAACCGAAGGCCAAGAGAGCCTTCAGCAGCTCCCGGATAGGGTCACGGTAGCGTTCCTTTTCCTGTGCAGTACGAAAAAATTTTAGATAAAAGGTAAACACATGTCTTTTTTTTTTATGGACGTGTAGCGTGACCTTAAAAATGCATCATAAATATTGCAAATAATTACCAACAGATCATTTAGAAAAGCCATTTTTAGTAAGCGCAGCAGATAATTTCACAATGAGCTCGCTTCAAATGATTAAAATCGTATTTGGGGAGTGTCCTGAATGCAAACTTTCGATCGGCGAACTTCGCATGCGAGGGTCATGACAAGATCTCTTCTCAAAACCTACAATCAAGCAACGCTCTTTGTTGTACCTTTGCTGATTAGATTGTAACTATAATTATGTATCCTGCTCATTACTCTTATTCTAATTTCGAGTCCTCCTACTTTAACATCCGCTATTTGCGGAGCTTACAAGTCCATCAACAGCTCAAGACAAGATTAATGTGGCCACTCATCTAGGCAAGATTACACACATGTCACTTACGTAGTCAGTGAGCAAATTGTATGGCTTCAGCCTCGGGTGCGTTTTGGCTTCGTCATTCCAGCGTTCTCCATACTGCCAACCTCGCTCCAGCTGAAAGTGGAAAATTCATGATCGTCAAATGTGATCAGTGCCATATTTTTTTTCCTACAAACGTGTGACTCCTATGGTGGGAGCTCAGAAAGTGCATAAATGTGACCGAGCATGTTTGAATGCAATCAACGGTGGAGCCGTAAGGGAAATCGTTTATCAGTGAGAAAGCAAAGCTATCCCCATCTTGAGAATGAAAGGTGTGCTGATAGATTACAAGAAACTGTTTATCAATCACGTAGTTAATAAGTGAGAATGCTAAACAGAGAGAGAATGCTGAATACATTACAAACACTCGACATGCCTGACACAGGAGCCCATTAAAAGGTAACAATCTTGTAAAATGATGTACAAGAACAGATAGAGGACGCAGACGTACAACGTCACTAAGCGGAATGTGGCAAAGTGGTTGGAAGAAGTAAAAGCATTACTGACATGCCCAACAATCTATGTCCTTTTTCTATTTGTTTTGGCAGTCTATTTATTGTACAACAAAAACATACATTATACTTATTCTTGCAAGAGGTGACATATTTTATAACGAATGAAATTTATTAGGGGCGTCATACGAAGTACACAAAATAACCCAAGTCGCTTGGTCTAATCATCGTCCGAAATCCTAAAGTGTGTATGAAATTATTATAAAGTCAAAACCAAACAAACCTTTCGCATCGCCCAGGCATCGTGAAAGTGCTCCGAGAATCGTTGCACAATGTTGTTCAAGTCCTGACTCAGCTGAATTCTAGGTAAGCATTTAGGAGAGAAAAATGAAACAAGATAATAAACTTATAATGTAATGTCCATAAATAAGTGCGCTTCCATGTACATGGCTAGAAAAATGTGAACAGCGCGACACAATGTGTTCAACACGCTCTGACCAGGGTGGCAATAAAAGAATGCTACGCGGTTGTTTAAGGTTTAACAGATGACTCCGGTGGCTACAACCGTGTGAGTATAAATGTTAAACAGCGAAAACTCTAGATACCACTTGTTAGCGTCTGTCTAGATCTCCACTGTAGAGGAACATACTTGAACGGCGAGGCCTTGTAGTTACTCAGAAACCAAGTTATTGCGATCACGAGAAGTCAAGGCCAATTCCCGATACCTTTAATTACGCCTTAGTAAAAACATGTATATTCCAAAATGTTGTGACGGCGCAATTCATTTTATTCAGTTTTTTTTTCTCCAATAGCCAGCAGTTTGGTTCCTTTTTTGTGTAGGCTTAATCTTTAGCACTTGCCTACCACTAATATGAGTTGCTGAAACGTTTTCCAAACACGTTTTTCAATTGTTAATTTATCACTCTGTATATACTGTGCAGCGTCTGGGTGTCAAAATTAGGCTATGGCGTTCAAGCAGCCAGGCTTAAAATGGTTGCGATATCTTAGGAAGACTATGTCACGCAAGATGGGCTGATCGTGTGCTTCAACTCAGAACGAGCCATAAGTGGCGAGAGTCTCTGAATCCAAATAAGTAGGATTTTCGTTAGTCGGAGCTCGACTAAGTTTGGCTGGGAAAATTCTTTGTGAATAGAAGTCCGAGTGTGTCCGATTGACAAAAGGTTTGGTGAATCTTAGTTTGTGCGAGTCCGAATGGCGATACTTACTTCATGATCGAGTCGGAGTGAGCTCCACATTTCGGCTAACTCATGATATACGCACCCTGAAGTGTTCACTGGTTCGGGAACATAGGGTCCCGATGTTGTGTTCTGCTTGGACCAGTCCTCCTCGTGTCCCTCGCTCAGGGAATAATCCGGTGGCAGGGCACAGGCTATGGCTGTCAGACACGGCAGTGCTTTGCTGAACAGTTCTGGGTCGTACTCCTGCGAAATCGGTGCGAATACGGGCCGAATATAACGAATACACTATTTCTTGAAATTTACTCGAGTACCTGGTATCTTTTTACCAGTGAGCACTTTTAATAGATAACAATAGCTGCAAAGTTAAAATAGAAATCCATTTTCGGAGACCAACCATTTTGGACAGTGAGTCGAAAATGTTGGTGAAGAGAAGCATGGTGAGCCGCCGCTCTTCCTCCGACGCCGTTCCATAAGCACCCTGACCACCGCTGGCGCTGTAGTAGCTCTTGCACCGTTCGTAGTGCAGAGTCAGCAGCTGCATATTTATAAGACAAACTCTATTTAGAATACAGCGGTTTTGAACATAGGGACCATTCATTTTTATCACATGACAAACGCATAAAGATCATTGAATGAAGTGCGTTCTTCTTTAGTCTTTTCTGACATTGCCCTAACTGTATTACAGCGTACAGTACTGCAACAATACAGACAACCTGCAGACCTCTCATATATAACCTCACAAATGCAGCGTTTAAAGTGAAACCAACAAACCATAGACTAGTGAATGCATTTTCATCAAGTATTTTGCATATATCTTGGTAAAAAAATTATCAAGAAAAGGATAATTGTACAGCCCAGTTCAATTTCTGAAAAATCTCCTCGAAGCAGCGATGTGTTATTGTAAAGCCAAAGCTCAGATTTAGAAATATTTAAAGGCCAATAAAAGCCACTCTCTGCTAAATTGTGTATGCTGGTTTTCAAAATCCTTTCATTGGTTTTCAAACGCTTTTTTTCCTCAATGAAAAAAAATCATACAACAGTCAAAATACGTAAAACTCAAACATGATGGCATCCGAGCGTAGTTCATTTCCGATAATGTTGAGTGAGAGTACTAACCCCAATCATGTTTTATCAAGAATTATAATTATTAAAATTACATAGAAGTTTTAGTATGGTCACTCTGTACGATGTGTTGGTTCGAAGCATTGATTCACAACAATTTGCACATCAAGGTGATGAATTGTGTGGTGGTCCAACGTCTCACACCACTTCCTTTCTCGGCAGAGAATGGCTCATCTAAAGTTAGTATTTTCCCCCTCTATTTTCTGAAGTACCGACGAGCTCCATCGAAGAATATCGTTGGCTGACGCTCGATTTCGGTAGCGATCACCTTCCTAACCCTATTGTAGCACCTAGTTTCTAACATACTGAAAGACACCCTCGCTCTAATATGACAAGTGATTGGTGGAAGGAGAAAGGGCTCTAATATGACAAGTGATTGGTGGAAGGAGAAAGGAACGACGCGTTAGCTTATCATTCATTAAAAGTACGTGGCTAAGTATAATTAGACGCACGTGGCTTTGTGAATTGTCCTTGTTAGGAAGGAAATGGCGGAAAACGCCGGTTTCGCGTGACAAGGGCGTGGAGTCGAGGTAGTTGTCGGTTACTTAAAAGGGGAAAATCAAGGAGCATTAAACGCAGCTGGAGCTAATATGCTGCAGAAGCCACGCCCTCATTGCACAATTCTTCATTCGCAAAAGAAGAGGTGGCACAGGAGTTAAGTACTAGTAGATATAACTATTTCACGAATTTCACTAACGCAACGACAACAATATGAAGCACATAGATGTCACTACATAAGGCAACTTACGTTAAAAATATTAAAGGAAGTTGTCTATTGTGAACACTAATGAAAATTCGCAATCAGGCACTCACCCTCAGGGCAACCGCAGTGTACTCCGTGATCACAGAGACATCCACCGTGAGTTTACGCAGCAGCCTCAGGAGCATGCTCGGTTGCATCTCTCTGTGGGGATTAGGGTGTTCCATTAGTTTGCAACAACGATTAAAATGCTCTCATCTCTCTTGTTTGCCATCCTTCATTTGTAACCATCATACTCATGTACCTCCCAGTCCGCAGAACAAGGAGAGAAACCGAAGCTTTATTTATATAAAAGAGAAAAAACTTGGAGGTCTAAAGTCAACGGCCCCGGCTGACAGCTTGTTCTCTTTTGTATCGTACTTGTACCTTCTTGTTCTGAGTTGGCTAGCTGTACCTAACTGCCTATTTGTTATAGATAAGGAACCTGTCTCATAGCTTCAAGTAACCATAACGTTTATTAACGAAGTGATCACCAAATGCAGCACCACGGGGATCAATGCCTGTTGTATGGCGGCGGCCTCTTATAAACGCTTAGCACTTAGGACACTGGCTTGCCCTACATTCACCGTCTCGTCACGAGGTAATGATGGGGTCAATATAGACCTCAACAAAGACTAACCTTGGTGAATACCAAAATAAAATAAGCCAGCGAAGCCTCAAATAATATAAATGTCAAAAATAACCAGAAACAGATCCCAATGATTGATATAAAATCGCGAAAAAATGTTACTGAAACATTCGGCGGGTGCAAGCCCTGAAATAGTAGCTGGGCCGCCCGTGCTGCGTACTTTCTCGGCTTTAAGCACGGGATCTTTTTCTTCGTGTCACATCATCCACTCTCGCTTGTGTTTGGACTCTCGATGTTTGATGAGAGCTCAAATTTGGCGTTTGTTCATATGGTCACTCACTTGCATTTTGAAGTTTGAAGTTTAAATTTATTCACATTCGAAAACGTGCAGCATTGATTTGTCGAGTGGTTGAATGGGAAGGAGTGATGAAAAGGCAACTGAAAGCCTGAAAGATCACCGACCCCTAGCCTCGCCACAATAATGCGCAACACTCTGTATATATATATATATATATATATATATATATATATATATATATATATATATATATATATAAGGCATAAACTTGTATGAATATAGACGAACAATATTTTGTGAAATTTCGTTGCACACGCCCACCGCAGCGCTCATTTTCTTTTTCTTTTTTCCGCACCCAATTCATGGTATTCGCATCGTTTGAGATTAAATTCGTGTCACTAGTGGCGGCGGCGCTTCCTATGTGAAGGTGAAAGATTAGCCCCACGCATTGGCTGAATCGGCATGTATTTTGTAACTGGCATTCGTAGGTGGCTTCAATGTTGCTTATCCCTTAAGCTTTTTTTTGTATCGGAGGTTCAGTAGACTTTCTCATATATGCGTATTACTGACCGCGGGTGTATCACTGGAAGACAGGTGTACAACGCCATGCGTCCAAATGCTATCGTGGCTTTGGTATTGAAACCCGAATCTATATTATTACTGCAACCGCATTGGTAGCTGTCATAACTTACCTGGTGAGTGCCACAAGGAAGTCTGACACCTTCTCACGCTGTCCCTTAGTGAGAATCTTCACCTTCGAAAGTCGGTAGACAGTGTGCAATGTTGCATCCAGCAAGCTGGCATAGTTCTCGGCATCGGTGAAGTAGTGGTGGTACTGGATCAGCATGGGCAGCACCGAGTTGCCGATGTAGCGGTTGAGGGCCAGCGCCATGTCACTCTCCGTGCTGTCCGTCTATGGAGAGGGGCGTAAGGGCAAGACGAATCATTCCACAACTGTTAAGTGACTTCACAATCGGTCGACAGATACATGGTCACTTTCTGGTGCTATATGAAAGGACTACTGAAGCCCAGCGGTACTGGAAATTCCTGCCGAGTTGCACAATAGCCAGGAGATGAAACTTTCGTACTGCTAAGCAAAAAGAAAACAGCATGTGCTGTGGAAGTGCCTGCCCGGCACAGTACAGACGCACTAACACAACGACCCTTTCGTCGAAGCTCCATGAGGCTCTGCGGAGCCCCGCTCTTGATGACCAAACCTGGGCGACCCAGCACGTCCGTGAGGCGGCGTCGAGGCAAGCCCTTGACGTCTCGTCATGGGAGGACTAGGCCCGTCAACCTAAACCTGCTGGTTTCTTATAATGTAGTTGATTCCTACTCCTCCACGGGAGTGAATGATAATGAGTGGGCGAAGCGCTGGAGGGTTTCATCGCTAAACCGCGAACCATCCGCAAATATTGCCCACTACATCATCAAAGGCGTGACAAGCCATGTATATATTTATACATGAAATTTTATACATGAAATTTTTTATACATGAAAATTTTTTTATACATGAAAGGGCAAGCCCTTGACGTCACTTCCGTTATAACGGAGGTGACGTATAGCTACCACTCCGTCCTCCGTCCTCCTGACGTATAGCTTCCGTTCCGTCCTCCTTCGTTGTAACGGCTTTATAGTGGATCGGTAATGGGGCGTAGTGGGATGTTTGCAAGGACGAAGTAGTGGGCAGTCTGCAGAGAGAAAACTATAGGCGGTCACGTATATACATACAAGAGATGGAGAGACCCACGCCTTTAGGAGCTTCACCCCTGATAAAATGGGCAAAAGAAAGTGCGACCTCACACTCGGGTTAGTACCTGCGATGCCTTTTGCGGCATTCTTTTACCTTTAGTGACAGGGACTTCGTTGAGTAATGAGATTCTACCAGAGAACAGTTATTTGTGATTATCATGGTGCTATTTTTATGCTCCCTGACTTCTCGGTTTCACGTTCTGGGGAAGTCGCACACAGGCATTTAACTTAGCCAGAGAGTGAGCTGTAACTTTTTCACTCATTTTTTTTAGTAGTCTGAATATGGGCTTCGGCCCTAATTTTTTTTTCCTCATTTAAAGTTATGTAAGTGGGCATAGTTTTTTTTTACGTTTCCATATTATGCTTTTTAGTCTATTGTGTCATTGAACCTCGGCCCTATGCCGGACATATTTCAACGTTTTTGCCAGTGAGCAGGACAGATTACTGTTCGGCGGTCTGAATATATTACGCTAATGGAATATATAAATAATTTGCATAAAATCTACAAAATTTTCTTGCCTACGTTAGACGAAAGTACTGGCAAGAAATTACACTGGCAATGTACTGAACTAATGTCTGGATCTAAGCTTAACGCACTTACCTTAAAAAAAGTACCCTGCAATCCTAAGCAATATAGCATATTTGGTGAATTGGTGCAATCTTACTATAGTAAGCATAAAAGTTCACTGTATACAGTGAAATATAGCAAAAAAGGACAATAGGTAAAAAGAACGACGAGCACACAATTAAGTACAGTTACAACTGTCAACTTCAACCAAACCACTGAATTTTATTCTCTAGAGCAGCACTACTCAACTAGGTTCTGTTTGTTTTTTCTCGTTTCCATACGCCCAGCTTTACAAAAAACAGAAAGTATGTTATATGATTGGAAAAAGAAAGGAAGGAACACACAATACCTTTTTTTTAGAATTAGGGGAAGTTTTTAGTGTCTGCCATATCCATTCAGTTTTTTTTTTTTCAATATATACAGGCCTCAACAGTGTTTATATCATACATCTGTGACATTTCTGCCCCACTAACTTATATGTGCAGCAAATTGTTGGAGACTGGCATTTTCCCTTAGAAAATGAAGGTTGCACGTGTTACTGTCATTATAAAGGGGGCAATAAAATGACCTGAATAATTATCGACCAATATTGGTAATGCCTCTTTTTTTCAAAATTCGCAGAGCGTATAATTTATAAACGATTGTATGATTTTATTCAAGTTGAAAATATTATTTTGAAACACCAGTACGGCTTTCAATGTGGAAAATCAGTGGAATCTGCTCTACTGCAGGTAAAATAAAAGATACTTAGTAATTTCGAACAGCGATATTTTAGAGTTGGAATTTTTCTTGACTTTCGAAAAGCGTTTGATTCGATCAAACACCAAATCTTGTTTCATAAGCTAACGACATATGGTATCCCTGGACTGGCCCTTCCATTATTAAAGAGTTACCTCGAAGGCAGAAACCAATATACACAGCTTCAGGAATTATAGTCAGACTTAGGTAAGATAAACTTTGGGTTCCCACAGGGATCTATTTTGGGTCCTTTGCTCTTTCTTTTATATAATAATGATATTGCTAACATTTCTTTTACTCCCACCATTGCTATGTACGCCGATGACACTAACGTTTCCTTTACTGGTCAAAATCTAAATTTATTAGAGCACCGTGCTAATATCTGGCTAAACGAACATCATACCTGGCTTAATGTGAACGAAATAAACTTAAACGTAAAGAAAACACAGAACGTAATATTTCGTTCAAAAAATAAATCACTTCTTCATAACGTAGAATTGGGTATCAATTACTATATAATAACGCCCGTCAACTGTTGTCGCTTCTTGGAAGTCGTCTTGAGGTTTGACCTCAGCTGGTCTGAGCACATAAATTATGTTCGTGCTAAGCTATCTAGATCTCTTGGTATGTTATACAGGCTAAAATATTTATTGCCGTTGCGTGTTAGAAAACAACTGTACTTCGCTTTTATTCATTCGCACTTAACCTATTGTCACCTAGTCTGGGGTACGTGCAACAAGACGGATGCTGAACGTGTTTCCTCTATACAAAAAAGGAGCCTAAAAATGATTTCTTCCCATCCTCCCCCATCAACTGACTCTCTGTATGAAATTCTGAACGTATCACCATTCTCAGAGTTATATCAGCTTTCTTCGGTAGCAATGATTTTCTGCGAATTCAAACATGATCGCACCATGTTCTCAAGCGAATATCTAAACAGAAAAGTGGCATATGACCTTCGCACTATTGCATTGACGGTATCATGATCAAGAACTAATTATTGTACCAAAACTACAGATTATCAGTTTATTTCATTGCTGATTGCATATCCATCCGTAATCGAATTGGCTAATCAGAACTCAAGTATGTCTCGTTTTAAAAAACAAGTAAAGCTACTTTTCGTGCCTCCTTCAAATTACAATTAATTTGCTTCGAACACGAAAATATGTAATTTTGTATATTTATGTAACTTTATAAAACTGTTAAACCTGAACAATGTAAACTTTGTACAATTTTTGTCCTAATGTCTTTCTTACTGTTCGTTTTTTTATATAAGTTGTGCAATGAGCATTGCACTTATTTTCTCTGATATTGCTCCTGGCTGTCCGACATCTAAGTCCGGGGTGGAGGCCTCGTCAGGAGACATACGAGTCTCCTTTTGCCTTGCCTCGTGGACATATTTCATGTCATGTAACTATGGCCGAAATAAACTGAAACTAAACTAAACTAAACATGTAAGCCCATTTCGTCATTCCCACACTAGCATTACACTTATATATCTGTTTGACGAGACGCTAACATGCTGCAGTTTCTCACTCGAACATGGCTGGTGCTCACCCGGTCAAGCATGGTGGCTGCTCTGAGGTCAGGCAAAAAGCCATCCTCAAGAAGACGGAAGAATGTCTCTTGCGTCTCCAAACCGTAGACGCGCTCCAGGAACATAACAATGGACTGCTTGTGGTTAGGCTGTAGGCCAGGCGGGAGATCACTCTTTGGGGCTGCACAAAATTTGGCAAGTTTCATTTGGTATTGAGAAAAACTATTTTATTTGTGCACACTACTTTTCCGCCTAAATTACTTAGAAGATTGTAACCGAATTACCGTTAAGCAGAGAACATCTCATAGCAAATATTCGTTTAACGAACCGTGAAACTGCACTTCAAACATACAAGCCACGTTCACACGCATTGCTCCTGCTGTTAAGTAGATTTGTTTTTTTTTGGTATTTTAAGGTTAAGGTCAAGGTTAAGGATGTTGTAGGTAGTCGGCGGATCTAGCCTTGCATAGTTTGCAGGCAATCGACCCGCCCGGTTTCTTCTTTGCTGATTGTAGCTAATGTCCTTTGTTTGTTTTTAACCAAGCACGAGCAGGCTCTTAAAATAAAAAAAATCGTGCATAGTGCGACGTAAGCCTGCATAAGGCGGCGGCCTCTGAGCTATTCCACATGCAGTATTGTGCTGGTACTCTACCTAGCTGCACTATACCTCAAACATCATTATCACTTATCACCAGTCACATGCGAGAATGCATGCAAGAATTTCAACGCCAGCGTCATTCTTCAAACTTTCGTATGTAGTAGAGTCTCAGTCGAGATAAATAGAGGCTGCACTTTTTTGAAGCGCTTTTCAACATTTTTTTTGCCTTTAGGAACTTGCGGACAATTTTTTCACACTGGAAACTCCATTCTGTATACTCATTTACGTTGCATATATCTGTGCCTCATTTTTATATCGTGATGCCTTATTTACAGCTAGCCCACAGCACTACAGTTCTGTTTACAAAATCAGGTTGAACAAAAGGAAATAGACCTCCTGTTCATTTTAATAGGCTTCTTTTTCATTTACACTACGGCAAAACAACTGAAAAAAATACGAGGCAACAAATAAATGTCGTCGAACAAGTGTAGGCAGAACGTTGAACGACTCCGAAAATATGCCGATATAATGGTCAATCATTACGATAAACTGCTAAGAAAGCATTTTTGAGGGCACGACAGTTTTTCGTTATTCACATGGATAACAGCATTTTAAAGCTGTACAGTATGGAGTTGTAGCAAAATAAATCTGCCATTTTGATACCGGCGCTGCTGGAGTAATCATACTTTACACGCATCTTACTCAATTCTTTTACCTAGCACGCGATTAACTTAATATATTACTGCCCTTCGTGACAACAGTGGGTGAAACCGCTCAGTTCTGTCGGCATTTAATGCAACGAGATCACAGTGTCAATTAAAAGAAGCAAAATTGGACTTGCGATTCACAGTACAACGTTTTAAATATCGAAAGTTGCTGTTGACATTTTCAAAGCACTCCTCCTAGGCTGGTATACTTTAAATTTACATATCTAAGAGGATGCTGAATTTATTTGTTACGGACAAATATTGCGTATATTTCAATTTTAAAATTCATTCCAAACGAATTTCTGTGGTTCTGTGGGAACAAAAAACCACGATTTTCAAGTGGTCGTTTTTTTTCGCACAAATATATATGTACACGAGAAGATGACTACTGCTGTATCCCAGCTGCTATAGAGCATCGACGTGTTTTGAGAACGATGCAGGTGTGATTTTGTCCGCGGCAAGCGCTTATTTGTCCACATTACTTCCTTTACGTTTATATTATTCCCTACAAACAACGCGCCCTATACTTTCCTTGACATTCCTCTCTGTTAGTTCCAACTATAGGCAGTGCGCGTGGTTTCCAAGGCTCCTTACGCATTAGTGCAAGAAGGGCACTTGTACTCACTGGTGTCCCCCTTTCGCGGTATCTGAAGCGTGAAGCGCAGGCTGAGCGCCCCAAGTAGATCATCGAGGGGCACGAGTGAGCGAAGGATGGCACGTGCCCGGATGCTCTCGTTCTTGCCCTGGGCGATAGTCGCCGCCTCCGGTGCACATCGACCGAGTAGGTCGACCAGGGTGCAGTAGAAGTTGAGGATGGCCGCACCCATGTCGATGTCATCCTCGCCAGGTTCTTCTAGCTGCACACCCTGTCGTGTGTTAAAAGCGTTTAACGATTTAGAGTACTTGGCACCTGCTATGGGAGAGCATAGAGCCGTCCCAGACCGTATGGCTAGGTGCAAGAAAATCGGCTTGGTTTTTCTGTGTTTAAAAAACGTGTTTAACGATTTAGAGTAGTTACTCTACTGAAGGAGGGCGTATTTAGAAAAAAGTTGTTAACGATTTAAAGCACGACGTGCTCTACTAAGGGAGAGCGCAAAGCTGTCCTGTGGGCCTCGCACTTTGTGAGGCCCGCAATCCTAACTTACTGCATGGTTTACTATGTATCTTTCACCGTTAGTGGTTCAATGTGTTTAGAAAAAGTGGTTAACGTCTTAGAGTACTGGGTACTCTTTTATGGGAGAGCATAAAACCGTACCGCAGGCCTCCTAAATACTTTTGAACGACTTCGGCATATTCACAAAATGAACCAAAATTGAAGCGAGTGTGCATTGAATCATGAATCCTGGCCTTCTATTTCGTTCTAGGGAAAAGACTTTCATTTTGTATTGTATTATTTATTTATTTATTTATTTATTTATTGACCCTCAAGGAATTTGGGCATTACAGATGGGAGTGGGTTACAGGGAAAAAAGAAACAGCCGTGACACAATTCATAATTAGTACAATGTTCACTAATCATACAATAAAATATTAGCTGAGTATGACGAATATCGCACTTGACGGAAACATGAATAATTAAGAAATGCGTGAATTTTGTTGTTTATACAGTATAAGCTGAGCAGGTGAAATACAGTGATGTATGAAAAACTGCAGGTTCACCTGAAATGAGATGATGAGATTGACAGGAGCAGCATTATTAGTACGCCATTAAAATGGTTGAGGTGACATTACTTCGCACAAACGCATATTATTGTTTAATGTCATGTAATTCTTTCCGAAAGTTCTGATTGTTAGTAACACTGACAATATCAGCCGGGAGGTCATTCCGGTCATGTGATGCACGAGGTATAAATGATTTTGAAAAACATGTGGTGTTGCACGCACAAATTTAACTTTGTGTTGATGATCAATGAAGTGAGATAAGTAATATGGTCATGACATAAATTCTGGGTGTAATGTGGGATGGTGATACAGCTTTTAAAAAAATGATAAAAGCCTTTTATTAAGTTATTAGGTTTGATTGAACGGCAAAATATTTTGGAGACTTTTCCGGATCTGGGACCTTTTGTTTTGTTTGTTCTGGTTAACAGTCTTTGCTAGCCTTTTCATTGTTTATAGATGTTGCGGTTCCTACAGTTGCTGTAGATGCCGGATGGTGGTTTATAGGTGGAGGGACGACTTGTTGTCAGGTGCTTCGAGCCTTAATATTCAGGTTATCTATATTTTAAGCGATATTCATTGCACGTTCTGCTTTGATGGAATAACATCACAGTGCCTGATAACGAGAACATAGAAAAAAGAGCTGGCAACGCGATCGCTCACTTCAACCTGAATTTATTTTATTAAAGTTGGTAAAATAAGAACAGTAAAAGAAAAAGCACGTTAGCTGGTCCACAGGTGTGCACTTCCGCAAATGTCCCTTTTCCGCTCTATTTGAGGTAAATCTAATTCCAGATCAGCGCTCGTATAATCTGCTGTTTTTTTTTCTTCTGCCTTCGTTTCCTGGTGCTTTGAGTTTATCCCACAATGCTTTACAAGCTCGCCCAAGCTAGGCTGCTTCTAAATACTGAATTGAGTACACGCCATAAATAAGGTTGGTGAAAGCACGAACATGGCGAAACGTAGGGCTCCACAACTTTTGTTCATTTAGAGCCGAGCTCTCGTTCAAAACCAAAGACTTGAAAAAATCTAAATATGGTAAAATCTCGCAGTTCTTTTGATTAATAATAATAATAATAATAATAATAATAATAATAATAATAATAATAATAATAATAATAATAATAATAATAATAATAATAATAATAATAATAATAATAATAATAATAATAATAATAATAATTATAGTATTTATTATTATTATTATTATTATTATTATTATTATTATTATTATTATTATTATTATTATTATTATTATTATTATTATTATTATTATTATTATTATTATTATTATTATTATTATTATTATTATTATTATTATTATTATTATTATTATCGTGGTACAACAATGTGCAGCTTTGAAATATTCTGAATGTCATCTCAGTAAAGGATACTTTTGAGCTTTGGATTGTTCCTCCTGGTAATTGATGCTTAACAGTTTCTCATGAAGTAAACGACTGGGTTGCAGGTGCGTAGGCAGAAATTCTTTGTTTGGGAAGGTGGGGGGCGCACTACTTTGGTCTTTGCTGGCATAGTTGGTTTACATTTAGGGACAAGTCACAAAACTATGGCTGTTTTTGCGCGAAGAAATAACGAGATAACGGGTGAAGAGGAGCGCAATATTTCGACTGCTTAGTCATCATATACTGCAACAAAATATATAAATATAAAGGCACATGCGCTAACCTGTTGTTGTTGCTGCAGGCGTTCGGCAGCAATACGCTCCGACATGCGCACAGCCTCGCGAATGGCGTCTAACAGCCCTGGACCTTCGCCGCGAAGGGCAGGACCGAGGCATTCTGGCCGTCGAATCAGAAGACGAATCACAAGGTTTGCGTTCTCTTCTACAGTCTCACCTGCAGTTCAAATATGACGACAATAATTGACTCAAGTCTTCTTTTAGACAAATAATTCTCAAATGTAGCCACTTTTCATGCTCTAAACAGTTTGTTACACTACAACAAGCACAAGCTAAGTGGTGTGTAAATGGGCGGAGGGCAATTAAATATTCAACTCCTACGAAAACTTGCAAAATATTTTTTAATTTAGCCGGAAGGGCTACAAGTAACGAAACGGACAATGAAGGCGATCAGATAGAACCGCTAAACGAACTAGCATCACATTTGTTTTGCTGTACTTTTTTCAGTTAAAAAATGAAATACCTCGTTGTTTTGAGAATTTAGTTTTTAAAATTAGATGATACGTAGTTGTATTTTTGTATCTCCTTAACATACACCTCAGAGGGTCCACCAGTATCCCTTATGAAACTATCGGTGTCGAAAGACCGTCTTTTTCAGTTGTAGGCATTGCATGAAAAGTGAATTCAGGAATCATAAAGTAGCCTACAAACCTATGCACGTTACCCTACAACGTAAATGGTGCAAATATCATATTCTTCAGCTTAGAAATAATCAGCACATAGCAATAAAAACCCATACCGTTGACCCATACACAAAAGCGCAGGAAGTCCAGGTATCTCTCTCCTTCCACCGGGTCCCATCCGACGTCTGGGTATCCGCGATCCACAAGCTCCAAGTTAGACTGGAGGCCACACCGAGACATGTAGGCAGCTATCTTCTCCAAGTTGTGTTCCCTCAGAGCCAGCGCCAACTCCGAGTTTTCCATCAGGGAACTGTACGCCACGTCCAGTGGTGTTGATCCACGAAGCGATGGTCGTGCTGCAACCAAGCAAATGCATCCTTCATAAGCAACAACTCTATCGCTTTAATGCTTCCCAGAGCAGTGTTCGACAACTGCCCAGAACCACTTACAGAACGGGGTCTGCGTTTTTTGCTGAAGAGTTAGCACTGAATAACTTTCATTAGGAAAACTATGCATCGATCACAAAGTAACTACGCAACGTTATCGTTGCCCTCATATGTTATCTCACCCTGTGTCCCTGTCTAGTGAAAATATAAATAAAGTATTGCAATTGAACACAAATTGAGCTCTTATCATTACACAGTATTAAGATAACGCACTGTAAACCGATAGGCACATGATCAGTACTATCTTATACTGTTCCCCACACCTGTGAGCGCACAAAGGCTGGAAAATCTGGTTTAAGGGTACAAAGAAGTGGTGCGTCATGATTCAGTTTGGCTTTAGATATTTTAATAATCATACAGGTCTGCTTTGACAACTGGATGCAGAGACACAAGCAACATGACCCTTATAAATAGTTATTATATTGCGCATTTATTTCAAATAAAAAAATCACAGCGTATCTACGAAGTGAATGAGGTTGAGTGGGACGAAGCGTCCATCAGTTCATCCATGCTTCCGTTCGTTCTTGCTTCCGTCCGTCCGTGCGTCTGTCTGTTCGTGCATTCATACATCCGTCCATTCATGCATCCGTCCGTTCGGCCGTCCATGCGTCCGTCCATCTGTCCGTGCGTCAAACAGACCGACAGACGACAGATGGACGTGGTCACGGATTATTCATGGTTTGCTGGTAAAACCCTCCGAAGCTTCGCCCCACTCTTTATCATTCATTCTGGGGATATGATGTGAGGTGGTTACTACATACATGCATACATCAGGTAACGACCGACTTGCGCCCTAAAGAGCTTCGCCCCTAAAAATTGCCAGCACCACTCGGTGGAGGCACGCAGTAATGTTGCGAAATTAGCATTTGTTTCAGGTAATTTTGTTAATATTACCCGTAGAACCTAACCGGTCAAACACACTTGGGAGCCTACGCGAGCGAGACCAATAGGGCCGAAAAGTTCACTCGGCGATGTTTATAAAACCATGCATTTTGCCAATCAACCGGTCTTACTACGCCCATGCAGCGTAGGCATTGCACCATGCAGCGTAGGCATTGCGTATCACATTTCTTGTGCACTGAAATTTCATTTCCAACGCAAAGCTTGCCCACTCAAGTGCGTCGTTTTTAATATCTACGAATACTACAATATACACCGTATTGACGTCATAACTATGCAGTACATGTAATCTACTTGTGTTATTGTTATAAGTCTGCACCCAATGACATTCATTTCCCTGAATACGTGGGAACTAATCAAGAATAAAGAAATATTTAGGTGATCTCATGTGGCATCCAGGCACATAATGTATGTTTCGTCAACTCACACAGCAGGATGTTGCTGTTCTCGAGCAGGAAGTCGAGATGGTCGAACATGGCCTTCTGGTTCTGGCGACTTGTGCGGCAGAAGTAGCACAAGAAGCGACAGCAGGACACCACCATCTCGTGAGATGTGTCCTGGAGAAAGCAAACGCATCGTTATTGTGGAACAGCAGAGTATCTGTAATAATAACAATATCTGGGGTTTCACGTTCCAAAACCACGTTATGATTGTGAGAGATATCCTGTTGGCGGGCTCCGGAAATTTCGACTATCTCATGTTCTTTATCGTGCCCTGACACCACACAATGCACGGGCCTCTTAGATTTCGCCTACATAGAAATGCGACCGCCGTAGCTGGGATCGAACCCGAGACTGTAGGGTCAGTAGCAGAGTACTGAGCACTGAACAGCAGCTGAGTACTGATCCACCGTGGCTGACCAAAGCTTATCGGTGCGAAGAATGAGAGCTACCAAACGCACCTGTGAGAAAGGTTCACGGACTTAGTTTCGAAGTTCTTAAGTACCTAGTTGACTCAGTGGAATAAGCTGAATTAGTGAAAGTAACATTACATATAGGTAATTAGTTAATTAGAAACCCAACGTACCTAATGGGTGAAAAAATTCGGCATCAATTAAATGTAATTAGTGAATGTTCATTATATAACATTGAATATGATGAGTACTCGAGCGACCAAGAGCCCACGCTTCTACCGGAGGTGCCACTGCCAGCTTTGAAGGCTATTTCTGGCGCTGGAGTTAGGACATCTTCGCAACGTCTGCAACACGCTGAGGTTCGACTGTACTTAGTCAAAGCCAAGAAAAGACGTAGCATTCACCAAGACGACATGTCAAGCCCCTAAGATGAACCATCTTCACCGTCCTTTGTGCTTCACATGGCTAGTGTAGTTAGGGTGGCTTCTTAGGCAAGTCGGTATAGTTTACAATGTCTTGGTGAGAATCTAAGGCTCGAGTAATTTGTCAATATGGTTGCATGGGCGTAATCTTCTCCCTTTTTCCTTCCGTATACAATTTTACTGATACTTTCCTTTCGGGCACATTTTACCTTGTCAGCCGCTGCAGCTTCGGGAGCAGACGGCGAGGCAGGCGAAGACGCTGCCGCGGGAGCCTGTCCCGAAGACTGGGTTTGTGCCCGCTTTCCGAGGGTGTTGATCATGACGTCCATGACGTTTTCGTTCACACGCAACACACGGATGAGGTCGGGATGTTGGAAGAAAATCCGGTTGTTCACCAGAGCCCTGTGAACAGTACGTGTCACTGGTATACATACAGGAACAGCAGCAGATGCATTTACTCACAATAAGTCATTTTATACTCGATGTGATTATGAAAATATGCCGTCGTACATAAGCGGTATGCAAGTGCCATTGTTGATGATTCGTAAACATTTTCTTTTAAAATGGCCAACGTCAATTTGTAAGCTTTGTTGCGTCGAAGCTTTTGCGTATAAATGTACATGTTTATCATAAGCCCATGTTTCATATGGTAGTGTGTTGCTGCAATGAATGCCGTCGGACACTCTGCGCTTGCGACCATCCCTCATTTGCCTAGCGAATCTCTATAATATTTTGACTTTGCCCACCGCCATGCCTTACTTCTTCGACATACAACTTTTTTGGTGCCGAATATCAAGTTTTATGGGAGAAATTAATAGCATTACTATATAGAGTTCTTCTGAGAATTCCTGCCGGACAAACGCATGTACACTATACTAAACCCAAGAGTCATTTGACTCTTTTGTGAGAATTCTGTCTCGACACGTATAAGACTCACTGTAAAGCTTTAAAAGGGCACGTTAACTCTCTTTGGGGTTACTTTACTCCCTATGGAGACAGTGTAATGACAGGAGAGTATAATGAAAATTTACTTTCTCCAGAAAGTTTAGTGGTCAATATACACTCTTATGAGAGTATAATTACCCATAAGAGAGTTAACATGCTTCTTAAAGGAAGTTGCATACGTGGCAGGTAACCTTTCTGAGAAAGCAGTCACCCATACACTTTTTTTTTCTTAACACGTGTATCATCAGCACGTTACAGAAAAAGCTTTTTGCGTTGAACTTATATGATTGTTGAGTGCCAACAAGTGTCCTGTAGCCTGCCCTAACTCATGTATACATATAGCTTTGAGGATGCCGGACATCAGATTTCAGATGAAAAACTTTATACCAAATAGAATGCTGCACAATCTTGTATGTGCTATAAAAAAAAGGTTGTGCACAAACATACCAGAGGCTTTTCCGCATGATTTCCTCCTCGAGGGGTGACATCTGGACGGGCAGTAAGGCACGCACTTTCCCCAGATGACTGAGCACGCTGATGATGTCAGACTGACTGCGGTGGCTGATGACGTACGTGTTATTAAGGGCGTTCATCAACTCCCCGACTGAGTTGTAAATGCGCAGCAGCAGGCCGAACATCTGGCGCACCACTTCACGGTCCTCGATTTCCGACTGTTTGGCCCATTTGACCACCACCTGAACTACCTTGCGTGTGAAAATCTCTGCGCACAAAATGAAAAGATAATGAGCGTATTTTTTAGTAAACAGCCTCTGCAGGCAGCGGCGTAACTAGTTGGTGGCACGCCGTTTACCCCTTCAAGCCGAGACTTTTTCGTAATGGTATACAAAGCGAAAACAACCTTTTTATGGGGATGCCCCCCCAAAATCAAGGAAGTGCTCCTACCCCTCCCCACCCCTCCGGCAAAAATATTTCTGCATGCGCCCTTGCCTCAGGGTCACCTGTCCGGCTGCGCCCTTTAAAGTCTTGCATGTACCAGGCTTCTATACTTTATATTAATCTCCACTGGGTTATCTTTTTTTACCTTACACCGATTCCCTTGCGCCACACTCTCTTTTGGCACCACAATGTCATGCGTCATCCACACACATTGAAATAAATGATTCACATATGTCGCTACGCTCCAACACAACATGCGCATTTACTCCCACGAGAAGAATAAAGAAAACACGCTTATTTAAAAAGCCGGCTTAGCAGTAGCTACTCCAACTTTTAACCAGTCGAGGTTTCGGTCACTTTGTAATTGTGCAGAGATTCCGAAAATTGTTAAAAAGAGTTTATGAAGGCTGCGAAAAATTGGCGAAAGTTTAAGGTGCATAGACACTTCATTCATGGAAATACTCGGTTTTTTAAACTTATGAGAAGCGGTCACTGCTTCTTGATGAATAATTTTGGCTAAGTGCATCAGTGTTCTTCAGTTTTAATGTACAACAACAACAACAACAATAATAATAATATTAATAATAACAATAATAGGATGTGGGTTGGTACGTATCGAAACCAGGATATATTTATGAGAGACGCCGTAGTGGAGAGCTGGTGAGATTTTGATCATTTGGTGTTCTTTAACGTGCAGTCCTGTCGCACAGTACTCGGGCCTCTCTATCGAAATGCAACAGCCGCGGCCGGGATATAACCCGCGACCTCTGTGTTTTTATTCGAGCAGCCTATACTGCTCATATAGCATGGCGTAGGGCTCTTGAGTTTTCGACGGCGACAATTATGAAGGTGAAATAGCCGGTGCCACGCATTGCTTCCAACCTCTAATAATGTACGTTTAATTAAGAAAATAATGAAACTCACCTTCAGGAAGAGTAATGTGTTCTTCCTGTTCTCCAGTGGGCTCTTCCGATGACTTCACCAAGTTCACTAGCGACATGAACTTTTGTCGCAATGTACTCGTGCTCTCCGCCTCGGCGTCGGTCGCCTCCTCCTCGCCCGCGCAGGCCACCTTGAGACGTTGTACCAGATCTTCGTGCATCGAACTCAGGGCCTCCCGGAGACCTTCCCCACAAGGGCACTGGTCACTGTTCTCCTCGTCCAGGTTCTTGAATCCGAGGATGGCGCGCATCTAAAGACATTGGACGAGCAACAAGAAAAATAAGGCATAATTCAAGCAGTAGCAGAGGCAGATGTTCTTAGGGGAGGGGGGGGGGGGGCTTCTTTATTTTGGGGCGGGGCGCAATATCTCGGAATAGTCATTTTTTTTTGCTCTGCATGCCATGGCGAAGAAAAAAGTAAGATTTTAGGGGGAGGGGGGTGGCACGGGCCCAATGTGCTACGCCCTGGCTATACGCCACTGAAGACGATCGAACTTCAAATCAACTCAGTCGACTTGAATTCATTTACAACACTATAAACACTGTTGCAGGAGAGTAGTGGCCCCGCCACGGTGGTCGAGTGGTTAAGGTACTCGGCTGCTGACCCGCAGGTCGCGGGATCAAATCCCGGCTGTGGCGGCTGCATTTCCGATGGAGGCGGAAATGTTGTAGGCCCGTGTGCTCAGATTTGGGTGCACGTTAAAGAACCCCCGGTGGTTTGAATTTCCGGAGCCCTCCACTACGGCGTCTTTCATAATCATATGATGGTTTTGGGACGTTAAACCCCACAAATCAATCAATCAATCAATTAATCAATCAATCAATCGGGAAAGCGGTGCAAGAAGTTGCTAGCTTGTTTGAGAATGACGCAGCCACACAACCTATGCGTCAGCATACAGGTGGTTGTAAAAATATTTAGGTGAAAGACATGCTGAATGGCACGTGGGTCACGCGCACACGTCAAGCATGCTTGCGCATGCCTTGCATCGCACGTAGCTCATAAAAATAAACTCATTGTTTAGCATAAGGCCATATGTAGTTTTTCGTTTATCTAACACTACTGATCATGAACTGGGACTAATCACTGCTGGTAGTAAAAGTAACCGCGACAGGCGATAGGTTTTGTGCGAGTGATTACGGTATACAGGTACTGCAAGGATCCATGCATGGTTCTTGGAAGTACACGTCGGCGTTCACCGTTTTTGCGAAGAAACAGCTGTGGTGGCTACGCTAAAACACACTTTCAATCACGACGCAGCAGTTGTTGTGTAGTAGCCGTACAGTTGTTATGTTTTTGTTTTGCTCAACAGATATTGGTTCAGTCCAGTTCATTTTATTTCCTTAAAGGACAATAGTCAGGCAGTGTTATATAAGGGGTGGGATTACAAATGAAAGCTTAACACTGACGATTCAATTAACGTTGCAGATGATGAGTGATGCGTTCTTGGAAAGTATATGAGGAGGCAATGTTGACGATTTCATAGGACGGGCAAATTATTTGTTGATTACTTGATTACATGTTGCTTAGAAAGTGTTAGTCAATTACTTCAAACAATTACTTGCTGCGCACGCTGACTAAACTACTGACGAATAAAACCTCTCGAGAAACCTTTATTGCTTCTGTTACCATGTCTTCGTCGGTACACGATTGAATCATCATCGGGGCCGCTTCACTAGTATAATGCATGGAGTAATAAATTTTAGTCGTGCGTACAAGTTACGGAGAGAACTAGCACAAGCGTCATCGCGCACCCACTCTGGACTTATCGAAGTTGTGTATCGTAAGCCATGCACGCACTGAATGGCACGGACATAATTGCGCCTATAGGAACGACCGTAGTAATGGCGGAGACATCCCTTCACATTACTTTGCTCTCGTTCTCCCAATCAGTTAGTTTCCTTTTGGAAAGAGAACTGGAAAACGATACGGCTCATGAAGAAGAAAGACGCATATCTCAAGGTAACGTATTTAAGACCGAACGTCTCATTCGCCATAAACTAAACGCAGACGCTTTATGCGCACACATCACTAATTACCACATATATATATATATATATATATATATATATATATATATATATATATATATATATATATATATATATATATATATATATATATATATATATATATATATATATATATAAAATGCCACGTTCCATTTCCCAAGTTTTTGTTATCGTCCCAAAACATTACACGATTCTCAGCGCAAACCGCGCCTGCAGTTTTCGAGAGGGTTCCGGACTGTAGTAGATCATTTCGATAAGATAACGCCCACTGTGCGAATGGTACAGATTGTTCTGGAACGTACGCCGCCGCCAGCGGTAGCGCTAGAACATTCGACGGCGGGAGTATAAATGCCGACGCTCTTCGCCGCTTGTCAGTTGTTGATCGAAGGCCGACGCTCCGTTCGCCGCTATCAGTCTGAGACTGCTATCTGTGCGAGACTGCTGCTGTAATTGGACTTTCTGTTTACCGGGCACAGGTTCGCCCAAATAAACAGTTAAATCCCAACAAGAAGTCTCCTGTCTTCGACCACGTCACGACCCCGTGACATTTGGTGGAGGTGCTGCTTCGTTCATGTACCGGACGCCCCCGTCAAGCCGTGAACCCAGCCCCCGTCGCGGAGAAAACACTGACGCCAACCAGGAGCAGCGAACAAGCCGCCGACAGCAAGGGCTACCACCGGAGTACGGGCTTCTACACGACAAGGCGCGGAAGACCAAGGCCATGACCGCGACTGCAGCGACAATGACAACTGCAGCGTCCCAGCCCACGATGGTCATGCATCAACCCAGGGAACCACCAATTTTCCATGGGTCATCGTTCGAAGACCCGGAGTCCTGGCTAGAAACATACGACGGTGTGGCCGCCCTCAACCACTGGGACCATGACGAAAAGCTGCGTCGTGTGTTCTTCTATTTAGAAGACACCGCAAGGACCTGGCTCGAAAATCGGGAGTCCACGCTCCGAACGTGGGATGTTTTCTGCGGCGCATTCCTGCAAACGTTCGCGAGCGTCGCTCGAAAAGAGAGGGCCGCTGCTTTATTAGAGAGCCGGGTTCCGCTACCAAATGAAAATGTCGCCATTTTCACAGAAGAAAAGACCCTGTCTTCGACCAAATGTCACGGGGTCGTGACGTGGTCGAAGACAGGAGACTTCTTGTTGGGATTTACCTGTTTATTTGGGCGAACCTGTGCCCGGTAAACAGAAAGTCCAATTACAGCAGCAGTCTCGCACAGATAGCAGTGTCAGACTGATAGCGGCGAACGGAGCGTCGGCCTTCGATCAACAACTGACAAGCGGCGAAGCGCGTCGACATTTATACTCCCGCCGTCGAATGTTCTAGCGCTACCGCTGGCGGCGGCGTACGTTCCAGAACAATCTGTACCATTCGCACAGTGGGCGTGATCTTATCGAAATGATCTACTACAGTCCGGAACCCTCTCGAAAACTGCAGGCGCGGTTTGCGTTGAGAATCGTGTGGTGTTTTGGGACGATAACAAAAACTTGGGAAATGGAACGTGGCAATATATATATATATGACACACAATCGTGTAATACACTATGTGTAACTACAAAAGCTCTTCAGAGTCACGCTTGCTTCAACAATAGCATCTATTTCTTTCAAGCAGCGCTCATTCATGGTGCGGGAAGCTTGCCAGCTGAGCGTCACCAGCTGGGTCTTAGAATACAGCATGCGTCACAACAAATGCGTAGGCGTTTTTAACATAGGAGGCAGTACGTTTGATGTATACATTGCTTCAAAATAAAGCTAGGAGCATGTGTGTATGTATGTATGTATGTATGTATGTATGTATGTATGTATGTATGTATGTATGTATGTATGTATGTATGTATGTATGTATGTATGTATGTATGTACGTATGTATGTATGTATGTATGTTAGTGTGTATGTAAATATGTATGTATGTATGTATGTGTGTGTATGTATGTATGTATGTATGTATGTATTATGAACGCGCGAGCTCTACTACAGCGATATTTTAAAACTTTTTCTTTCGGCCAAGAAAGGGCGAACGCAAGTTAGCTAAACGATTGTGTGGGGGTTTGAAACAGCTTATTGTTTTCATTTCACTGCGGCCGCACACTGCCCCTCACATTTAGTGCAAGTGTATGTTCTCTGTTTAAGGCACCGTCGCCATCTGTAAGGCATGGTTCAAGCGCCTGTTTGGTGCCAGAAGAGTATCAAACGACAGATAGCTACTAGTGAACGCTGGCTCCTGTAGCCATTACACCGTGCTCCTAGCAATAGTCGAGATGCTGTACCGACCCCTCTTTTTTTTTTCTTTGTTCAACATAGAAGTACGTACAAGAGGACAAGTGAGGCTATGAACCCCGCCCCCTCATAATGTGATGGAAAGAGCGACAGTGCTTCTTTGCACATTTACATTGTTGGGCATTTGACACCATTATTTTGGTGCGCTGAGTTGTGGCTACGGGTGGCTTTTGACAATAATGGCGAACCAGGAACCACTACGTTGCTTTCAAAGAGCTGTGTCTTTCCCGCCTTTACTGCTGTAAAGCAGAGCAATAGCTTCATCGCTTAACTTCCATATTTGCATCAGCGGCGAGGCTTCTTTTCTTTCTGATTCTACCAACGAGTACGAGAAGAAAAGGGCGGGGAAAGGGGATGCCGTTCCCCCCCCCCCGCTTTCTTTTAACCGCTTCACCAACCCAAGCGTCTTCTGGTGCCTAAACACACACACACACGCACAAAAAACACACACACTCACGCACGCTTACGCGCACACACGCACGTACACACAGACACATACACAAAACAGACACTGATTAAAGGAAAAAAAAAACCCTGGCACAAGTGACGAGTTGCCATAGGAGCGAGACTGTGACACGCGGCGCTTGCTTTTTCCCAAGAGCACGACAAATGCATTCTATTTTTCAAAACACGTGTGGCCGGCGAAGACACTCAAGCAAGCAGCTTTTTCTGGGCGACTGCGATATAGAAACGGTAGCTCTGAACTTCAGGAACAACAACAACAAAAAAACAGTATCGTGTACATAGAAACATCTGGCGATAAGCAATCAACAATCATTTCTTTGAGATGTGGGCTTTCGCATGGGCCGACAGCAAGACCGGCCATTCACCACTCTGCCGGAAAACCCTGCTTTGAGTAATGTCATGTGCTTCGGAATATCGCTATCGGTGCGCACGTGAACAACAGCGCCGCATGTAGAAATTTGGAGGCTCCGGGCACCTTTCATTTTGTTTCATTTCATTTCATTTTATTTCCTTAAAGACCCCTTGCGGGGCATTACATAAGGAGTGGGTACATAAAAATTGAGCAGAAAACAATCGTTTGTCCTAAAGTGAAGGATGATTAGTGATACTGGTTGTGAAGGTAGAAGTACAAGTAATGGCAGGAATGTCGCCTGAAAGGCCATTCCAGGCAACTGCCGTGCGAGGAAAAAATGATGTTGAAAAAGTAACGGTGCGTGCACGTGGGCGTCCGACTTGAAGTGGATGATTAGTTTGTTGAGAGATGTACGCTGGGGGAACAAAATAAGGTGGCATGCGCATCGAGCTGTGAAAAAACTTATGAAATAACGAAAGACTGGCGATACGGCGGCGGAGGGAAAGGAGGGGCAGTTGAAGTTCTGCTTTTAGTGAAGATACGCTGACGTCATGGGAGTAAGAATTATTGATAAACCTAGCGGCACGGTTTTGAATACACTCAAGGGCGTCTTCAAGATAGGCCTGATGCGGGCTCCAGATTGGGGAAGCATATTCAAGTTTAGTTCTAACAAGGCTTTTGTAAGCTAATAATTTTACATTCCTAGGTGCGTTACGTATATGACGTAATCTTTTTTCTGTTGCCACTCTACATGCACTGAGCATTCTGCAATTTCTCGTCTTGGCTCGCGGGTATGGCTCTCACCTGTTCCTTGGGCGTGCATCGAAATTCGCGGGTCTTCTTTGCAGCCACCGAGGAAGGTAGGTCCGATTGCTTGATCTCAATGTACCGTCTCAATTGGTCCTGAAACACGTAGAACGTGCATAATTACACTTTATTTGTTCCAACGTAAGCGTAGGCGGTATGTTAACAAATAAAGTGCGCGTCATTGCAGATAAATATTGTCTATTTATTATTTAATTCCATGTGCTTGAAAAGGTTAGACGTCCATCGAAAAGCGATTTCGTGAGCAGTAGGGGCCGGAAAGTAGAGAGAGCAGTGCGTCATCTACGTTCTACGCTGGTCTAATTTTTTTAATAGTAGTAGCCGAAATGGTCATGATAAGCCACAAGTAACTGGAGGTACATTTGAAGAACAACTCTGACATTTTTTATTACTACCGAGGTTACCACGTGATGAAGTGCGCCACACTGTTCGCATTTCTCTATATTCTCCTTTTACATTGAGTAATATCATTCTCTTCAGACTGTGTCTATTCAGGGTCGAAAAGTTCAGAGAGTGCGACAATGTTACAAGACTTTTAGGCAGATGGAATAAGCAGTTTTATTTCCGTTTTATATCCACGTCTCTTGCATGTTTCTTCCCTTATCGTTATTATTAGCGCCGCTCCAGTGTAGATACGTCAAATTGGTTCTTTACAAAGCAACCTGGAGCAATTAAAAGTTTTATTGCACGGATTCTCCTCTTTACAATGACGGTTTATTGTTTAAGCATCCCGTTTGAAATGACAGCGACATCTTCCTTAGCGAAAAACAGAGCGGCAGTTCTCACCGGTGAAATTGGGGCTTTTCTTCTACAAAATTCTAGGCAAGGAGCCAGGAAGCTTGGTCGTCTGCATGCACTACAAATCAATATCACGACCATAAAGAACACCCTATTTCGAGCTTGGACTCTGCGAAAATTCCAGTACTCCTAATTACAAAAGCCCAGAAGCCCTGAACAAGTTCAGCGCACAGGCGCACATATACCTGTACTTCTTGCTACAGCCACAAACAGACAAGAGGGAAGTGGTGGGGGTGCAGGGCGGATCAAGGAAGACAAACTACGCAGTCTTTCAAGACTTCTACCTTTGTCACGTCGTCTATACGGCACGTTTCTCAATTGAAGTAAATCTGAGAGTAACAAACGCTGACTAAACGCACTATTAAACTATTAAACTCTTAGAGCTCGACCTTCACGCTACAATTCACAAACTCATCGAAGCGCATTTCACTGCACAGATCTAAGCTTTCATTATCTGATCCAGACAACAAGATTATTGATGAGGCAAGTATAATGCTCATGCATGTGCCACTTGACCACCGTCCCCTGTTCAGAGAAGCTGAAAAATGTATGTGGGTATAACCCGTACCAAGAAACATCCGTCCGATATATATTGAGGCCAGGACAAATGTAAGAAGAAAAATCATCTTTAAACGAATCAACCCACATGAGGCGGGTTATTTGTTTCTTTAGGAAGCCAAGCACGATAGAAAAGATAGGTATGCAATCCTGGCTGTATAGATGTGCATGGAACGCTGATTAGCGCAGCATATTTTTGCACAAAGAATGTTCACGTAGTGGAGGAGACTGCGATAGCCTGGAACCTTCATGTTGTCCAGGACCCAACGAATGCTTTCTTTTAGTTGCGCACGTTTTTGAGATACCTTAGTAGTATACTCTTATATTTAGGCAAGCAGCTAGCACAGCACACGAATCTCACCGACTGCAAGTTTGCGACGTAGTCGTCAGAGAAGCAAACGATGGCTTCGACCCGGTGCCTGAGCTGCAGGTCACAAAGGTGGTGCAGTATGTAGCACACTTGAAGCTTGACTCCCTCGGCGATCTGCATATCGATGAGGCCCAGCGGGACGCCTCCATTGCCCCCACCACGGCCATCACTTCCGGTAACCGCTGCCGGGGCACCAATTCCCGCTGCACAAGGCAAATTGATTATGAGCCACGCCTACCGAGTTCCCTGAAGCTCGGAAATATCACTCGCCTCGCAAAGATAACGTCAATACGAGGGGAAATATACGTTCCGCAATGCTCGTACAAGACGCGGGTCGGAAATCTGAGCAGTAGAAAATTCATTCGAAAAATAAGTCTCAACAGCTCGTCACAACAAAGCACTTCCTCTGCATTAGTGATCAATTATCGTAGAAGATATATTAAGCAAGGGTAGCACTATGAAAGAGAGGAGAGGATAGGAAAACGACAGAGACTACACACCTTTACCAGGAAGAAACGTGCTAGGGTCCAGAAGGTAGAGGAGCCACTGCAAGTCATCGTCATTCATCAGTCCAACAAGCAGAAGCTTGTCCGCCAGCTTCAAAAGGGGCCTGTAGTAAAACGGTGCAAAATTATTTATAACCAAGAGATACTCCATACTCGCTCACTTTTCAAGTTCATTGGTTATTCAGCTGCTCCCGCTGCAAGTGTTTAGATATACTAAAGGTTATTCTTGCCTGCGTCTCAGTGATCACGTGCTCTTCACACGTATGCATGGCTCTACCAGCGTGAATAGGGTTTGGCGTTAACTAGGCTTGTTCTGTCTCCCCCAATTTCTGGTTTTAAGAAAGGACAAAGAGAATCAACCAAAAGTAAGAGAAGTAATGCTATGGCAAGGCCTCTTTACTGATTATGCAATGCAAGAGAACTTCACACATTCAACACTGCACAAAATAAATATTACTTGAAAGTAAACTGTACACGTGAAAACAAAAAAGCGCCTTCTTTAACATATTTTGAATTTGCTAATTGAGATACAGAATCTAACCTTAAGTTATGAAGCTTCAAACTTTGCACAAAAATACTTTCAAACTTTGGAAAAAAGAGCTTTTGATGCACACATTTTGTGACTTTTAGGTCTAAAATTATATTACCTTTTTTGTTCATAGTGCCAGCACATGTCGCGAAAGGCAATCTTGAACTTAGCAGTTACTATTTGCTGTAGCTGCTTGAATGGTAATGCCGTGAGTACGGTAACAACGTGTTTGTGACCTGTCGTTGTATAGCTGTAGCTGCACGCCCGTTCTGCAAAGTTGCAGCTAGAGTTAGAAGGGCCACCGGTAAAGTTTAGGTGCCATGCGTTCTTCGAAGCGAAAGTTTTGTCCCACAGTTTAAACAATCACATATTCGCGCTCATAGGGCAGATGCCAACAGTGTTAAACATACACAAACAGGTTTTCGTTGCTGCCACCAATTGGGTCACGGTTAGGGCGGCTGTCCTTCTTGACGGCGTCAGCAAGGGCTTCAATGACGAACTGCTTGAGGGTGTCCACTGGGAAGTAGGGAGTGCTAAGGTCGGCGATTGACTCCACTGTCTCCCTGCGTAATAAAATATTTCGCTTGAATTCAACATCCTCGACATATTCTGCATAGGCATACTGTTAATAGAGTCGAAACGGCACGAGCACTCGTACAAGCGTGCGTGCCTGTGTGTGTGCGTGAGTGTATTTGTTTGTGTCATCACGTATCGTAATTGACGACCATTTCGCAATAATTCCCAATACCTGGTTATTTCAGTGACCTAGAAATTGGAATGTATATGAGCAGAACATGTACAAGCCTGTTTGTTTTCAACAACAATAATTACTTCAAGCTTTCGTTCTGACTTCGCTCTGACAAGACTTGGAAAAAGAGTAATGGTTGTGAAAGTAAAGAGTACCTCTACAGAGGCAGTTGCGCCTAGGTTGGAAGTTAGGAAATGAAGTTTATGCAGTGCAAACTTCAATTATGGCCGCCACGTTGCCGTTCCGCTTAAGGGCAACTGTGCTGGCAACGTAATACTTAACCTGAGTAGGCCGGCTAGGTTCTTCCCTCACGTCTCCTCGCTCTGTTTTCTCACACACGCAAGGTTCACCAATCGCAATGCAAAAATAACACATTATAGTTATATGCAAATGTGTTATATATGGCCAAGTTGGTAGGCAGAAACTTTGTTGGGGTGGAGGAGGAGGGCACTGTCTTAGTTTCAAGTGTAGGCTTGGGAGGCTGATGTTTTCTAGTTTCACTCTCGGCTCTGTATGCAATAATAAAAACATTATTTCGGGGCGGAATCAAGTCACGAGCCAGGTGTGCCACCTTCTGGCTGCGCCACGGTATTTTGGGGTCCAGTTGTCATACCACATATTCTTTAGCGGTAATTACTTCACAATAAACAAAATAATAATAAACATGTCCTCAATACGACCTTCCTACATACTCGCGGCCGATAGGAGAAAGACTTGCTAACGCCCAGTTTAATAATTGCTAAGTGAGCAGTACATCAATACTAATTTATTGATATGTGGGTTGTAACGTCCCAAACCCACCATATGATTATGACAGACGCCGTAGTGGAGAGTTCCGAAAACTTGGAACTGGGGTTGTTTAATGTGCACCCAAATCTGAGCATATGGGCCTACAGCATTTTCACCTCCATCGAAAATGCAGCCGCCACCGCCAGGATTCGATCCCGCCACCTGCAGGATCGAATCCCGCAGCCTAGTGCCTTAGCCAATAGGCCACCGCGGCGGGGCAGTACATCAATACTAAGAGTTTATTTTTTTATTAAAATATTCTTCATCGATACGCATTATTTGGACGAAAGCGACGCAAGCCTACACTTCGGATATTTAAGCCTTCGCTGAGCACTACATCCTGCTTGATGAGCGTTCTGAAGATATTATGCACCCTTGCTGATCAAAACAACGCGGCTTTTGCAATCAAAGTGCATTCACCCTATGTAGTCGCATTTTGCACTTGAGCAATTATTTCTATCTCTATTGCGTGTATTTTCTTTACGTAAGTCTATGACCACGGCACTTCGAGTAAGTCATGAACGACGTGAGGGCAATCGTCGTCATATAGCATTTTTGATATTGCATGCGAGGAGGAGTTTACGCCATGTAATCGATAAACACAAGTAAAGGCACATCTAAACAATAAGTTACACCGCAGGAGAAGCGTAGCAGGGAGAAGAAGGCTGTGCCGACAGTAGTCTCTAAGCAAATAAATTGAAAAGTAGGTCCACGGTCACTGTTTCGTCAAACGTATACCTAGAGCCAACGGCTGCAGTGAAGGTCACTGAGCGCAATTGGCGCGAACGCGGGAAACAGGGGTGCCACCAGCAGCAACTCCTTCTCGTATTTCGGCGCATGCTTCGTTGGTGCTCCTACGGTAGCATTGAAGCGAACGCAGAGTGTTCGAGCGAGAAAACGCAAACGATAATATTGTTGTTTGGCACAATTAATTGCGTGGCACTGTCTCTGTGTTGCGCCCTATGCACAATATTCGAAACGCTTCCGTTTCCAACTGAGGTTGTTTTCTTGACAACGTTTTTAAGGGATGCAGATGTACGGTTATAAAAAGAATATTAAGGACATAATGCGTACAACACAAGATACAAGGTAGACACTACCAACGAGGTACGGGAGGCAGTGCTATATCTGGTGGACGCCCCTAACCCCCGGCCCATTATTGCAACATCAAAAATAGTACGTGTTTTTTTTGTTCTTTGTGGTAACGCTACTTGCGATGCACTCATGCATCTGTCTGGTAGTTGTGATATTTCGGCAGCTTTCACGATTTTCTTGGTTTTTTTTATTTACTTGTCGAGCTACAACCACCGTCACGGCCTTTTAGAGTGTGCCCCTTTTATCTTGTGCAATTTCTTCTCGTCTTTCATTCTTTCTATAACGGTCCGTCTACACTTACTAGCAGTGTACGTTCAAAATTTTTCATCTTTTGGTGTCCTTGGCCATTTCTATTCTTTTATAATAAAGACATAGAAGAACAAGTGACTTGCTGCTCTATAATGCAATGTGTTCGTCGAGTTGATCGTCACTTGAATGATCACAGTGCCTAAGACGGGACAAATGAAGTGACTTTACACAAATTGGGCACACGAGATACCTGGAGCGCTGGTTGGCTACTACCAGCGACTTCAGTCAGTGCTCTGTTGTATTCTATTTGGTTTCCATTTGCATTTGTGCAGTTTCATTCGCGCTATTTAGGCGAGTTTAGAGGAAAACACCATAACTCTTTTATGTTGTCATAGATGATCTGACTGCTTCAGACGGCGCCTCAGCTCGGAAGCGTGACTTTTGAGCACGTCGTTGACGGAAGTTTAACTATATATCTCTATGCGTGCTGTGCCTGCGAGGGTGTTGTGCGCTTTCGTCGAGTCTTACCTTGTTTCGGAAAAGGCCATATCAGGTCGTATGGAGACACACTCCAAGGTGCAGAAGGAATGAGCCCTCAACGGCTCTTCGTAGAGCGCACGGATGTCGGGACCGAGAGGCACGATGAACTCGTTCTGGGTCAAGCTCCTGCAAATCGGCAAAAGAGTGAAACTCATCGCGGCTCTAGAATGATTAGAAGTATAACAGTATACGCGCCTTTGGCCGCTTAGTGTTCTTGCGTTTATTCTTTTCTCAAATGAAAAAAAAAGAGATCTCTCAAGAGGTGAGAAGAGACAGGGGTGAACCCCTCTGCCACCTGCCTCGCCTTATGGATACTGCCGGTCTTTAAACAAAGTTTATTCATTCAATAGCTACTGAAAAACGGAAAAAGGTGGTACAATAATACGCAGAAGAAAAGCCCTTAGCAATAAATCATCATGCCTATATGTACCGCTGAAGAAAACTTGAAAGTCTGTACAAAAGTCTAAGCTCATGCCTCTTTGGAGCATGCATGTGAGACGGGGCTAGCATTACTTGATTACAATATTAGGAGCTCGAACACATAGGAAAAAAATCAAGGTGGGGCAAGGACAAGCGGGAACTTTCGCGCCAGCTTTATTCCAAACCGAAACAGAAGATAGAAAGATCAAATCTTTTTATAAAAAAAAGTATACGATTTCATAACCATGATCACCCTTTCTACCTGCCGAGCGGCTCCTCAACGGAGGAACTGTTCTTTATGTTCCCGTAAGTGAGATAAAAACGATTGTCGCACTGCGTCAGCGACATTCGCTCTCATGATACTACCACATGATCATTCATCATGCTCATGTAGTAATGGTTTCATAAGCCTTCTCATTGCACATCTGAATAATAAATTCAAAGATAACCCCTTTGACCGAGCCCTCTTTTTCGGATGAAATCAAATAGCGCTTAAACATGAATTTTTCAGTCTTCGTTAAATTTTCAGTCGGCTACCAACAGCGCGAGCATTAATTAATAAGACTACATATTCAAATAACACGTGACATTGTAAGGCTTCATACATGCATGCCTATGGAAACTGAAAGACGCCACTCGGGAAGCGTGAGCCAGAAAGTTCTCACTAGTTGTGTGTCGTGTACGTACATATTTACAAAATGTGGCTGTGAATTATAGCCAACGTCAGTAGCGTAGCCGACATTTTTTTTTTCGGAGGAGGGGGGAGTGTATAGCCTTACGTAATGTATCTGTGTGCATGCGTGCGCTTCTATGTATGCATGTGAACGTGGAAATAAACGATTGAAACTTTAGAAAAAGTAAACTCCTCCCTCTCGGCTAAGCCGATGGCCTGGGGGGAAAGTGCTCAATATTTAGGATCTGTGAACTTCTAAAACGCAAGGGCCACTGATAATACTGCGCCAAGAAACGGTGTATAGCATGCATGCCTGACAATGGATAGGTAAAGTCAGTTGCATGTATATATGAATCTACCAATATTTAAAATCTTTTTTTTTCTGTAAGCAAATCACCAAAGTTAGGCAGCATATGTTAACTTGTTGGTGAGTCATACACACATAAACTGCCACACCGCATTCTGTAGAATGTGGTATGTTGCACACAGTACGGTAAGCACTGTATATCTGTGTATGACTCACTAACAAGCGAAGCAAGTGCACTGCAGCAAGCGCGAATGATGCCTTTCAGAATGTTACCTTGTCACCATGTTACCATCTTGGACTTTTGAATGCGTTCTACCAAGGTATTTCAATATCGTCAACCTGAGACTCTTCATTTGCATGACTCTTTATTCCTTGCATGTATAGTTGTCCTAAAAAACTCAAATCAACAATCGTCAACATACCTCGCGTACGCATGGAACTCCAAGTGAAGAGAGATGAGCAGGTCGGTGAAACCCGTTCGCAGCGGTCCCGAGAGGTACTCGCTCTGTATGGCGTACATGAGCTGCTTCTCATCAACGTGCGAGCAAATCATATGCGCTGCCCGATGGTTGCCCTGGAAGCACAGCGCCCCGTACAAAGACAGAGTGTGCGCGTGGAAACTGCAAGAGAATAAGGTGATGAGAAAGTTAATAAAAACAAGAAGAAATCAATTGGCAACGTTTGTACTAAGTCACGCAAACATAGAAATAAAGAAAATGAACAACTCTGCAGAGGAATCTAGTTATTTATAGGTTGTTTTTAGGCCGAAGCTACGTGATGCAGGTTGTTGCTAAGTTGCTTCTCAGTTGTTCCTAGGCCTAAATAAGCTGTGATGCAGGTGGTTGCTAGGTTGCTTCGAGGTCGTTTCTAGGCCTGAGAAAAGTGATGCAGATTGTTGCTAGGTTGGTTCTATAGGTCGTTGATTGACTTTTCTTAGATGATGCTAGACTTGCCTGCGTTGACTTTCAGCGCAGATAGCTTCGTGTTTATTATGATCATTTCCTGGTGTGCTACACAAAATTTTTCATTACATACTCGTGAGTTGGGCGGTCTCTTGGCTCAACGCTTAGACGACTACAGCTGAACAGTGGGATTAACCTGATTTCCGTGGTGCATGCCTGTCTATGATGATGGCAGTTTTTGTTGTTTTTTTGGTACTGGGAAAACTGCCACAAACTTTGCAGAATCTCGCATACTGCGGTATCGTCAAATAATGCGGAACCATCGCTTGTGATTGCGTCATTTTACTTCAGGCAATACGAGCCAATATTAGTCAATTTTGTTCAACACTAACTAGCATTCGTCGCCATTCGACTCCAGTAACAGTACTAACAACTGGTACCGCACGAACGTATGCGCTAAGCACGCTACTGGTAGTGGTACTGTCACGAGATCTACGCCCCGGAGTCGAAATATGATTATGAGAGATGCCCTAGTGGAGGCCTCTGGAATTTAGAAGCATATGGTGTTGTTTAAGAGCACTGACGTCACTCAGCACACGGGCCTCTTTCCTTCCACCTCCACTGGAACACGACCACCACGGCCGTGATCGAACCCATGACCTCGGTTCAGCAGCCAAGCATCATAGCCAATTATCCACCGAGGCAGACCAAGCTGGTGGTAGTATGCGATCATAGATGGTAGGCCACGACGCTATGCTATGTCTACAGATCTTTCTATGCCAAGGAGAAATGGGCACTTCGATATCTTCTCGAACATAGTAGCCTAATAAAGTTGATGGCCATAAAACAAAGCTGTACTACCTAATTTTTGTACCAACTCTATCATATAGGTGTTTATTTGTCCTGGAATTATTTTTCCTCAATAAAATTCTTTGCCCAAGCTTTCTTTCCTCGGCCATAATGTCCTTGTCACTTATATAACAAATATTTACGTGTGTTTTATTGTCTTGTCTGAAATCATAGCTTAGGAATATTATATAAGTACCACCAATGGGCAACAAAGCAATCAGCTGGCGCAAAACGGTCCCACCAAAGAAGCTTCCCTTACACAGTTGCGTGAGACTCACTTGAGCAGGCGTTCGTTCTCAATGAGCTCGAGCACGTCGATGCATCGGTCTTCTTCGGGTATGTGAAGGGCCAGCATGGAGAGCGGGTCCTCGCACAGCATACTCCATCCGCGGACCTCGGACAAACGCAGTGCGTGTGGTCGAAGGTTTACGTTGGGCACGCGAGCCCACATGTACGGCTGCAGACACTGTACCTGCAAACCACGAATGCACGGAGTGACGCCGGGCTGTGCACTAGATGGCGCAACGGCAGTAAAATGAATCGCAAGATCGGGCTGTAAAATCAAGATAAACGACTTCGCGCCTCAACAAGGAAGCGGAAGTTTTGAATTCGCGTTGATACCCATGTTTCGAAAGTGTTTCTAGCAGCAGATGTTGAAAATGCAGCCTTCTTTGAGTGAAAGTAGATGCGCTTACAAATCTTGGCGTCGCTGGGACATCTTTCTGAATTATGAGAACGGGACAGTGCCTCGATGCATTTTGCATACAAAGGAGGAAGGCCCGGCTTCCTCCATTGTATGAAATGACATAAACTTCACTTCAAAGAGCTCTCAACTAGAAAATGTTTCAAAACGTAATACTTTCAGTGCGAGATAAGTTATACTGGGAAAAGTAAGGAAATGTAGCCTAAAAGCAAGAAAAACAAAATTAGCACTGGGTGTAACACAACCAAAACTTTTGTCTGTATTTCAGAATATCTGTAATTTACACGCGTTACAGAACATGTGACTTATCGCTATCCGATGCATTGTTCAACGTCCAGTGAATTTCGCTCTCGAGTTAGAGTTACGTTTTCTTTTTTTTTTCAGTTCATAGAACAAACTAACTTAAGCAGAGGGTGAAAGCTACTGGCAATGGCTTGTAATCTGTATGCATGACGTACTTTTAGCCTTGGTGGCAGTTGCGGCGTCAGATGCTTGCTAGTCGTGTGCAGCAGGGCCGCCGACAGCGGCAACGTAGTGGGCGTGCGTCCCAGCTCGAACTGTATCACTTCCTTGCTGGTCGCCTCGAAGAACACTGCCGGGAACAGCTTTGTACCGGGCTCCATCTGCGGCACGAACAATGCGCAGAACTGGCACCTCATGCTTCTTCATATGGAGTTTACATTATTCTAGCTGCTTTTGAAATCATTATTCGAAACTGTACATAACGTGCTGGTGAATAAGAGACGCACATTGCCGTGTTCAAACTAAGTTCCCCCTTACGCAGATGGACAGTTACCGTACTTCATTTAGTAGCCTGTCCACTTATTAATAAATCCTGGTATATTGAAGAGGTGAAATATATCCGAAGTCCTCCACCATCATGAACACAAACGGTACCGAACGTCACGAAGCCTAAGATGACTTCACGCTAATCCGCCATGAATTATACTCAGAATATATTGTTGCTTGATGAAAAGTGGGCAAATTCTGAAGGTATAGTCCGAAACCAGAAGAGATGCAGGAAGTATTGAGAGAGAAGGTGGGGGGGGGGCAGTGGTGGAGTAGAGCGCAGAATATTGATCTCGCCAACGTGATAGAAACGTTTCTATAAAGGGTTTGTTTCCGTCTTCCTTTCATTAATGCTGCCTAGCCCTGTAATGCCCACTGTATGATATTTGGTACCTCAATACGTATATGGTACCTCGATAAAGCTGCTTTAGGTGTGATGACAAGCAATATTGCAGTTTTAACATGTTTTAAAGAAGGTACAGCGACCTAGATATTTGACGATAATAAACATTTATTTGCAAATATTGCATAATAATTATGCCGCTAACAAAGCTTCATTAACATTCTTCTTAAAATGAATTGCAGAAGAATAGTAAAAACAGTGAGCATTTTCTCGCAATTTTTCTGAAGAGATGTTCGTGCTCATTACAAGGCTAAACAAACAGTCGAATTTTGCTGCGTTGAAGTTAGCGCGTCTGTTGCGAACACCTGCTTGTTAAAACTTCCTTGAAGAACCAATAAAGAGGCTCGAACTTTTCCTTTTTTTCTTTTTTACAGCCCCCAAACAAGCTCACCAAAGTGTACAGTAGGCCGCGGCAGGCAGTCTGATTTTCTGTATAATAAAGCTTTGTGCACTGCTAAAATCCTTCATTTCGGAAAGAAGTATGGCGTTCTGTGTGTAGTTATGTGAATTGTCAAACTCATGACATCTCAAGAAAATATAGTGTGTGCTACTTACTTTGAAGCGCTGCCTCGTCATGTGGCCGTCAGCGCTGAATGTAATCATGCCGGTTGCGACATCGATGTGACACCCCACGTACATCCCCTGAGAAAAATAGCGAATAATGAACACAAGTTCCAGAGCAGAAAACTCGGCTGGTCTCTCTACCCTACGCATGTGGCGCAACGAGCGGCACTGCAACAAAACAATGCTGATGCACGGAACAAAGGCATGGGCAGCCATATTTATTTCGACGGGAAGGGTGGGGGGCGCAGGGCACCTTTTTGATTTGAGGAGGAAGGCACTTCCTTGAATTGGTCATTAAAGCACTGTATTCCATGGCAAAAAAGCTTCTGGAGGGGAGAAGGGTGCACCTTTTGGCTACGCCACTGACAAGAAAGGTGTGTGGTAACGTCAAATTATTGTTCCAACTGTTGGCATCCGCATGTCCTCAATAGTACAAGTTCTAAGCCGCCCTCGCTATCACTGGGATCTGCAATTGGACAGTAGTGGGTTATCTAAGCGATGGAATCTAAAGGGAGAAAATATTACCTCACAATGACGCCTGAGCATGAGAACAGCAGGCCTCGAGGTTCGAAAAACGTGTTTATAGAAACACTACCGAAATAAAAGCACCTGTTTTATCTACTTGTTCCTACAGATAACTACTGTATTATCTGGAAACTGCCTTAAACAAATGAAGTATGGCCAAGCTTGCGCTAACCAGCGCATGGCCTAAACAGTAAAGCCGCGTTTTCTCGCTTCGCAGTAAGTTGTCTTTTCTTGTGGGAGCCTTCATTTTCGGGTGTCAGCTCCTTCTTCACTCTATTTAATACGAGAGAAGGTCGATCGGGTTCTAGAGCACCCGCTTTTCACAAGTGCTTACTCCACTTGCCGATGAAGCACCGAAAACGCAACACCGCGTACGGTGTGCTATGTAGATAGCGTCGTGGCTATCACACGAGGCTAGCACGGCTTCGACAAGCGCGACGGCATATCTAGGTTGGTGCGCAGCCTCTAGGCTAGTGGGCGTGGCTTATCGCGGTTGAGCAGGTGATAGGCAGTGGCATTATGGTTATCTCGTGTTAAGCACTAACATACCTGATTGGCCGAGCGGCCTGCCGTGTCACCCTGGCTGACTTCAGCGGCCAACTGTCCCGCACACACCATGTAACAGTTCTGGCGTTCCAGGCTGCATGAAGGGAATGTGTGACAGTGCGCAAACAATCAAACAATGTTGCTCTCGAGATATACCACTCTGTTGTTTACATTAGATAGCGTATATGCACTACGAGTGCCATAAGTCTACACAGAAGTCATCAGATGACATTAGTCTACACAGAAATTAAACACGAGTATTGAGTTTTTTGCATGTCACTGTTGAATCGGTTAGCCAATTCTGCGAGGGGGTCTTTACGCTGGAGTTCTGCCATAAGGGTAGAGCGATTATGAAGGTCGACCGTTGAACCAAAGGTTGCGCGTTCTATTTTGGTCACGAATGTTGTATTTAAAAGAAAGTGCGATGCTAGATTGCCGTTTCCTCCACGATGTCAGTGTGCACAATGGAACACCAGATAGCAATTTTCGGAGCCCTCCACCATGGTGCGACTCATAATTACGCAGTCCTTATGTGACATAAAACCTTACGTAATATTTTCTGGTATACTGTGGACCCAACAAGTACCACAAATTTCAGGTAATTTAAGTCTGCTTTATAGGTATACAGTATCGAGAACTCGCTCTCACCAGTACACTTTTGATAAATTTTATGGTAGCGATAACATTCAAAATTCGAGTTGAGGCAGTTTATGCTACGTTTATATTCAAGTGTACCCAGCGTTTTTGACGCGGAAATCACCTGTCTAAATTCTGATAGATGCTCACTTCCACACATTCGATGGAACTTACATGATCTGACGACCAGCTAACGGCCCTGCGATACAACAGAGAGCCACATTAAAATGGTTTATGCAATTGTCCAACAATTGCTCAAAGTGTGTTCGTCAGCCAGTCTGAAATAAAAAAGGAAAGCTGCTTGCTACACCTAGGGAAATGGAGGCTTGCGTAGGGCACGTACCCAGTTATTTTTAGGTATTTTCAGTTAATTAGCGTCACCTAAAGTAATGGCAGCCCAAAGCAAACTAACGGTCTTGGTCATCTACTTGGTGGACGTCGTTATTACGTTTTGCTCGAATAGAGCATAGAGGGGCTTTCAAAATAGAACTTGCCGTAGTAGCTTAGCACGTAAGGTTACGCGGCGTTGTGCTTGAGGACACGGGTTCAATACCTGGACTGGCCACGCTTCAATGAGTAGCAAACGCTAAAAATACTTGTTTGCTAGATTTGGAAATTTTAAACAACTCCGCGTGGTCACAAGTCGTTCATAGGCACTCACAATGGTATTTCTGAAAATGACAGGATAGTTTTGAAACGTGGAACACCATCAATATCAGTTTATAAGTTAAAAGTCTTCAAAGTCATATATTCATAGATACCTCGATTGGCTCTGCATAGATATACGAACCCATGCTGAACGCAAGTGTAGGAATATGAAGATTGGAAAACCGAAAGATTTGTCAACAGAAAATATCATTGAAGCCATGGCTTCAGTGAGTTAACTTCTCTTTATTAGGACTGTAGCAGCCTTGATGAAGACGAGTGAACGTTTCAGACGTTGCTTCCAGTGATATTCCTTGAAGTATTTCTTTCATATCTATTTGAGAAGTACGTTTCCTTTTACTTACACTTGGTGGACGAGACCATCTTCGCTGAGCCCATGGAAGGCAACCTTGCGCACCTTAGAGTTGCCGAAGGTGCGGTCGTAGAACTTGTACGACGTGGTGACCCAGCCGACATACACGTGGTTCGGGTCCTGTCCGGGGAACACTCTGAGGCCGAAGAAGTATTCGTCTACCAGGTCCAGCACAGAGGGGTCCAGGTGGTCACCGCTCTCGTCGGTGGCCATTGGTGGCGGGCCAGGAGTGAGGGAGGGCCGGCGGAAACTTCCGCTGCGGGGCAGGGTTCCGGTTCCGCTTCCACTGCCGGGACTCGTCGGTGAAGATAGCGTGCTGGGTCGCTCAGGCACAGGTGGGCACAGGAGTTGGTTGCTGGGAGCTGTGAGTGGTTTCGCCGTTGAAGGGATACCGAACTACTACAATATCTTGCTGACATGATTTTCATCCTAATCGAAAGACAGGTTCTTGGAAACGGTAGAGACACCCTTTATTACTGGTGGAAACTACAAAAAATTGTTAACTGAATGTGTTTTCACAAACTTCCGCGTTTAGTGGCAGCGCCGTGAGCCAGAAAAGGTGGTGTTTGATGACGGCAAAAACGCCCGAAGCAGGCAAGCGAACAATGTTAGTCATTATTATAGATATATAATCGTAGCTGAAGCCAAGATGCACCAAAACACAGCATCAGGGAGGCTAAAAGAGTAATTTTAAGGAAGAACTATACAAAAAGAAAGTCGCACCTAGAGAAAACTAGATATTACCTGCTACCATGTTCTCTCAAATGATTCATGACAGTATCTGTCCTAGGTCTACAATGCATACCCGATAATATTGAATTAATGTGCAGATGTGTAAAATTTTTCTAAAGCATTTATAGAAAATACAAGCAATCATATACTGAAAATTTTATTTAACACTATGTTTTGCATCAGCTGGGTCATGTACGGTTCTTGTTTACCGATGCAATTTACCATTTCAGAATGGACGCCCTCTACAGGTTTTATTTTATGAGGCAGGAAGGCTTGTCGAGCTGCCTATATACATCTTACGTGCCAATATTATTTGTTATTTCATTGCCATTTTAATAAATGTGATGCCCTGATTCTGGCCGGTTATGTATCAGTGAAATAATATCATTCAGTGCTCCAATGGCGACAGCGTGCAGTCATGGGCATCGACCAGGATTTTGTCTTGGATAGAGGAGAGTGCGAACCCGTGTTTTGTCACGCTTAGAAAGGTTAATAAATTGCTGGCGCAGCTTGGATAGGGGGGCCAGTCCTGGAGTGGCTTCAGGGACGCTGTGCCGCTTTTACATCCCCGCCTGCTGATGCCCGCTCTTTATCGAAGTTCAAGGTGTGGCAGTCAGTCCTGTATGCACTCACCTGGTGAAAGTCTGTGGACGGACGGGGGCCGCACCGTGAGCAAGGGCGGTGACATGGTCTGCTGCTGACCCGATTTTGTCGAAGGGGGCACTTGAATGGTTTCCGCGGTTTTGGCCGCGGTGGCGTCCTCCTTCTCCTCCTTCTTCCGGAAGAAGCGGAAGGGAGACTTGCCACGACGCTTGGATTTGCCTGCAAGGGCCCAAAGCATGTGGTGAGATGAGGGTTGGAAAGGATGGTCCTTGCTGTGCACATTGTGACGTAACAAATTTAGTCATCACGCTGTTACAAATCTTCAAATATCAAGTGTTGGGCTCGCCACGTGTTTCTTCTTGCAACGATGATAGTGTGGGCTCGTTGTTGAGAATTCGTTGTCTCGTTACTTGCAAATCGTGTGCTACAAAAATTTAGAGCCTGTCAAGTACGATCAGAGTAATGAAAATTCGTCGCACGCTTCAAGTGCTCTCAGTATTCTATGACAGTTACGAGCATTCGCAAAGTGATGCTGGAACCAGGATAACATCGGTCTAATACCCTTCGCCTGTATTCGTGGTTGCCTCGAGCTCTTAATTTTTTTCACACGTGCGGCCGACTTTCAGTTTGATTGTGACCGTGCATGCGGGAACATGGCGACATTCCGCGGCGACCACGGTAACTATGCAGCTCACAACGCTGAAACCAGTGAACAGCCGTGGGCTACGTATATCAGCCTGACTACGCTCACTGCAGAACAAAGGCCTGTCCCATGTTCCGCTACTCATCTGAATCCTGTTCTTGCTACTGCAACTTAGTAAACGGGAACTTCTCAATCTCATCTGCCCACCTAACTTTCTGTCTCTCGCTCACTAGCTAGCCTTCTCTAGGAATCTAGTATGTGATCTCTAATGACCAGCGGTTACCTTGCCTTCACGCTAGGTGCCCTGTCCTCGGCGTTCATTCTTCTTGAGTTTGACTATGATGTCCTTAACCGCCGTTTGTCCCCTGCTACACTCTGCGCTATTCTTGTCCGTTAGGATTACACCTATCTTTTTTCTTTGCATTGCTCACTACGTCGTCCACAGCCTTGGTTGAAGCCACTTTGTTTTAGAGGATTATAGAGCGCTCAGAATAAGTTGTATTCCCTAGGTTTCTGTTGCGCATGTGGGTACCGGTAAGGTTCAGCAGTTACAAACTTTCCTCTTGAGTGTTGGGCGCAATCTACCAGTCATGATTTGAAAATGCTTGTCGAACGTGTTCTATCCCATTCTTATTCTTCTGCTATTTCAATCTCAGGGTTCGGCTCCACGGTTTCTACCTGTCTAATTTAGACGCACCCCTTTACAGCTTGACGAGCACTGCTACCTATCTCGAAGGGCTGTTCTCTCTTGAGGTTGTTGCACATTGCTTTCATTTTCTGCAGAATAATTACAGGGCCTACGTTTCTACTCTCCTTGTCTGATTGAGTAGTCATGAGTTGCAATTCGTACGCTGAGTTACTAGCAATGCAATGTCGTCAGCGAAGCGCAGGTTAACAGATACTGTCCATTAACTCGTATTCATATATCTTCCCATTGTAAGCCTCTCACAATCTCCTGTAAGCATGCGGTAAATAGCATTGGGAAGGTCGTATTCTCTTGTGTCGAGACGGGAGAGATACGAACTGCCGACACGACCACCGGCGCCAATCTCGTCCAACAAGCTCCAGTCTGCAGTTTAATATAGTTTAAAATAATGCTTCAATGCTTGTTAATGCGATCGTTAAGCAGCAAGGCATCGTATCGTAAAATTATTCGGGCGCCAGCATGACCAAATTTCCCACCTGAGCAGCTAATAATTTATATCCCGATGGCTATGAAGTTCACAGCTCCTCTTTTTTTCCAGTACGACATGTACCATATCTCGAGATCATTTAGTTCTTACACAGTTTCAAAAAAGAATGCCGATAATTATGTCATTATTAGATGCGAAGCAGCTTATGGTGCAGTTCGCCCAATGGGCAACAGCTGGCTCAAGCACTGCCGGAACGCTCGCACGCGCTAGCGTGTCCCGGCCTGTGCAAGGGACTTGGCAAGACGCTGTGGCCTCTCCCGCTTACACTCTAACAGAAATCATGTGGTGGCGTTGGGGAACATGGTTTTTTGCAAAGCGTTCTTTTTATTTCTTCCTATTTCATAAAACTCTATATCTCGCGCGCGCTGAACCAGGAAGAACACACTGGCCTGCGCTAGTGCGTGATGCCCTGCATAAGTGGTTGTGTAAAAGCCATAGTTTGAAAGTATGGTGTCCATCCACTGTACTGCTTTTCATCGCCTCATGGTCCCTTTAACGGAGGATGCCGTCATTTGTATGGCATCAATGAACTAGTAAAGTTCTATATCTTACTAAATCCCAAGCAATATGCCGACCGAGAGAGTGGGTACTTGGGCTGGTTGGTATTGCAATTTTCGGAAGAAATATACTTTCTTAGTGTGCAGAGATCGTTTTATAAAAAAGGCTCTTTTCTATCTTAGTGCACTTTTTATATCTGTGTTGTTTCTGAAACATTCCCTGCGCACTAATAACGTTAGATTTCTTTCAAAAATGCAAGCCGACCGAGCGATGGGGTTCACCTTTTCTGAAAGGCACCCCTACGGCATAATAGAGCTAGTCAAGAAAAAGATGGCGTACTCTCGGGTTCGGGTGTGACCGCTTTGGTTCGCTGACCGGCCTTCGACTTCTGGCCGAGCCGGTTAAGCGCCTCCTCGCTCGAAGCTGCCCGCAGCCGCTTTGGGTCCGGACGGGTGCCGTCAGGAACCTGCGCACGCAGAGTTCAAGCAATGTAGGCATTCTACGATTCTTTGCTGTACACACACACCTGTTTTTCGTGAAATTGTTGTGTACGTTCGTTCTTATTGACTCCAAGCAACAGTCGCTATCGGAGGTATAACTTTGCATTCTTTAAAGGAAACTTAAACAATTAACCTCTCCAAATGCAGAAACAAGAGCTTTCTTTATTCATGTTTCTTGTCCTTTTGTCCCAATTGAGGACGCATACAGACTACAGTGTTCATGTGATGGCATGAGAAACTGAGTTCTTTACCAGATACGAGGAACATCACTAGTGAATTGTTTCCTACCAGACCTTACCATTCAGTTCACGCAATGCCTTGGCCTGAACGACAATCCTAATATATCAACTAACATCACTTTGTTTGGCGTGTTTTAGACTGTGGAAGCGGGGATCACGGCATGCAGCCCAAACCTATATAGGGTCAATACTTGTGCCTATCTTTCACACCGATATTATTAAAAGTGAGTGCCGGAGCACCTGTAGTGAGGGCGATCAAGAATTCACTGTCTCGTCTTTTGAATTCGATGTAGTTAAGGGACCCTTTAACAATGTATGCCCGGGATATTCAAGTCAGCGGCGGTCAATGCGTAGCTGATTGACTCACCTGCAAGGTGGCGGCAGCATCGAACGACTGCGTCTTCGTTAAGGTGCCGGTGGTACCGCGGGGGCTGAGCATGGAGCGGCGCCGTTGCTGAGGTGTCGGGGGCCTGTGTTCCACGTGCATCGGTTCCTCGGTGTCACCGCCTTCGTCCGAGTAGCCGCGCTGTAGGTCTGTAATCGGAATGAAGATCGCGTAAAACTTGAGTGGTGTTTCACGAGATGCCGTATAATTTAATGCCACGGGTCCATACACCCCCTGTGCACTCTCCCAAAACTGTACGCTGCATAATAGAAAGAAACGAAATCGAACAAGATCAGCGGAAGTCAAAGAGAGTTTAAAAGACAACTTGGGATGCTGGGCGAACCGAAATATCGCATTTTCGTGTTGCACGATGATGCAACATCATCGAGATGTTTAGCCCCAAATCACCTGTGCATCTGCAAGGCTGATTTAAAACAATTTTCCTAGGCACCCACCAAGATGGTAATTAGTTTGTTCTGAAAGCTTCTTGTCTAGTTCGTAAGTATTTTGTCATGTTGAACAGTATTTTGTCTAGAGATTACGTTTAGAGAAGCTGATCATGTACAGTACCCCAAGTTCAAAGTGACATAGTTTTTTTTTACTGTAGGTATTGTTATGAGCAATCGCTCATGATAACTATGTTAAGTCACGACGAATATGACCTGAAAAAATAGTTATTGCTCCAATATATGCGTTGGAGCCCAAATTATTTCAATATGGTTCGAACGAAAGAAGGTCGAGACAAAAAATATGCCGTATTTAACCCTAAATTGTCCAGTTTCAATCTGTGAGTATAGAGTACACATGTGGACGATTTCGGCAGTGTTAGTTTAAGATGCAATGTTTGTTTTTCTGCGTACTATTTTTTCATGTATAATTTCAGCCTTTTCACATTCAACAAAGCGCGAAACAAAGAAAAAAGAGTTTGATGTAGGGACTGTGCAGTTAACGCACGTCAAATGAAAGCACACCACTACATAGGAATTTGTGCGATCGCCCATTTCCTCTAAAAAAAAATGTACACGGCGCGAAGGCGGATTATTCTTACCCTTGACGTCGGACATGCTGAAGCCGCTGCGAAGCATGTGGTGCTCCAGGTTCGCTAAAAAGAAACAGACGTGTGTCAGCTATCAAAATTGAAAACAAATGTAAAACTTGCTGTGCGAAAAGCGGAGGAAGCATTCTTTTGAGAACTTAGCAATGCAGCCACATAATTTATTCGATTCTGACTTCTGTCCAGTTGCAATAACAGTCGAGGTGTCACTGTAGCGTTTTCTTAGTTGATTTCGGTGCTAACATATTAGCATGGTCTTCGTTGTGCGTTTCTTATGTGACCTTGCAGATCATTTACTTCTGACAAGTGTCATCGTTATATTGTGTATTTTTGGTCAATTGCGAGCCCAGCACTAAAAAAAAAAAGTCTCCCGCTGTCTTGCAGCATACAAAGCTTCACGATACCGGATAACTTGATAATGCAAGACCAATAAGCAGGTGCAACTTTAGTTGAGAGAGCTCGCAGTGATGAATACATTGTAATGGAAGAATAAGACTGCAAACTCTAACACCTGTCTGAAGCCGATGAAAAATGCAGACTTCTAGGAACAGTGGGGCCATCCTTTACGAGTGTAGAGCTGCACTTGTAGATCTTCGTTAGCTAACTAGCATTCGATTTAGTTTCTAATACACTATGCAGCTGCCCTATTTCCGTGTCTTCAATGAAAAAAAAAACTAATGCCAATTTTGAAAATGAACTGCGACACGTTTGCCGAGCATACACCTAGTGTCTGATACAACATTATCCGTACACACACGCACTGTTTTGTGCTCAGTGTGAAAGCCATGCGATTGCGATAACGTGCGAAGCGTGCAGCATAGCAGAGACCCATAGCTCAAGCAAATTAAGGAACGGGCGCATACATTGTAGGTTACCTGGATGCCGTACGCTTGACTTCTCGGCCAGCGCTCGCCGCTGTCGGCGCCGTACTTCTTCCCATCGGTGCTCTTTCTCCAGATCCCTGCGTAACGAACCGAGCAAGCACAATAGAAGAAGTAGAAAGCAGTTGATCATTCGTAATTTGTACGAGTGGCCAAGTGACGCATATGACAACGCGTATTTAACTCACTCTATAAGGCGTTCGTTGCAACAGACCGGCAAACTGAGCCTCAAGAACTCGTAGTTCACCTTCTCCACGGACTCGAACAACTTGTGCGTTATCTTTATAGCTGGTGGGCATTCTCCTCTGAGGTGAAAAAGACACAAAGACACAAAAGATACACTGTATAATGTGCGAGCTCGAAAAACCTCCACGTGCCGATGACGATCCTCATAAGCGTGAATGAAAACACGGTGAACAAAGAAATAACAGCACTACAAGTGCACGTAATAAAAGTTTTTTACCAAATGCATACCAAAGACATGTCTTCATCGTGACATGTCTTCATCGTTTCGGAGCAGTCAATGCTGGTCGTTGTCCGAATATACAAGAGTGGATAAAACGACCTTTCTTCCGATCCTTGTTATATTTTATGTATGAGTTCAACGTGCCTCTTTATAGGCGATGAGTGACTCATGTTATTACTTACGTTTTTAATGCCAAATCACCATCTCTCGAATACTGTTGGGCAGATCCTCCCCTATTCTTAAGATGATAACGTACTTAACAATAATTAGATCCTCTTTGGAATACGGCCAGGCTGTTTGGGATCCTTATACCCGAATCAACATAGAAAATTCGAAAAAAATCAAAGGTTGGCTGTTCGGTACATTTACAAATGTTTCAGACGTTTTGATTCACTATCGAAACGCTACAGATGGCTGAATTAGACTCGCTATCTGAAAGAAGAAAACAGGCGCGCTTGAATTTCTTATCTTCGGTTTATTTTATTAAGCTCGGAATGAACTATGCTGATTACTTTCAGAAACATATCGGTTGAGCCTCACGTCACAAGCACAGCGATTGCATAAACCTGTATTCGCAAGGACAAATGTATTTAAATAATCATTGTTCCCTGGAACAATCACAAAGTGGAATTCGTTGATATCTCCTTCACCTTCAACGCATAAAGTGATATTTCTGTTTTTTTGTGTCGGTTTGTGTGCATTCTCTCCTGCTTGGACTACATCTGCAGTATTGCACAAAATAAAATAAAAATAAAAAATAAAGAAGAACACGTAAATTCAGAACACAAGCGTCGTCGGTTGTAAAATGCAATACAATGTGACGGGTCTCGACGTGTATGAAGGCAGCAGACTGGGTGTTCAGATCAAACAGTTTTTTTGGCCGAACTTGTGGCCGGTAAACGAAAAACGAAAAGTCAGATTTACAGTAGCACACCGGCACTGACAGCGGCGAAGAGCGTCGGCCGTCGATGAACTGACAATTGGCGAAGCGCGTCGGCATTTATGCATGTGCCGTCATTCATACATTCCAGCTTTATCACTGGTCCTCATGCAAGCTCCGGAAAAATCTCGAGTGTTCGCGTAAGGCGCGCGATCCCAATAGGATGACGCACAACAAACGCGAACCCCACCCTCTTTGAACGACGCGGTGCAGCAAGCGGTGAGCAATCCAGACAAGCCCCGTGGGCGAACACCGGAAGAAGCACACGTTAAAAATAAGGAACGGACGTGGCAATTCATTAGCTGGAAAAGGTAAAACATTTACAGAAAAGCGTTTTCAGCATCTGGGCCCGGATTCACAAAACTCACTTACGAAAACATTTTTGCGCAAGAGAAATTTTCTTGCGTAAGTCGATTCACGAAACGAAAAAACGTCGTAAGAGGCCATAGTTGTCACATCGGCCACTGCAAATAAAGCGCGCTGTGACTGCCCGGGAACATGTCAGCGATGGTGATGCAGTTGCTATATTCGCTTACGTCACCGAAAAGTGCTCGTAAGTGGATTCACGAAGCGAAATTGTGCGAAAAAACAGCATGGCTGAGAGCAAATCCCAAGAGTGGTCCGGACCACTCTTAGGAACAATGTGGCTACTTAGAACTTGCTGCCGCAGCGGTATACTTTGGTGCCCTGGCTGGTTTTGAGTTAATTCACGCCCATCAAGGGCTGCCTGATGACTGCTGGTGCGTTTTTATTTCTTTCGGCGCTTTGAGCTTCGCGTGTTGTTTCCCTTGTACGCAGTGGATGGTGTTGACAACCACCATCGTCCAATAAGTTCGAAGTCGCAGTAATTGAAGAATTCTATTGGGCGTCAATGGCATAAAACTACGCATGTAAAGATTTGTGGTTGGATGAAAACCAATGTGATACGTGAATGGTCGGTGCATTCGAACGCGACATGGCATAGGATCAACCTTATTTGTTATGTTGTTGTGTTGCGCCCCATCTCATCCAATTGAAAGTGCGACTCGAGATCCTTGCCTCATTGGTAGAAATTACCACCAAAGAGGTTAATGGGAGCACATTCTTTGCACGCTATTGGAAATAAAAATGAGAGGAAGTTTTCAGTGAGTGGTTCCTAAAGTTTGCGCTCTAGTGTACTTTCATTGGCTCTAACTGTCCAATGGTTGCGATCTCTGAAATACAGCTGTCGATACACTTTGGGACGATCTGGAACAAAGCGTACTTTGTAAACCAAAGCGTATTAGGGGTGCGCATGATTACGCATGGAACTACAAACAAATCATGCATCTTCACCTTCACTGTTCAGACACCGATATGGACCGTGATACTATGGCAAGCAATCGGAATGAAATGACCCTAGTAACTTTGTATGACACCAAAAATATGCAAACCCTCACGACTCTAGAGCAAACCTTGGCTGAATTCATCCCTGCGTCAATTACCAGCCATTTAACTTGGCGCACGAACATCATTCAAAGGTAGAGCGAGCCACTCACATGTATTTTGTGCGACGTAGCGACCACTTGACCTGAGAATAATAGCGTTGCGAAGGCGAAACCCCTGTCGCATGCTCTGATCGAAGCAGACGACAAACGCGAGCAGACGACGGCTTGGCCGACAGGCACAGCTTGTGATTGGTTGTGAAGCAATACCCTCTACATCAGCTCACTCCGTGACGTTGCCAAAACACTTCTTTCATCTAGCACGGCTGTCCTGTCCGTCATATCACCCCCCTCGCCCATAAGAGAAAATTTTTTCACGCCGTGAAAATAGTGCAAGTACTTTCTAAGAGCTCTCTTATCATCTTATGTGCTGCGCAGTTGTCGAAAACAACATGGCGTCGTAAACAGCATATCGGTCGGTGCGACTTTCAGCAAACGCTTCTCGCACGAGTTACTTCAGCGTTTGACCGGATGTGTTGTGATTACAGCAGCTCTTTCGGTGCGTGTAAGCAGTGCGGAAAGCTGTGGCAGTGCAATAGTGTACGGTGAAGCGCAGAGAAGCCTGTGCGTCGGTGTGGTTATCAAGCGGGGATCGGCGTCGATGTATCGACGACAACTGGCACTCGAGAAGCCTGCAATGTGTGTTTGTGTGCCGGTAACAGTTCGTTCGCTTGACTTTCTAGTCTCTCAGTTTGGTGCTGTGCGACATTTTGGATTGACAGCGTTTCGACACGTTACTTGAGTGACCCCAAGTACGTACGGAAACGTATGAACAACGCGCTCGGTTCTTGCTTCGCCACTAGTTAGCCCGTACGCTTCTATTTACTTGAGAGCAATGTACTGTTCGGGAGTGAAACGATGTTCGTTTTGAACAGTGGTGCTGTGTTGACGTTCCAAGACTTGTGAACAAGCTGTGCTCGTGTGACCGAAACTTGGAAGACAGCGTTGATAACTGTTTTGCCCTGCGAAGTCGTGGGGGGGCAGCTTGGCGCTTTTGTTTGTTAAGTCGTCACTTCTCCTTTTTGTGATAACCATAGTCCTACACTCTAAGCCAAAAATGGCCAAAATGGGAGCAACGGCTGTTTTTACTCCTTCAGACCGACTGTTACTCTCCGAAAAGACCAAGCGGAACAAGATGGCCGACTTGTTCGAGAATGGGGGAGCAACTGTATTCATCTTAAGTTTGTAAGGGAGCAACGGAAAGAGGAACCGCTGTAAATGCTCTCGTCACGCAACGGGTACTCCCCGGCAGGACACCGCACACAAATATGCATGCCGCCCACATTGATATTCATGGGCCAGATTATTGTTTGTTCTGTGTGCCAAACTTCACCAAACCAAAACAGTGATTTATTTTAGCATCCGTAGATAATAGGATAGCAGCGCTGGCTGAACACAGAAGGCCTGAGAATACAGTACGGCAAATACCTAACACACGCAGCAGCAGAATGGAGGGTTGGCACGTCAAAGCGGACCGAATGCCGAAACACGTGCAAAACTACGATAAAAAAAGCCTAGACACGCCGTTCGTCCGCGAAGTAAGGGCGTCAAAGTCGATCAAGCACCGAAACACGTGCATAAGGAGCCCCCCCCCCCCCCCCCCCCGCCCAGATATATCGGAGAAGAAAAAAAGAAAAGCGGACCCAGACGCGCTTCTCATCAGCCATACACTTAGTAGCACGCTTCACCGTGTAGTTTGAGGGCAGAATGACAAATCTGCGCCATCTGCGCCCGCACGACAAAAGTGGCGCTGGTGTAGCAAACGATGTAAGTTACAAAGTAATTTTTATTCAGTGTTTGTGTTGACTAGCACTAAATAAAAATTACACTCAACTTTTTATATTTATTTATGAGTTTTAGTGTACCTCAGTTTTTTTTATAATTGTATTAGGAGAACACACTGAAATTATTGCGCTGACGCCTGTGCTGCCACTGCTGGACTTTTTTTTTTTTCGGCGCAACTAGGTTCCCGTTCGCACTACTTACTCATTTTCGTATGGTCTGTGGTTGGCGAGCACATGGACGGGCGAGCTTGTGAGCTATGTTTTGATCGTGTGTGTGTGCCGCAGACTTGCGTTTCTGCTTATTCGTGATGAAGGTTAGTGTATATTTATCTTTATGGAGCGCGAAGTAGTTGTGGATTTTGCTGCTGGGTGGAACAAACACATCGTAAACACGTCTTCAGCTATCTGCAAGCCTGTTCGCTCGTCGGACAAAGGACCGAGCATGCATCAGCGTGCAGGTGAGTGTCATTTCCAGCAACATTTAATGCTCTTACAATACATTGTTGAGTGGTTGCGCTATTGAAAGAGAAATGATTCGCTCTTATTCACCGTATCCATTGCTAGCCGTATCGGACTAAATTACCTCTATTACCGCCTGCATACCCTCTTGCTTCCCCTGTCACCACTGCAGTGCCAGTGTACTTTTGCAGTT